TTAGACCAAGGCCAAGTAAGCTAGGTTTAGGTATGTTACAGTATATGCAGTCATCAAGTTTATCAGCTTATTCATGGCCACTGAAGCACCACCTCTTGACAATCTTATACATGGCAATTGGTGGTTATCTGTTTAAAAAAGTGTCTGTGAAGTTCCACTAGATAATCAATACGCTGGTCTTAAAAGCACCATAGTTCCTAAGCAGCATATGTTGTAATTGTAACCTGAGAAAACAGCCAACATTTTATGATGCCGTTGATGGTTTCCCCACTAAATAATGTCTGTAAAACACTACCCAGATCTTGGTTGTGTTTCTGATTGGACGAAGCAAATTTCCAGCCAATCAGAATAACCCCCCAGATCTGGGTAGTGACACATCATCAGTATGGAATTTCTCTGCTTGTTTCTCGGTAAGCACTCGTTTCCATATCTCAAACCGCCCTCTCCCTTTTCACTTACACTTACATGAAATTTCTAAGTTTCTTGACCCAGAGACTTAGTTTCTGTTCAACAAATGTCGTCAAAGTGCAAGTCTCTTCAATTTTAAAGGAAAAAAAAATTTCCGAAATACGAACAAGAATCGATCCCGGAATACTAAATCAGTAGTCCCAAGCCCTAACCACTACACCACCGAGGATTTGCTGCAGGGACTTGGAGTAATTTAACTACTGTAGCGAAAACCCTAACCCTAAAAAGAAGCTAACCGTTAACCCTAATCACTATTCTAAGTGCTTAACCCTAATCAGTATGGTCAGTGCTTAACCCTAATCAGTATTTTCAGTGCTTAACCCTAATCACTATAGTCAGGGCTCACTCATATATGTATACATATATGCAATTACTTTGTGTAGGCATCACAAGGTATCCAAGGGCGGTTTGAGATATGGAAACTAGCATTTACCTTGTTTCTCAGATGTCATTTTGCTGAGAAACCAAAGCTGGCATCACAAAATGTTGTCTGTTTTCTCAGGATAAATATGTTGCTAAAAATGAAACTGTGTTGCTAGAATTTTTATCCCAAATATTAAAGAATAGGCTAGAACATCTGCCCTGGCTGTTGTTAGGTAACAAAATAAAACAACAGCATGTCATTTCACTTGAAAAAAAACGTGTTTTTGTATTATTTGCTTTGTGTTTTAAACAGAGGGCACCCATATAAATCTTAAATTGGTTGATGCTGCCGATTTTAAAGTCAGGTGAACTCATTTGCAGGTACTGCCTATATACATGGGATGAAACATGCCGGAGGAAACTTTATCATAATCATGGATGCAGATTTATCTCATCACGTAAGTTTACCTAGTTCAGTTGAGTTACTGGATTTAAATTGAGACAAGACACCAACCTTAATTTTGCTGACTTTGGTCTGGGACCTGATTCTTGAAAGTCCTGGTAAATTTTCAGGTGCAAAATAAAATATACAAATCAAAATGTAAAGAATAAAAACCCTGCAAGCGGAGGTTTCTCTCTGGCGTGGCTTTTAGCATTAATGAAGTCATTTGCATTGCTTATCAGTCGTGTAGTTGGTTTGGTTTATATACCCCACGTGTAAACTGATTTGCAGACTGAAATGCTCATACTAGAGAACTGAGGGCCTTACAAAACCTTTTAACTTTTCAGTCAGTTATAGAAATTCTTGCCATGCTTTTGTGCTACTTCCTGCTGTTTATCAGTATATTGCTTCTTGGGGGTTTTAACATCAGTTGTTTTGGTAATGCCTTAAACCTCATCAAAATTAGTGCAGAAGAATGGGCTTAGCCAATAAACCTTATCCTTTTGTCTCATAAGAGGTAAATATTACAATAATAAGATTGTACCGGAGAATCATTTAGCTAATAATATTAGAATAATATTGTTTTATTCTTTTCTATGTGCTTGCTTCAAATGATATATTTTCTAATCCAAATACTATTTTTTTTATATCACAACAGCCAAAGTTTATTCCAGAGTTTATCAGGTAATTCATAGTTTTTGTAAGATGTCCTGCTTTTGATATTAACAAGATTGAAATGTTAGAATCAGTGTGACACATCATTATCACAAAGACATTGAATATCAAAAGTATTTAAAAGAGTTGGGTTTAAAAATAATAATTCCTGTGTGCATGCCAGTATGTGAATGTCTTTAGAATTGCACTCACAGAAAGTGAGTCTGATTGGGCATTCAGTGAAGGTATAGCAATCCCCACAAAAGGTATAGGGGAGTTAAACATCCTGATCTTATTATGAAGTAAGGAAAGTATGGAATTTTACTTGAATCTTTTGATGGAACAGAGGTATTAAACCAAAGAGCCTTCCATTGAAGACATGCTATAAATCTTGTCTGGTGAAAAAACAATACTTCTGCACATTTTTTTCTGACTTCTTCCCACAGGAAACAAAAAGAAGGTAACTTTGATGTAGTGTCTGGCACCAGGTATATTGGTGACGGAGGAGTGTTTGGTTGGGACTTGAGAAGAAAGTTGATAAGGTGGGTCTCTAACTCATGTACAGGTAACCATATGTAATAAGTTTCTGTTTTTTTGCTGGCCAAAGCAATGTGAGGATTAGACATAAAGAGAGAATAATCTTTTGAAATGGACAATCATCGGCAGCAAAGTTAAGCCACAAATACATGTATTAGCATTTCAAGATACTGTCTTACAAGACTATAAGTTGGCCGCATGGCCGGGATGTTAACGTTGTTAATTTATTTATTTGTCATAAAGGGATCATTTTTCAATATACTTCCTGAACACTCTTTTATCTTTTTTTTTTTTGTTGAATAGAATGCAGCAAGAGAAACCCATTACTGTTAATTTTCTGTTGTACCGCTACCAAGCAAATCTCTCCCATGATGTTACAAATTAGCATAATTTTTCTGGCTTCTCTTTGCTATTTTCTTTTCTCTAGTCGTGGTGCAAATTATCTGACACAGATTCTCCTAAGGCCTGGAGCATCAGATCTGACTGGAAGTTTTAGGTAAATTGATAGCTGAGTTATCTAGTATGTTTATTGAACTTAATTGCTAGTTCGACAGCTGAGGAAAAACCCTGTACTAAAGTACTTAGGTTAACCTTTTCGCCCCCTGAGCCTCCCATGCAGATCCACGTCCCTTCTACGGCTTGTGAAGTCATCAGTTTTAATGGTCAAGGACAACTTTGTCCGGTGACGTGAACAAAGTGAAGAGATCTTACCAGAATAAGCACAATTCAATCAAGGACACCAGAGAAGAATGCAAAAAACCATGTAACATTGACCTGAAAATTGGCATGAAAATCTTGTTCCACTACCCGCCTACCTTTCCTTTCATCTAATCCTAAGATCCTAGAAGCTTTCCTAAAAACTTTTCCTACCGAAATGAAACCTACTAAATGCTCAGCAAAAGAAAAAAAATGAGGCAAGAAAAGCGAAAACAAAGGGGAGGAGAGCAAGCGAAAAGTAAAAATCAAGACGCCTGTGTCACTTGTAAATCCAAAATTTTGCGTTCTGGATCAGAAGGCCGCAAAGTGTACGAACTGTTAATGGCTTTATGGTAAGTTTTAGCTCCTTAATTACAGCACGACAGTGACCAGTAAACTGCTCGACTAACTTCCAAACGCTTTTTTCGGCAAAATTTCCAGGGGTGAATGGGTTAACTTAGCTGATTACAAACTGGTAGACACATCCAAACATCACAGATGAGACATGACAGCAGCAGCTTAAGGTGTTCTTATCACGTGACGAAAGTGCCATTTGCTGCTTTCTGTTAGACTTCCACACACCTCAAGCACTTTGAAAACTGAGTCTAACTTGACTTTACTCTGGCTTTATGATGATAATATGATCTATATGCAACTAATTCTTGGTAAAATTGCGAGTTGTCGCTAAAGTAAAGCGACGGTCGAGAGTAATGCCCCACACGTTGACACCATGATACGCACCCAACGCTCTAGGTGTTTAGTTGTGATTACTTTTGATGTCTTCAAACTTTGTTTACAGTCTTTTAGAAACTAATTGCATAAGGGAACCAAAAAAGGAGAAAAGTTGTTATGAATGAAATAAACCTTAGTCTCTGTTTTTCTTATTTACATGTATAATTAGATTGTACAAGAAAGAAGTTTTGGAACATTTGGTGGATTCATGCGTATCAAAGGGCTTCATTTTTCAAATGGAAATGATTATACGGGCAAGACAGTTTGGTTACAATATAGGAGAGGTCAGTAACTATTAATAGCGTAAATCTGCGGGTTTGTATTGTTCACAGTATGATTTTATCCCAATTTAACGATTACTCAACCTAAAGTACACATGTTTTTTGAAGAGCAACTGTATGATAATCTTTGAGCATTGTTCTTTCCTGTAACATTAAGTCCTTTCCATATGCTGAATAGGCCATCTCAGAGTTGCCGCTATCTTCTGTTTTAAAGCGAGGCTAAGTGCGCAGCCATTCATTTGAAAATGATTTTTATTCCAACGCAAATGAAACTCATTTTCACGAGAACAGTTTTGCAACCAGCCTCGTTCTGAAAGTGAGAGTTTTTGAAACTCGGAAATAACCTTTAAAGTTTTCATTGTTTTCAGAGCAAAAATCATTGGTTGCCCAAATCCTCACAGTTGCCCGTCTGTCTTAATTACACTTTCTTTATTTTTCTTCAGGTCCCAATAACATTTGTTGACCGTGTTTACGGCGAATCAAAACTTGGCGGCACGGAAATTGTTTCCTTTTCAAAGGGACTTCTTTATCTGTTTGCAACAACGTAACAGTATTCAGTTAACCAGATCGCTAATAACTAAGGAAGATTAGACAGTCTATACAGGGATAGGGTTTTAAAATTAAAATTTGTTTCATTGAGGAGCTGTTACCGTAAGCGTTAGTCGAAAGTCTGACAACGTAGGCTCATGTTGAAATTCAAGCTGTAGTTTTGAATTGAGGGAAGAAAAACCACTGAAATTGTGTAATACTTATTTTCTTTATTCAGAGTTTTTTTTAGTCGAGAGTCGAGTTATTTGACCAACAATCGCAAAGCGTTTTTAATGCAAAACTAACGTTACTGGAAGTTTCTTTGGATTCTTAGCTGAAAAATCTTCCTCAAGTAACGAGTAAACCTGCGATCAGGGGCACCCAACGATATATAGTTCCCATCATTGTTTTATGGGCGTTTTTTTATCCAACTTCATCTGTTCGGCCCTGGTCTAGTGATCCGAAAATTTCCCAAAAATTTCCGGAGATAAAATTCGGGGCCCGGGTCAAAATGTTTTTTGCTAGCAGTCTCATCCAAAATTTTTTAACGATCCTCAAATCGTCTTCCGAACAGGCCGTTGTGCACAGTAGGCATCCAACTGGGCCCTGGCGTAACATACTTATAGATCTTTTTTCAGTAAATTTTTTTCCAATTTTTCCATTTTTCCATTTGAAGTTTATTAAAAAATCACATTTCCGCTAATGAACTTTTTGTAGTTAAAAAAGTTTTTTGGGACCGAAATGTTTTCGGTTCAGTAAAAAAAGAAACAACACGCCTAGTCCCGAGGTTAATTCGTTTCTCTCGAATAAGCTGTCATTAATAATCAACAATTATCGTTAACTATTCCTAATAAAGAGACATCTATTCAGTGTAATTGTATTTGGCTCTTAATAGGAAAGAAAAAGATCTCCAACCTCCTCTTTCCCTCTTCCAAACAAGGTTTGGCAAAATATAAAATATCCCTTCGTGGTTTATATTTTTACATGATTAACTGCAACGTAACAAGGTTTGGTAAAATATAAAATATCCCTTTGTGGTTTATATTTTTTACATGATTAACTACAATGTATAACTTAGGTTTAACTTTTTCTAGTGTCTCCCATACGCGGAAAATTCGAGGCAAGAAAACACCGTCGATTTCTGGTCAAAACGTAAAACGCCACTTCGTGTCAATATCCATCCCTTTTGTGTACTTTTTTCTTTAAATGAAAGGTCACGTTAAGACATTTAGTTTGACAAAAAGATTAAGATATTTAAGCAAAACAGGTTGCAGATGTCTGCCGTTTTACCTAAACGCGCTTCGTCGCCTAGAGGCGAGACATCCCAGAAAGAATCCGGCAACCTTTACACCACGATTCCACTTACGTTTTTTTTTTCTGTTAGTATGTTAATACTCGTAATGGGTTTTGTTAAATGTATGAACATGTAAAAGCTTATGATGTGCCATAGCACTTGAGTTTTCCTAACGTATGGAAGCCTTGTTGAAACCTGTCCCCTGCATCTCCAAACCAGAGCTGTTTCACAGGAAGTTTTGTCTTGTCAGTCAGGAGACCGCTGTCTTCGCGCCAAACATAGTCATTCTTATCACAGTTACAACCATAGCTGCTGCGTGCGCATGAGCTGGTCATCCCACATGCGCACTTACCACTTCCAGGAGATGCTCCTCCCCAGTACGTCATCTTAGAAGAATCACGTGATACCCACCAACCCATTCCATTTCTGAGTAACCTTGAACCGTGACATTCATACTTGATAAACTGTTCACAGTTTAAGGAGACTCTGGTGAGACTAGCAAGTTGAAAGAGACTCGCTCCTGTGTAATGGATGTCACGTGAGTAGCTACCTGCACCTCCCCAGCCGAGACCATCGCGCATCTTTGTCCTGCTTTCACTGTCGTGACTGATGACTGTCACACCAACTCCATTCTTTGCAGTCATGTCACAGTATACTGTGAATGGCGCCAGGCCTCCTTGGCCGTCTGGATCAATAACGTAATTTCCGCTTACACCTGTAAGGTATTTTCTCAAAACAGAACAGGAAAGTGCAAAAGGAATGTTAACCTTGACATAACCTTCAATTGACGTCAGAGCATTAGTGGCTCTGCAGGTGTAAGATCCATGGTGCGCTTTCTTGATGTTGTGTAAAACCAATGTATTATTTTGAAGAACTTTGGAGTTTGCGGGAAGTGATGTCTTGCCGTCTCTTGTCCAGGTGATGGAAGGTCTCAGGTCACTTTCGGCCACGCAAGGCAGGCGGATGGTAGAGCCAATAACAGCAGTCAATTCTTGAGGAGGACGGATTTTGAACCGCAGAGGAGAGAAAATCATGAGTTGAATCATGTCTGTTGCAGATCCCAAAATATTATCTGCCTTGCAAATGTATGTTCCTCGGTCTTTCTTTTTCACATTGAAGATTATCAGCCTCTTGTTTGTCAACCTACTTCTACCCTTTGGTAAACTACTTAATGCTTTAAACCACGTGACACTGGGCTGTGGCTGACCAGTGGCATTGCAGGCGATAGTGACGTTTTGATTCTCTTCAACCATCAGTGTATTGGATGCCAGTATTGCCTTCGGAGAAACTATCAACAGAACGGACGAAATGAAAAGCGTCATTAGACGGTTCAATTACACTGATAAGCGTCTGGGTTAACATATATTATCTTATTGGCGAAAAAACAAGGGCACTTTAACTTTTTCAGCACTGGTATTAGGGAGCCTTCCTTATGCTCATGAGCCTTAGAGACTGACATCCGTTTGTCTTCTTTTCTCTTAAGCTGTCGGATATATAGCAAAGTGATTGTCGCTTATTAGGTTAAGCTAAAAAAAGACGAAAACAACGCGCAATTTTCCTGAGTCCATAGGCAAGATGTGGCTTCGGGGTAAGACGGGCATAAAAGAGCTGCGCAGAAACTGAAAGGAAAACAACTTACACTGAACAACGAGCTTTGCTGAGGCATTGACACTTCCGAGAAGATTTTCAGCTGTGCAAGTGTAAACACCCTCGTCACCAGGTCTAACGTCTTTTAGAATCAGCGCACCACTGGATTGTACCACGTGACGCCCTACAGGAAGCGATGAATTCAGCTTAGACCACGTGACCTGAGGAACTGGGTTACCGTCCACTGTGCATTTGAAGATGGCTGTCTGACTTTCATTAGCTGTCTTTTTAGCAGGACGCTGCAGCAGAGATGGAGCTGAGATGGACTTGCCTGCTTCACCTTTAGCGCCTTTCTCACCCGGCGGGCCTGCAGGTCCCGCGGGACCTGGGTTACCAGGTATCCCCAGATCCCCTTTAACACCCATCGGTCCTTGAAGTCCTATTGGTCCGTGCTTACCAGGAGGTCCCTCTGGCCCTGGTCTTCCTGTGGGACCCGATCTCCCTGGGAGACCTGGTTTCCCTCGACTTCCGGGTCTTCCCCGTCTCCCCGTGTTACCCCTTGGTCCAGGGCGGCAGAGAGTTCCATCTTTAGCACAGATTTGATTTTGCAGCAGCCGAAGCTCTTCTTTGATCAGCAGTTTTAATTGAGCCGTTGTTTTAGCCGAATTATTTTGCGAGTTGTTTACCAGTGCCCGCTTCTGTCTTGAGAGGACTGCATCCCTCTGGCCCTCAACTGATGAACGGTGTTCGTTTATAAAAGTAAACAGAAAAAGTTTTTTACTAAAGTAAAAGAAAACAGTAAAAACAACAGTCACAGCCGCATGAAAAACAACAGCAAATTAAAAACAAAGCAAAGCGGCAAAACAAACAAAGAAAGAAACAACTGGCAAAGCCCAGCTTAGGTATACTGAGTCAGACTGTACAGCGTTCACTATTACTTGTTCATTTTTTTCAATTGATTAAACAGACATACAGTATGAATGTTTTAAAGAATTGAGTCAAATTGTAACTCAATTGCCAATTTGCATCTCGAGAATAAAAACTGAACTCACCTCTTGTCTTCTGTTGTTGACCTTCCGAATAGCTTCCTTTAGTGCTGACTTGCCATCCCGCGTAACTCTGTTTAACTTTTAGAAGGATCTGTGTCTCCATTTGCCCACAGAACGCTACGGAATTTGTTATAAGTCGATGGTGTTCTTGTATTCTCAGTTCTACATGAATTAAAGCAATGCAAAACGCAAGAGACAACAGCAAGCCTGACGTGGAAAACGTTGAGTTGTCTCGTGTCCTTCCGCCCTTCGTCTGCAACTCTTCTTCGTCTTCTGTACACCGATGTTTCATGACTTAATAAACCGGCTGATGATATGTTATCCACAAAGTGAAAAAGGAACTGTGACTACAAGTTATCGCAGCAAATTCTATACCGGCAGATCCTCTGAACAACAAACAGTTTTGATGATACTTTCGTTTGATAAGTCAAAAAGGCAAAGGAAGACGTGCCGAGTCTACTGCTGTTTTGTAACCTTATATGATACAGCGAACGAGGAAGTGGTAACTAAAACGAGGAAAGGGAAGCGTGAACGGAAAAATGAAATATGAGAACAAAACTTAACTTGGACCCTGGCCGTATTAATAACGTCATTTCCAATTCTCTGCTTTGCTCCTATTTTTAATTTTGCCCGTTCCCCGCGCTCGTTCCTCGTTTTAGTAACAGTAGGAAGACACTATGATGTACGTGGCGTTTTCTTTTTTGGGGGAGCACGAAAGTCGGAAAAAAAAGAGAACGCCTGAGTACAGGTTTAGGATATGATCCTGACAAAAAATAGAGGTCTTCCTTCAGTTTTTCTAAGGTGAAGGTTCTTGAGGGGACTCCCCATGGAATGAAAAATTCTGTTTTGACTTTATACTTACTCTATGTTTACTTATTCCTGGACATCCTAACATGTATTAAATGTTCATTCAAGGTATTCGGTCTATTTATTTTGGTTAATAATGGAAAAAAATCAGCGATGGGCTTTAGAGTCGAGTTCATTTATTTATTTTGCTAGTGTCAGTCCACAGCCTTTAAACCGTATTTTACATTTGAATGGAAAATAAAAGCAGCAAACAAATAATTAACGCGTTAGTGTTGGTTTTGTACAAAGACTAATCAAATTCAGAGAACTGGGATTTCCCAACTATTGCCTTTTCAGTTCTTCGTTTGCCCGGCATTTTACAGCAATTGTTTCAGATACTTATTTTACTTTATTTGCCAGCAGGTTGGTCAAAAGTTTTTTTTTATTATTTTTGACATCATTTAGCTCATTAACTCTTCAAGTCCCAAGTGTGACCAACATCAATTATCTCAAAACAATATCAATACAATATCAAAAGAAAAGGTTGTGAGGATACTTTAAAATGATCACCAAAGGGAAAATGCTTTCATGTTTTATCAAATTCTTTCAACTACTTCCTCAAGCTAATGTATGGAGATCAGTCTGAAGAACTTGTTAGTAGATGTTTGGACTTAAAGGGCGAAGGTCACCTCAAAATTTAGGCTGCTTTCAAATGATCCTATTCCAGAGTGGAACGACGATTGCTAATACAAACTCCCGCCATCACGATTTTGAGGTCATAGGCCAAAGGCTGGTCATTTTTATTACATTGCAATGATTACCGGTTGAAGAATTTGATGCGGGGACTTGTTCCTACAAAACGTTCCTTCTACTATTTGTATTAATAATGCTTTTTGCCACTGACTGTTTTTGAATCACCAATAATACACTCTGTTTGTTCCCTCAAGTTTGCAGAAGTTATTGCTCTTGAAAATATGCAGCCCTCCTGGGAGCATTTGAAAACAATAGCTTCTGCAAAATTGGGGGAAGGGGGGCGGGGGGAAACAGAGTGTATTGTGGGGAATTCGAAAAAACAGAACCGTTTAAACCGCTAGTGCCTGTTTACGTGGAGGTGGGACACCCCAGGAAGGTGAGGTCACCCGCTTAGGTGGGGTAACCCTCCTGTCCATATAATCTATCATTTTAATTTGATCACGTTTACATGATAGGTGAGGTGACCCGCCGCATTTTACCTCACCTATCTGGGGTCCCCCACCTCCATGTAAACAGGCCCTAAGAAAACTACCAACTTGCAGCTGTGCAAAATACAGAAGGACCGCAAGCGCATCACGTAACTTAGAATTGAGACCAAATGGAGAAAACCAGCTTCTGAATTGAATTTCTTTATCTACCTATTCTAATTTAACCCCTCTTATTCTAACTAACTGATGCTGAAGTGAACTTCCTGCGCTTAACATTTCGTTTTACATAAAAATATTCGTCTATATCATTTTTAAAAATATTGCTTTGTACGAAAATGATTGTTTTCCTGAACAAAAAAAGGAGGAGATTATAACTAGAGTACTCGACCTGGGCACCTTGACATGGGTTGAGGGAGGGGAGGGTGGTGGGGTCCAACGACACACCAGCCACCCGATGGAAATTGCAATCTAAAAAATTTGAGTTGCTTCGTGTGTATAAGGCTAGTAGATCGGACAATCAACACAGAATCATTTACATCTCGTACTTAATTTCTACTAGTGAAGGAAGGACCTACACAAATGAGACGCCATTTTTATAGTGCGGGAATTAATTTCAAGGCACATTTGGTCCCGAATGAGTACAGTAGTTTTGATCACTTTCCGAGGTCTAATTTAGCAAATGAAAATATTAAGGTTACTTAGAGGCAGAATTTTTGGATCAGTTCTGACCGCAGATTCACTGTCACGTGCCCAAAGGGGTTTTCTGGTAGTTTGCCCCTCGATGAAACAGAATACTGTTAGCAAACTATACGCAGCAAAGAAGCGATCGCGAGCGTTATATATGAAGGAAATAATAATAATAAAAAATACTCTTAGAATGGTTGGGCGATAGGGAAATACAGTAAAAACCCGCGTATAAGAACCTTCAGGCTGAAATTTTGCATTTTTATACCCAAATATATAAGAACCTATTCAGCCTGACAAAGAAAAATAGGTTCTTATAAAAAAAACACTCCAGATTTGATGTTCAAATTCTGGATTTTAATTGTGAAAATTTTTGTAGTATACTGCTTTTTAGTCTTACCAATAAAATATTATTCATTCCATAAAACTTTGCTGTAGTTACAAATACAGTCACAAAAACTGTACAGTACATTTAAAAATTTGCATGGTGATCATACAACGGTAAATATGGTCAGGCCCATGATACAGGACTTGTTTCGACAACAAGGCTTGACATTTTTTGTAAATGCTTTACAATTATAGCATATTAGTACTATTGCAGCTCCCCGAATGCTATCACTACTAGAACTACTAGAACCTACTAAGAACCTAATCAGCCTGTTATTGGAAAAAATACCCCAAAATATAACAACCTGTTCAGCCTGAACTCCAAAATTCTAGGTTCTTATACGCGGGTTTCTACTGTAGAACACGTAGTACAAATTACATGTAAGCGCTACAACTCTTTCGGTAGAAGGTTGGCAGATATGAATGCAGGTTCCATGTACGTATTACGTCCATTTTCCATTGTTCCATACAGTTAATCTTCCGTTCCTGAACAAAACTCCATTCTAATCGCTTACAAACTAACTAAAGTCGTAGACAAAATCAAAATTTGGCGGTTCAGTGGGTATGGGAGGCGGTGTACCAGGAATTGATATATTCTCCAAGTCCAGCAATCTCAGCTTCATTTCCATATTGAGTAGAGTTTCTAGTTCTTCATGTGACTCTGAGGAAAGCATCTGTAGACAAGAAATCGTTGAGAAATTAGTTGACTAAATAACACTAGAAGACTTAAGCAGTAACCTGCGTAGCTAGCGGGACTGTTATACCTGGGTTATACCTGGGGTCGAGAATTTTTTGACAGACCCCAATTTTCTCGGAGGATCCCCGCCATGTAGGGGCCAGTTGGATGAAACTTAGCAACCAAGAGGCCAGTGGGGTGGCGGGGGGGTGGGTGGGGGGAGGAGGGAGGGGCCAGTTGGATGAAACGCGACGTGGAAATTGGGGACTAGCCAAAACGTTTAGGGGAGTAAGTAGGCCTATTGATGAAAAACACATGGCCCACGCCCTTCTTTTGGCACACAACTGACTGACCCTTGAAAATTACATGACTCGTCTCCCCTCCTAATAAACAAGAATTTGTATTACTTTTAATTACGCAAACGTCTCTGGTTAGTTTGACTGGGCTAGACGTTAGACAGTAGCCTTCAAGTCCGATGCTAAGATGCTTCCAAATAGCCCTTGGTACTTACAAAAAAAAATCAAAGACAAAAACAAAAGAAAGCAAAAAAGGTCACAAACGTCAAATGATGGCATTGCTGAACTGAATTTGTTATTGGTCGCTTTTCGTATTCAGCAGGAAACTATTATCGCCGTATAACCAAGAATTATAATGTATTTATCAACTGAGAAGCGCAACAATCAAGCGTCCTGCTAGTTTTAACCCCCCTCACTTAGCACACTGAACTGGCAACAGATAAAAAGAAACAGCCACAACAACAATGACGGAAACAAAATTAAATAATAGAACCCACCTCCTTGTTGAGTAACGTTGCTAAACCATCTGTCCAAATGGCATACTGAAAGAAAGACAACAACATGATGGATATTATTTTATTGTCACATGGGTTCTGATGATATCCTACCGAAAAAGCTTCACAATTTTTTGTTTCACTGCCCACCGCAGAATTTATTTGCAAAGAATTGTTCTGGTGTAAGCGAAATTACACTTATGAAATAGAAGAAAAGACTCACCATTTGTTGATTTGTAGTGATGAAATCGAGATGCTTCTCATCTGACTCAGTATCGTACATAAGTGAAAAACATAATGATACGTAGGCCTGTGCATAAATGAGGAAAAAAGAAAAATGAGAAGGTTAAACTGCAACCAATGCTAACCAGCGGTTCCTTACAACAGCAAAGGCTTCGTATGGTTGCCATGGATGATTTAAAGGCATTTTCGAAGGAATTATCGTTCTCAGAGACTACACGTCCAATAGAGGCAACGAGCCTCTGAAAGCATCGATCTTCAAGATAATCCTATCAATAACAAGGCATGAACTGCATCTTCTACATGCTACGTGTTTCAGATCACTGGAAAACAACCTGCTATCTGGGCAGGAAAAGAGAATATATAACGCTAAGAGTGATTCGTCAACTTTTACTGTTCTGGATGTGGTACCTGCGGAATTGCTGTCATTAAAAGGGTACGAACAAGTTTTTAAATAGGGTATATTAAAAAAAACTGATGATTAACTAGATAAAATATTTAAATAAACGAGACAAAAACATTAACGCAAAGCCAAAGAGAGCTTGCATCACTGTTGATAAAACAACAGCAAATAAATGTAAAACAAGGGATCACTCATTCAACAGGCCTTCCTAAATGAGGATGTGACTCCACCATTTTTAAACTGCTTACAGTATATAATTGAAGAGGGCTTATTGAACCAGCTTCATATTCTATTTTAGTAATGACATTTCGTTCCAATATTTATGCACAACTTACTTTGCTAAATTTACGATCCTTTGTATGAGGACAATCTTTTCCCAACAACAGGTTTGTTACTTTGGCAATTGCCACTTAAACGCAAAGGAGAATAAAGTGAAAATTAAAATATGGTTAGCCATAGAAAGAGCGCGGCAACAGTGAGCGACAAGCGCGCTGTAGTTCAGATTGCAGAATGCCACTGTTTTAAACGCGACATAACGCGGGAAAACGGACGTGTGGTGGCATTTTGGCGATTCCATGGTTATGGTTCGCGCGAAAAATATCTTAACTTAGTGGATCTTAAATGTAATAACGAATAGTGAACAAGACGATCAAAACCAAAACTGTAGAATTAAAAGTGCCTTAAGGGATAAACAAGCGAAGAGTTGAAATGCTCACGCCACGCACACTTCAAAAAAACTGTTTGAACGAATTAAGTACATGCAGTGTAATACTTTCAGCAATATTATTTCAGAACATTCTTTAAGCTTTCCTTGAGCGGATACGTTGATAACGAGTCAAAAATAGCTAAAACTGTCGGGCTTTTAAATACTTACATTTGTTTGGAAGATTTTCGAGCGAAGGCGCTTGTCCTTCTTGGCATTCTCCGTAATGAAGAAATTTTAAATTAGGTGACAATCTACAATACCAGAATCTCTCTACAAACAAACAGAAAAACAACAAGACAACTTATATTCTCTCTTGTATTACATCAGTCGATTGTTTCAAACTGATAAGATACAGAAACTCAGTCTAAAAGTGCGAGGTTAATGTGTTGATCAGGTAACTTAGTCTCCTTGGCTTCTCCTCTTAAAAATAACGTTCCTTGAAACACCGTCCTCAATAAGTACCCTTTGTGTTTTTAAACATGTCGTTTTACAAAATCATCTCACTCACCTCTGGCGCGCGTTCGTCCAGGTGCTTTATCAAAAAGTGCTCCTTGAATAAGTTGATCTAACCTCTGAAAAGTCAAAACAAAAAATTAGCCTGAGAAAACAGCCAACATTATTCGCGACGTCACCATTCATTTTCCCGCGAAATGACGTCTAACGGAGCGCAGAAATTCTAAACTGATGACGTGTCACTATCCAGATCTGGGCAGTACTTCCGATTGGTAGAGCCAATCAGAAGCACTACACAGATCTGGGTAGTGATTTGTCATCAGTATGGAATTTCTATGGTCTTTCGTCAGACGTCATTTCGCAGGGAAAACAGTGGTGGCGTAAAAAGTCGGCTGCTTTCTCAAGCTAACCAAAAATATCATTGATATTTTTCCCACAGATAGCAAAGCGAGAGAGACACACGAGGGCGAAAAAAAACGCGACATTTCGCGCGCGAAACGTACCTGTTGCTTGACTAATTCTTTTAGATCCGGAAGCACTTGTTCCCTAAGTTCTCTGTTAAAAGAGAAATTTTTAAAAATATAATTAAACTATAAATAAGGCAGAAATCTTTCCGATTCAAAATATTTTTGCTGAAATGCCAAACAGTAAAAATTACGTCACCGACAGAGATTTTAAAATCTAATTCTTAACTTCGCCATCACTCTCATCGAACATAGGCGACAAGGCAAAGTGCTGCCCTTGCATCCATCAATTGTGGTTTATGTTGAGCCAAAAGTGTGAAACAACAGTTACAACATCGTTTCATCATTCTTCCCCTCCTTCACCTCTTATGAAATTTTAACGGTATTTCTTGTGTTTCTATTCGCATAAGTGCAGTTTGTGATGATACAATCCATTCACCACTGATTGTTGAGCGGGGAATGTCATGGCTGTTTATCCCTGCGTGGTCTTAACATTCAAGGTTGTGTACGCTGTTTAAACAGAAGTATACCATGTTCATACTTACACGACAGGTTTGGCTTTTAGTTCCATGATGTTTCGTGCGTGAATCTCTTCTTGTAGAATTTTAAGAATTTGTGAAAATCCTAAACTAAAGACGTTGGTCTGCAAAAGGGAGAAAGAGAAAGTGGCGGAGTAAATTATCATGACAAAAACTTTTACGTCTGGACAAACCATTACACAGACAATATTTTTAATAAACAAGGTTTCAAGGACTTTAAGATAGTACATCGGAAAATGACGCATTATTAACTATTCAACAGAAATAGGCTGTTTATCTGTGCACCGAACAATGGTTTCCTAGCCTTAAAAGCACAATACGCGTGACGAAGCCTCAAGATAAGAGATGCGAGGTAAGAGAAAGATTACGTCCAGAAAAAGGATAAAAAAGAAAGTAAAGAGTCTGTTACGGGCCCCATGCATCGTCCTTGGGAAGGAAAGAAAACAAGAACTCACGAAAATCCGTATTCGTGTTCGCTTGTTCTTTGGCATGTTCACACTACACTGGACAGCTATCGGGTATAATGTGAACACGAAGATGTGTGACTCTCCATTTAAGAGATCGGCGCGACACAGCACAGCTCCGTTACAGAAATCGCGCCGAAATCACCGTTCTTTTGTGTGAACAGAAGTTCTATCCGATATGGTTTTCGTGCCGGCGAAAAAGCTATCTGGGGTAGGGTGAAAATAGCCTTAGTATGACAAACCTTAAACATTTCCATAGAGAGATGTTTTTCTCCCAGCGCTCTGCAGATCTGATCTTTAACTACTTGCATCACACGATTAAAGTCGCCCGAAGTGGCTCTCATTTCCTTCCATGTTTTATTTAGAAGCTGTATACAGATGCAGAAGAATTCTTCAAACGCGAAGTCCATTGTGAAGAATATTGGGTAGAAATCCTTTCCTGTTTCCGAGGCTTCAAAATATAGAAAGAAGAAATAAAAATCGAGAAATGAACGTTCACAGTAGTAGCATTTGAATCAGCCTGTATGGTCATCCTGTTATACCAGGAGTCCAGGTCAAGTAAAAAACATCTTATCACACCAATAGCTACGTTAAATGTCGTAACACGTCTTTAAAATTTTAAGGTACAATTTTTTTAAGAGATACCGGTAGGTTGTACAGACGAACAACAGCAATACTCAACAACAACAAAATTCATAAAAAGTCTGGAGACATCGATGAGCAAAAAATGCATGGAAAAGATTAAAACTGATTGCATTGAGGTAACTTCAACAACTTATTCACGTGCATTTTACACTGCATGAAACTGCCACCTATAAGGAGCAGAGATAATACTTGAACGTTGCGTGGCCGCAAGGAAAAAAACTAACAAACGAAATAATATTATGTAAAAAAAGACAAATTGGCAGTTAATAAAGCTCTAAACAGGCCATTAAGGCTACACCAGAAGTTTCATGGTGCAAAAATACTTTACAGGGGGGCGAAAGACCCATTGGGAGCTTGAAAAGAGAGGGAATTAAATAAGGCTTCTTATTCTTACCCTACTGCGTCTCACGCCCTCAATAATGGAGTCACATGCGACTTCCGGTTCACATGCAAAGGCCAATAAATCAGTAAGTAACGTGGAGTTTGATTGATGGAAATGTGACCAAATACTAAAAGGACGCCATAAGAGATTGTATCCCTTATGCGTGTTCACTTTAGACCCACACCACCAAGTAAAATTTCACAACAATGAATTCCCAGTGTAGTTAAGTTGAAGGGAGTAATCACACACAAACAATGGAAATGCCGTGAAACACTTTAGTACCCACACGAAAATGGTAAAGTATGACGTCATCATGCATATGGCCTGATGAGTTTATACTATTTGCTGTTAGATATGACAACTTACGCGGTTCACTATTGATTGTGAGGACTTCACACAGCATTTTACACAGAGCAATACTAGCACGAGCAAACGGACACTCGTAATCTTCTCCTCTACTGAGGTTTTCTAACACAACCTTGAAATGAAACAAGTTATTAAGTAGAGTTAGCAAAGACAACTCAATTTCAAATGAAAATGTGAAAGCGCGCGCCGGACTAAACCCGACTTCCGGAGCTCAATTTGCAGCTCTGCCATTGGTCAATGCTCTGGAGCATTGCGTGACTCCGGCCCAAGCGGCTGCGAAGGAGACTATTGGTCAATGGTCAAGGTCAAGGTCAAGCCTGTATTAGACCTGCGCGCTTCTTCATCACTCTCGACATATTTTTGTATTCTTTTCGCAAAATCCTTCTATTGTAGTTCGACAGGAACGTTTTTTTGCAGTTTTTGTACAGTGTTTGCCATAGTTTCTTTAATGATAGAGCGGTTTTCACTTGACTGTCGAAAGGGATTGGTTTTGGTTTTACTACGCCCTTTGGTTGGCTAGTGTATTTACTTTGGTTTTGGTTTTACGACAGTCAAGTGAAAACCGCTCTAAATAATTCTCGAAAAAACTTGAAGCTAAAGCGCAAAATTTTTATGGCATCACTATCTGATATTCAAACCTCTCTCAAGGAGGAGATTTTCTTTATTCTCTTCATGATTATTGACCAGCTTTAGAATGTATTTGCTTTTACAATTTTACAAATAAAATTTCTACTCTACTGAAAACTTTGACTTAAGGCACGTTGAAAGTTTTATACACCGCTATTACAGTTTTGACACTTTAATAAAGGTATCATCATCATCATCACCATCATCATCACCATCATCATCATCACGGTTACACTATAAACTACTTAATAACATACGTACCTTAACGTACTGTTCCTGATGTTTGCGAGCAAAATACACCATGGTGTGTAGCGGAAGAAGGCCAGGAGGTGTTTCATGAAAATCATTCGCCGGAGACTCCACATCCTAAAATGAAACACGTCAAATGGTCAATACTCGACCAATTCTAGTGTCAATAACACTCATTTATCGGCTACAAAATTTTCAACTTAATGTAACTTTCAGAGGGGTCATACGAACGAAAATTCAAAAAACAAACGATATCTTATGGCGCAATCAACAGGCCATCTCCGAGTTCCAAAACCTCTCACTTTCAAAACGAGGCAACTGCAAAACCTTTCTTGTAAAAATGAGTTTTATTTGCAGGAGAATGAAGAAACACAAAAACATTTAATTTCATATCAACACCTACGCACTTAGCATCGCTTTGAAACAGATGCTTGGGATAACTCGGAAGTGGCCTATCATATAAGGAATCTCCCAGGCAGTGCTGTCAGACTATAGCATTATTTTTTCCTTTCCGTATTTGGCGAGAAGAAGTGAGGGATAGCAAGTGTTTATGGACAAACAAGCGCCTGAATTTGAAGTGTTTTCAGTTTTTTTGTCTCCTGCTGTCCCAGCTGATGGTGAGAGAAAGCTTGCAACAGGGTGCTAGACTTGACAAGGCCGTTGCCTAGTGCCCGTACGGCATCTTTCCAGGCCTTCTCGGTCAATGCATTTCGGTGACCACCACGAGACCGCATAAACGCATAAGCCGCGCGGAATAAAGAGTATTAGGGACTGGGCAAAAGAGGCCGCACTCCTCACACAAGCATAAACATTTCCTTTTTTTTACAATTAAAGCGTGTTGGAAGTATTACGTTACTTCACAAAGCTCTCTACTGAAACTTACCATGAAACCAAGCCTTTTAAAGTCTTTAGACATGATTCCAGCCTGAGAAATAGGTCTTCCGGCACTAGTAGCCATGAGATCCGATTCAAATACCACCTTTCGTAGAATGGAAAGACTTTCCATAACGCTCTGAAAGAGAAAAGAGCTGTCAATATACCACCTCGAGCACACAACCATCTGGAAAAAAGTGAGAGAATTTCTGCACCGCTTATTAAACAGCAACTGAATTTCACTCCAATCACTGTACTGACGCAGCACCACATGATCTTAAAAATGAGGGGTGGGGGGAGGGGAGCATGGTGGCGTGGTCAGCGCCCAGATCCAAATGGTTTGCCTACTGCAAGCGGGATTTTTTAAGAACGTTGTGTCCCATTTACTTGAATATTGATTTTAGTGGAGTGACTACAAACCAGCTCCAACAGCTACACAGTAAGCACACTTCCACTACTGAAGCATTCACATGCGAGCAAGCTCTCCAATTATGGTGAGCGAAGCGAGCCGATAGCGAACCCGCGAGTGAGTGGCGACATAAAGGGACGCGCGCGCGCATGTGCTTTAAACTCGGCCACTAACCTGTGGGCTAGCATTTCCTCTTGTGTTCACCATATCTCCTAACACACTAAATACAAGAGTCTGATACACATACAGTTGATGTGCCATTTCACCCATAATGAACTTAGAATCACGGATAATGTTCTGTTGAGAAATACAGATAAAAATCTTGACTTATAATTACAATAATTCTGGAACAATTTAAACAGAGCAATTGGAAAATAGATTCAAATGTTTGTAATTCATTGATCATTGCATTTCTATTTTAACAGCACTGCTAAGTTCACTTTTTTCCATAAACAATGACATGCAGGACTCATTAATAATATGATCTAAGAATGTTGTGTCTATGTTAGTAACAGATTCACACTGTTTACAGTAGGATTTAAAGTACAGAGGACAATCTGAAAGTCTGGCATTAATTATAAATGGGGGTCCCAATTGTTTTTAAAACGAGTTAGATGAAGACAGAATTAAGGCACATGAAGTCCTGTTTCAAATGTTTCAAGGCTTTTTTATAATTAAACGAACAAAATCCCCCTACAGTAGAACTGGCTCAGAGACTTACATTCATTATATATCCTCTTACTCCTCTTTTGGATAAAGTATCTGCGAATTGCTGCAATAATATTAGAAATAAACAAAATCACAAGAGAGAAAACATGAACACAAGTGACCTATAACAGTTATTCAGATGGTAACCTGTGGGATGAAAAGAGGTAAACAGAGGGACCGTGGCAAACTAAAGCAATATACAGTCAACTCTCTCTTAACGGACACCTCTGTAAGATGGACACCTCTGTAAAACTGGAGTTGGTCCCTGCCTTTCTTTACTCCTTTTATTTGACTCTCTATAAGACGGACACCTCTCTAAGACGGGCACTTAGTGCCGGTCCCAAGATGTGCGGCTCAGAGAGAGTTGACTGTAGTTCTGGTAAACTCACTTTCTTATTTGTTGCACGCATAAAGAGACTGTTGATAAGACCAATGGCATACAACTGAATATCTTGATTAGGGCTAAAACAAAAACAATAGAAATAGACAATAATTATATTGAACAAAAGAATGGCATGTACAGCTTAATACCTTGATTAGTGTTAAAAAGGAACAAAATAAAGTCAAATTGTACATTGTATTTTGCAGCTAATTATTGCTATATTAATAAATACAGTAAGGTGGCTAGGCTAGTGTCTATAGCCTGGCTGTCAGTAAGATTTCAAGTTGGTGTTGGCAGGTAAATGCAACATCAAACAGCTAGGGATTTCTTTTGGTTGTATTTTTCTTCTTTTCTCCTACAAAAGTAGGCAAGAATCACATTCATAAGTACCAGGGGCAACACCCCCCTCCCCCCCCTCCGCAGCCAGCCCTATTGAGTGGTCATGTATTAAAAATAGATGATGCCTAAAGATACATCATGATAGGAATGTTTACTGTTAAATGACCAATAATTTTATAAAAGAAACTAACAACTTTCTTTTAGGCTGCTTCAGCTACAACAATGATATACTGGACTTCTCTTGACAACAAAGTCTTTCTGATTCTGAAAATTAATCACCCTGAATAAATACACTGTACTTGTTTACACATGTAAATGTATTTGAATTCCAGTTCTAGTACATCTGATGTGGTTTAATTTTATCACTGGTTTAAATTTCATTTTCCTTTGTTTCAAACTCATTATCATACATTACCATACCCAAAACAAAGGAAAATAAATTTAAACCAAGGATAAAATTGAACCACAAAATACCGTAAAATTCTGAAAATAAGCCCTCCATGTATAAGCCCCCCAAACTCACAACGCAAAAAAGCCTCCATTAAATTGCCCCTCCGAATAATATTATAGGCCCCCTGTGGGCTTGTACTTGGAAATTGCCCTCAAATACAAAGCAAAACAAAGCAAAAACAGTAAATTTCATTCCAACAATAAGACTAGCCGAATGGAATTTGAAATGCAAAATTACCTCGTTAGATAAGCCCCTCTAAATTTAACCCATTCGCTCCTGGAGATTTTGCCGAAAAACGCGTTTTGAAGCTAGTCGAGTGGTTTTCTGGTCACTGTCATGCTATAAAGAGCTAAAACTTACCACAAACCGGTTTACAGGTCGTACACTTGGCGGCCTTCTGATCCAGATGCAAAATATCAGCTTGCGAAGTTCGGGCATGCGCAGAAAGCAAAATTTCGAGATAGTTTTTGGGTTTAAAAGTGACACAGCAGTCTTGACTTTTACTTTTCGCTTTCTCTCCTCCCTTCTTTTTTTCCTTTTCTTGCCTCATTTTTTTTTTTCTCTTGCTGGGCATTTAGTAGGCTTCATTTTGGTGGGAAGAGTTTTTAGGAAAGCTTTTAGGATCTTAGGATTAGGTGAAAGGAAAGGTAGGTGGGTAATGGAACAAGATTTTCATGGAGATTTTCAGGTCCTTGTCACGTGGTTTTTTGCTTCTTTCTCCGGTGTCCTTGACTGAATTGTGCTCATTCTGGTATGGTTTGAAAGATCTCTTCACTCTACACAAGTTAGCGAAGAAAGTTGTCCTTGACCGTTAAAACTGATGACGTCAAAAAGCGTAGAAAGGACCTGGATCCACACGGGCGGTTACGGGCGGTTCAGGGGCAAATGGGTTAATAAGCCCCTCAAAAAGGTCCTTTGAAAAATATAAGGCCTGTGGCTTATTTTCGGAATTTTACAGTATTTAGCAATTCTGTTGCCATGGAAATACATTGTTGAATTCTTATTCAATCAATGCAGCTAAACCAGCTTTCACTTGCATGCTCCTCTTTCCTTGTTTAACAGAGACGTTCAATAATATGGCACTTACTTTTGGAGATGAAGAACGAGATTCTCAAAAACTACTTCCTTTCCAACAAGTGGGTAAAATGTAGGGCTGAGAGAGAAAAAAGGCATGTTTCAGCAGAAACAACAAAAACAATTTCTCTTTGGAGATTACAAATCGGGATACTTCTTCTGACAACACTTTACCCATGGAGTTCCAACAACCCCCCCCCCCCAACCACCTGACCCCAGTGCAAAAACACCTATAAGATCATAATTAGTAAATGTACTTTTTAACGGTGTTTTGAAATTAAAACGATTTATATTGTTGCCTAGGATTACAAACAACTTTCATCAGGCACATGTTTGAAGCTTAGATAGCACTTTACCTAGAAACCATAAAAACCTTGTTTAATCACAGCCTTTTGAAATTGGCAGGTGTTTTATTGTCCCCTTGTAGTTCACCATATGACGGGAGTGACATAGCAACATAGCTTGACCAGTGAGACACATGCAATACTCAGCTAGCAATATTGGTGTAATAGCAAGGAAAGGGAGATTAATATTAGCTGTAAAACAGTTTCAGTAGTGTGCACATGTTTGGGCCAAAATGCCTTGCGTAAAATTTCACTGCTCCTTTGCTGGCTTTCATCACACAGAATTCCTCAGAAGATTGTACAATACATTACTTATTAAAGTACCTGTTTGTTGACACTGATTCTAGGATTGAAAGACATCTCTTGAGTACTGTAGCATCAACTGGAGTTTTCTTGTTTACATATACTGTCAACTAAAAAATGATAACACAAGTCGCAACTTTTTCCTTTCATGAAGTGGCAGCTGTAAGTAAATCTGCTACAATCTTTAACAGAAAGGCATAAAACAGCTACCAAAGGTTTTTCGCTCCGGTGCCATGAAGTGTTAGGTAAAATTAGATTAAATTCCTCCAGCAGGGGTGGGTTACATTTCCTTGTCCTGAAAAGACCCCTTGATCCATTATCATTATCAGCCAAACAAGGACAATAAAGAGACTTGGTTTCAGCGAAATTCTTTGGAGAACATACAAGACAACAAATTAAAGTAGTTGAATACCCTGACGACAGTACGCAAAGCCTGCTACACCTGCATCAGACTACACACACTGTACAACGGAGCAACCATAATATAGTATTAGTAATCACAGTGGAACCCCAGTACCACAAACAGCCAAGATGGACTGGCAAAAATGAGATTTTATAATATAAAGGCTATTTGCCATATTGTTTGTTAAAGTGAGGACTTTGTTAGAAGGAGGTTTGTTATATTGAGGTTAAGATTCCACTGCATGAGCATGATCAGTAAGAATACTTTACATTAAGACTTGTTACAAGTACATGTATTTCTCTTACTTCTAGGTAGTCCTCCTCTCATGATTTTCATAAACAAAACTTGTGGGAAGATGACTGCTATGAGCCAATACTTGTAAGTTATTGTTAATGTAGTCAATCTTAATCTTAGTCAATCCCTACTTATACAGTGAAGGAACATTACGTGTTTGATAAATCCATGCGTGAGGAAGTCCCATGAGACATCACCATGATCCATCAATTCTTGAAAAGACGTCAGACAGTTTGCTAGAATCTCGCTACTCCTATACAAATAGATAATGAAACAGGTAGTAACCATTTATTTGGACACAAGTATCCAAGGCTGTCACGGCAGGGAGCCAGTAATTTCCCCCAGCCACTATGAGCATGACCCCTGGCTATTTTCGTAGGAAATAAAATGATAATAAGACCAAAAGAACTTCTTGGCTGTTCAGTTCCCCACCTACTAAACTGTATATACCTGGCAACTTGAAATCTTAATCATAGCCTTGAATATCCTTTGAATTTTTAAGCAAAATAGCCTTGAATGGGTTCCCACGTTACTTAGAGATTTAGAGATGAGGTACTGTACATGTAAGAGGCTCTTGCCTGTACTTTTATGAACCAGTTTTCAGGGGTTAGTCAGTGCAAATAAGTGCTACCCCCAAATAAGAACCTCACATCTTTTGGCCCTTACATAAAAATAAGCAGTAATAGAAAACAATATCAGAGTATCATTAAACTTCATTTTAAAATGTACGATAATTATATTCAGCAAATAAAATATCAAGTAACCAAGGCAAATAAATTTATACTGTATTAACAACTGAGTCGCTTAGTAAAGGTGGGTGCCAGGGATGTCCAGGGGCTTCCGCTTTTGGTACAGCCAGCCTCTATAGAGAGTCACGCCCCCATGGCTGGAAAACCCACGCCCTCCAGCCATGAGTCCCCATGCCAATGGAACCAGGCACCTGTCACACTGATATATTTATTCAGTAGAAAAATATTAAATTGGGGGAGGGATAGGGTAAAAGAATGATCCAAAGGCTAAATGAAGAGAGTGGTCACCAGGAAAATGCTGTACTGAGCACATGGAGGTGATGCAAGCAAGGATAACTACACTTGAGCCAAACGACTGACCACTGACCATGCTCACGCTCCTTGTTGTTAACTGTGTTAAATAAATATATATATATTTCACTTCAAGCAACTACATGTATCAGCATACTTTTTGTAAATAATGAGTCATGTAAATGGAACTCACTCTGGTTTGTTTTCCACCATGCTGATGAGAATTCCCAAACCATTTCTTTTAATAAACTCGCTGGCAAAAGTTGGATCCTATAATAACATAGCAATGTTAATGTATGCAGTTTGAGGGGGTGTTAATAAAAACAAACTCTCAAGAGGTGGGTCAAGCTCACATGCATGTACAGTCAACTAGCCGTTCAATAACTCGAACCTTTCGTGGAAATCGAGTTATCCAGATTTCAAAGCAAAAAACTGGGAAAAAGGAAATAAGCAAATGGATGGGGAGGGAATGCAAGTATCATGCACACTTCACCTCAAGGGCAGCAAGAGATATGGATTATTAGTAAAATCCAACTAGTGGTCTATTATCAATTCTGCGTTCTGAATGGTTGGGCTACTACTAGGCTATGTGTTATAGCCCACTAGTAGCGAATGCACCGGCTTTTTAGCAGCAAAAAAAGGATTTAAGTCTGGCTTTAACCAGCTAAAGTTGTTTTGTCTTGATATTTTTGACCAGCTAGTTGGATTTTACTAAAAATGGCCTCTGAGTCAATAGCCCATATTTTGGGCTCGAGGAATAATTGTTAGATATTATGAAAAAGGAATTAAGCCACAAAGCTTGATTAACATACTGAGATGGATATTGAATTTCAACTTGTGTGACAAAAAAGGAAAACAAAGAATTCCCACAAGGACTTTTTGTTTTGATTGTTTTTTCCTGTTTTTTTTTCTTGTTTGTTTGTTTTTTGGCAATGTTTCAGGAAATCAGAACCCTGTTTTTTTTCCCGACCTGTCACGTGCTTAAAAAATGGTTCAATTGACTTATTGAGGGTAGAATATTATTATACACAAATGTTCTGAAGGGAAACAAAAATCACTTTGAGTTAGAGGGAGGTTTGAGTTATTGAGGGTTCTTGTTACCAAGGGTAAAATTGTAGTAAAAGGTATGAAAGTTAATTAAGGGGAAATCAACTTTGGTTCAAGTAATAGCGTGGGTTCGAGTTATCAGGAGTCAACAGAACGTATTAAAAGAATTTTACAAAGGGCCAATATGGGGAAAAATAAAACGTGCCTTCAAGACACAAACTGCACCATTTTATATGAGCACATACTTAATGAGGAGACAGTGAATAAATGTTTTTGGTTCCATAAGAGTTTGCATCCTGTTCCTCACTATAAATGGCTGTAATATTCCTCTTCAACAACAGAACAGGCATCGCTGAATGATACATATAATAATATTAGGACAGACAAACCTCTGCGATAGTGGAGAGGGTTGTCAAGGCATTCTTCTTCTCATCAGGATTTGAGGACTCAAGCTTCTCTATTATGTCTTGTGCTAATTTGGCCTGCAGGTTAAACAAAAAGTTACGGATTAAGGCACATATTGAATAGAACTTAAATTCACAATTTTTTAGCGGCTACTTTAAGTGGTTTTGCCTGTTTTCAGTTCCTATGAGCATTTAACTTAAAAAACTAGTGAAAAAACATTCTTTATAAACAAGTCTATTTGCCGCAAAAATCAATATTATAGATGTTGTAGAAAAAACTCTTTTCTCAAGTAATATCCAAATGTCTTTTGCCTGTCCTATGAATTAAAGTAGGGCATGGAAACAAAGGAAATTCTGAATTAAATAAGGTTGGATAATAGTTTAATTAACCTGACAACAGACTTTACCAACAACATTATACCTTGATGCTTTCCAGGCTTCATAAAATCACACTTTCACTCAAGTTTAGACAAACTCATGAAAAAGTTGGGCAGGTGTTTTCAAGTTTACATGCGATCCATTAAAATTCTTACAATTCTGTAAATTCTGTGGTTGTTTGGTATCACTAAAGTAGACTGTATAGTGTAAGACTGGCCTGGCCTGTCATCCCTCAAGGAAAGCTTTTGAGAGCATTCTATGGGACTAATCTGGGCAAAATTAATGATAAATACTGGTCAGGATTCATGTTGGGTTCTCATGAGACGTTTCACCAATACATGTAATGTAATGCATTGTATTAGGCCTGGCTCAAACACCCTGAGCTTTCACGAGCTGAACCTATTTGAAATAAAAGCTGACCCAAATTATTTAGACCAGCTGAGTTGATTCAGTCTCTGATCTTAATTCCAGCCGAAGTAAATTCAAAGGAGAAAAATGCTTATTTTGGTCAAACTGCTTGCAAAATATGTTATCGTAATTTATGAATCAGGTTTGGTACATGAAAAGTCTGAATCAGGCCTTGTATAGCATTTCAAGCTCAGTGCGTTTCATTGTGATTATCCTTGGTGATAATGAAGACTAACAGCCACTCAAGTCAAAGTTTGATAATATCATTCGCAACGATGTTAGAAAAAAGGACCCTTTTCCGTGTCCAGCCTTGTCAAGTGATACATAATAATTTTCAATACAAACAGAAATGAAGACTTACTGGTGAAAGTGTTAGCTTCAATACAGTTCCATTCTTTAATCCATTTCGGTTCTATAAGTAATCAGTAAATAAAAAATAAAAATATCTTTATACACACAACAATATGCCACACCATTTCTATCTCATATGGATTATGCCGATATCAGTTTGGGCAGTTATTATGGGAAGGCTGGAGAATTGAAATTAATTTTGTCAAGTATTAAAGAAAGGATGGTGGTGGCTTTGTGATACATGTAAGTATTAAACAAGCATAGAACAATAATATTATTATTATTTAATTTATACTACAAGTACTACTACTACTACTACTACTAATTATAAGAATGATAAAAATGATAATTAAATAATAATAATAATCATAATAATCATAATCATAATTAACAATAAAAATATCTAAGCTTAATTCAAGAACTAAAAAAGAACTTACCTCTTCAGTAATATACAAGTTATAGTCAGAGTACTGAAATGCATACTGCTCTGGAATCGGCAATGACCAACTGGAAAAAAAGAAGACATTATTAAAACAAACTCAGCCACTTCACCTTGGAACCCTTGAAGCATGATATTACATATACTATTCCTACACACTAGAGAAATGCCTCCAGAGAGTCAAGGGTGGGAAGGGAGGAGGAGAAGAATACAAGTATCGGCACAGTTGGTGTGAAGCCTTGAAAGAGTGAGTAGATGTGAACTCATTTCTTTGTTTTGACTTCTCTCCTTTTCATGACTGTAGCTTTAAGTACGTTTAAATACCTGTAAAACCAACCAGTGGAGAGAGGGGAGGGTAATGTCAGCCTCAGGTTTGTTAGTCAGATGCTGACTATTTTGAGCTACCAATGTAAAATATGAGTTCGCACTTTACCTATACCCTTTGGCCTTATTGACCTTTATTGCCAGAACAAGTGGAAAGCTATACAGTGCATGTAAGCTCTAATTAAACTGATTGATTTTCCTGAAGGTTGTGCTCTGGGAAAAACTGAATGGCAAGCTGTAAAAATGACTTTCTTTGCACCCTGCCCTCGAGGACATTCTTCATGTTTTTCTGACTATCTACTTATGATGGGAAAATTAAGGCTTTCCCTCCCCCATACAAAAAATATTACAAGCTGCTGTTGAAGCAACTTGTAGAAAGAAATACAGCCAACTTTGGTTAGGGGTGGGGGAGGGGATACGATTGTTTTTCCTTCAAAATTCACCCTATCTAAATCTAGTATCTCAACAATTTTGTTGCCGATTGTAAGTCATAAGGGTCAGAATCCTGACAAAAGGCTATAACCTGACAGGTTGAGATTCTGGCTCAAAAACTGAAAATGGATTTTCCCTATAGATCAAGCAATATTTGCTTCAACATGCTCACTGATCATTAATACAGTGTCCTTCGTCGAATATGAATCACAGTAAGCCAATACTTAACGTGGTTTTGCCTTACTGGTTACAGGGTTTTGTCAACTAATTTATATCTGAAGTAAAATGACTACTTTTGAGAGGCAATCTGGCCAAATGTCAGTGATAAGCATTTCTGGGCTGATATGATTTGATGACCCCTGTATTACACACAACCACGAGTGAAAGTAAAACTTACATCAATTACTTGATGCACTATTATTATTTTAGTTTCCAAGTACATAATTAATAATCCTTACTTAGCACAGACATCCTTGATAATTTCCTCCAGTGGTAGACTCTATATGAAGAGAATAACTTAACTTAGGACATAATTTTTGTTCAGTAACAGTTACTATGATGTGCATAAAAGAGTTATTAAACTGAAATATCAATAGTAATCGTATAATCACTCGTGTAACTCGAATCCAGGAGAGCAATTTATTACAACTTACCTGGTCAAATCTAGTCAGCAACGGAAGTTGGCCTTCCTTTTCGATGGCAAGCTTTACCTGACCAGGGTCAACGACCGACATTATCGTAGACAGCCTTCTTTATCCGCAATAAAACTTTTCGGAAGTTAACGTTCTCTTCCTGTGTATGAGGCTGGCGCAATTACAAAGCAACAATTCGACACAGCCCTCCAAAACAACCATTAAAGGTCAGAGAAACCTCTTGAAGAATGTGCTCGATTTCTCTACAATAATTCCAGCTTAATGCTCTATGATATAGCTTTTCCAACAATGCATGTTTTCAGGTAACGTCAAAGTGATGTTAAGAACAGCACACGGCTAAAATGACAAAGTAATCCCGCTTCTATTGTAGATAAAATGCGAACATAACACAAGCTACTTCCGACTGAGAGATGAAGTGACTCCCCAAAGCGACAAAAATACACTATCCCTCCCCCACTAAAGAAATTCTTCTTGTCGTTTCTTTTAGAAAATTCTGCTGCAAATTAACTTTTTCAGTGGAAGAATAAGGTTCTTTGGATCGTTTTTGAATAAATTTACTTACTGTTCAGAAAATTTTTGAACAATTTTCTTAAAAAAGATATATTTTTTCAGCTATTTCCTGTAGGGTGGGGAAGTAATAATCGCAGATTCATTCCCGTGAGCCTCTGTTGCTACAATTTAAATATGGCGGCAGATTTGCACAGCGGAACAAGATCCGTAAATTCTCCGAGAAAGTTTGAAGTGGAAAGGAAGTTCCTAGTGCCGCCTGACTTTAAGCAAACCCTCAAAACAAATGGAGCATGGTTAAAACGAGAGATAGAATTTACTGATGTCTACTTTGATACTCCAAACAACGAACTAACTTTTGCTGGTTTCTGGTTGAGGAAACGCGATCAAAAATTCGAACTGAAAATTCAGAAACTGAAAGACTTCCAGGACGGGATTGAAAACTACACTGAAATTGAAGATGAAAGGGAAATTGTCAGCCAACTTTCTAGGCTGTTGAAAGCTTGTTTTGCAAACACAGACAGAGACTGCACTATTGAAGATTTCATTCAAAGAACTTGTTGTAAACCGATTGCGTCTTTTTCGACGGTTAGAACGAGTTACGAAATGTCAAACGGTGTAATGGTTGACTTAGATCAAGCTAGTTTTGGCTATCAGGTTGGGGAAATAGAGATCCTTGTTTCAAGCTTTGAAGAAGTTGCTGTTGCCAAGGAAACTATCCGGAAAACTGCAAAACTTCTCGGTATGCATTTTGCAAACTAACCAAAATAAAGCTTATTGCTGGTTTGGGCGTGACGTCACGGCAGCCATGTTGGATGTCAAGAACAAAAGCATTTCTCTCCTCTGGGAACTTAACTCTATTTTCTCGTAAATTCTTCAAGAAAAAATTATATTGTATTGTCATCCAACATGGCCGCCTTGTCATGTGGTTGCAAACCAAGGATTGTTAAAATTATTGTTGTGCTTAAAGAAACAGTTAGCCTGAGAAAACAGACAACATGTCGTGACACGACCACTGGTTTTCCTGTAAAATGACATCTGAGGAACAATTGTGGAAATTACTAATGATGTGTCACCACCAAGATCTGGGTAGTGCCTCTGATTGGTCAAGCCATGAGGGAAATTTGCTTCTGCCAATTAGCGGCACTACCCCGCCCATATTTTGAATTGAAAAGATACCCCATATTAACAATAACTGAATGCTAATTCTAGTGTATTTTGTGGGACTACAAAAAATGGTCACAATAATATCACAAATTATAGTGAGTTTACACAACAGGAGAGTAGAATGAAGAGGACGGTAAGATGTTTGCGTGTGACAAACATGACAGCACTTTTACTTGTGAGTTCTGCCATGAGCTTCACTTAACAATACTGTGTTCTGTTTTTTACAAATGATCTGTTTAAAGGAAGGTGAAGTTCAGTGGAAAATGTTTTCAAACTTTCTCACACTAGGTTTGTCTTCTTCTTTCTTCTATCATCCTTTTGTGTAAGTTCACTGATTAATATTGTCATCAGGGTGCAAAGAAAGTCAGTTTTACAGCTTGCCATTCAGGCAAGCTTTATTCAGCATGTACTAGCTCAAAAGTCATTTTAACTTGATGATGAGCAGGGTTGTTAGCGGTTCTTTTGTGATAAGAATTCCTTAAAAATTTCACTTGCCAGGCGGGCAAGTTAAGAACAGAATTCACTTGCCCGATAGTAAAATCCACTAGCCCCGGGCTATTGAGCATGACTTTCTTTGCTCATTGGTCACGATTGTATACACTAATGGTGGTTTCTCTTTAGGTGTTGAAAGTGAAACTTCTATTCCTGGGAAAATTGAGGCATATCTTTCTCAGCATTGTAGAAGTCATTATGAACAGCTTGTTGGAAATGGATGTTTTATCAATGTGGAGGCTTTAAACAAGTCTGGCTAAAACCGGTGATAAGTTGTATCATATAGGTTCTATTTATCCATGCTTATTTATGTAAAATGTATAATATGTAGATCTTATATTTGGTAGAACAACAAATAAAGATGATGTTATTGTTTATTGAAGAGAATTTGCATAGTAAATGTGGTTGTTCTTTTATATTTACATAAAAATGGGTTGGTCAGGTGATGTAAAACAAATCACTTTGTAGGTGGTGTGTTCTCACTGCATACAGGTTGCTGACTCTCTAAGACAGATACTGTTGGGACCTGCTCTAAGCATCAGTCTCAGAAAGGTGTCCATTTCACTCACATTGGCAGCAACTATGCAAATTTTTGTGGAAAAAAAGAAACTTTTTACATGAGAAAAAAGTGTAATCCTCACAGGTTTTTTGGTACACCTTTGTGGCCTAGGAGACTGCCATTTCATTACTTATGTATTTGGTGCACTAAAATGGCTGCGGAGATGTCATTTGAAAATGAACTATAGAGAGTCAAAGAAAAGGCCAGCATCCGATTTAGGCATCTCATAGGGAGTTTTATGTCTTATAAGGATGTCCGTCAAGAGAAATTAAGACGGAATCCATCAGGAAATTCAGTAATTTTAATTTTCAGTGGACAAAAACCTTGTACCAGAATGATTTAAACAATATTGCATTCTTTTTTACATTTTTCAAGCTTAGGGCTATTGACATAATTAGTTATCTGTAATAACACCAAAGAAAATTTCAAAAATTTGTACCAGAAAATGATTTCATGTGTAAGATGTCATTTTGCAAATTTGACATTTTTTCTCAGGTTCTCATGAGCATTTTCAAGATAACATTTTACATCAATGTGATATTGTTTAAATTATTCTGGTAAAAGGTTTTTGTTCACTAAAAATTAAAATTACTCAATTTCCTGATGTATCCCGTCTTAAACTGTATTCAATACCACTTTAGTATGCTAGATGTATGGGAACAAAGTACGCCATCAGGAGCCTATCGTAGGCAGGTGCTTTTCAATGTCTACCATTCGATCCACCGAGGCACTTTTTCCTTGCATTCAAATTGGTGGTCTTCACGTTGATTTCTTAGTTATACTAATTTATGTCACACAGGCTCATGATTTAACTTGCATGCAAATTTGACTGTTTTATATTAGAAGCCTGAAAGTGATTTGATTGACCAAATGTAAGAAACCTCTGAAATGTCTATGGAGAATTTAGCTGACCAAAAGGCAATACACTGATCTTGAAGGGATTAGGAAATTTTATTTCATGTTAATTGTAGTGAAACGTAAAAGTGACAATTTTTCTTTGGCTCAGTTTAAAACTGTTATTGGCACTTGGCAAGAAGCTTTTATGTAGTTAGTCTCTCTGTGCTGTGCCTCCATCCCTCAGTCTTTATTTCTCCAAGAGGGGTTAACTCTCTCACTTCACCTACATCAGTCGCCTCTACTGCGACAAGACTTTCGTTGACATCTGTGCCGGGTACATTAGGCGTCACTGGAATCAGAGAAAATTACGTTTGTTCTAAAAATAAAGCGGGGTAATTTCCTTACTTTATGATTTAAACATGGGGTGCTAGAGTTACAAATTGTAAGTTGAAAATCCCAGAAATCTCCTTTCTAAATGACTAAATTTGAATTCGAGCGCAAACCGATTATTACCTAACTAGGTCAAAGCTTGTTTGCGAACATTATATTTTACTTACAATAGATATTGTAGTGAAGCTTCTAATTTTGGAAATCTGCACGTTGAGTTGAGCGTTTCCAACGCGTGTGACATTAGAGAGTGTTTTTGGCCCATGAGACTGAGCAGACTAGCTGTTAAAGCTAGGGCCATATTTTTGGTTTAGTGGGGAGATGTCAGTGGGCGAAGGGTATCCATTATCACTTACTGTAGCGGACTCTGAGGTTCCATGACTGTTTCTTTCTGACAAAGTAGATTGCTAGACAAATTACTCCAACAGCAACTATACTGGATATAACGACTGTTATAACAATGCCTTCAGTTCCTGTTAGATGAAAACACAAAAAGAAAGCGTAAAATTCTCGATGACACGAATTAAGGAAATTTAAAACCTTTACCACGCTTATGCGTTGAGGTGAAAGATTAAAGTTAAGTACCTAGGCCTGTGGTACTGCTTTGTCGTCTGTCGTCGCTTTCGCGATTTCGCTTCATCGACAAATCTGAGAATAAGGCATGAATTTAAATTAGACAGTGCAAGTGCAAGTTTTATAAGCGTCACCAAACTATTCTAATACTTATTTTCCCAAAGGTTTAAAGGTATCACTAAGTTGTAGCTTTAGAACAACTTTCATAAAACGATTGCGAACCTTCATATAACAACACTTACCAGTCTAGGCGTACTTTTGATTACGTATAAACTATTGTTGCTTGCTCACTGTACTGCTGTATAAGGTCAGATATATTTGCCGCGATAATAAGTACTACACTACTCTTGTAACCCTTACGAATGAAGAGGACATGTCTAATTTCAATTTGGGTTGGAATGTCAAGGCTTGTTAATTTCTTTGTCCGAGAACACTCTTTTTGCACAAAATGCTATCCTCGAACAACAGCGGGGGGTCAATAAGGAACCAAAATGAGAACTTTCCTGAACTTTTCTCATATCAAATAATTACCTTTTAAAGAAGAAGCGCCTTTATATACCTGAAAACGTTTTTGCGAAGTATTTTGCACTGATAGTACCGTTGCCTTTTGTGGTAAATGCAAGTATCTGGAAGCTATAGTTTGTACTGGGTCTCAATCCACCAATAGTTAAATGCGTTTCTTCTGCTGCAACCTTGATGCTGGCGGCTCGTGACGTGTTGTGAACTTCATTATAAAACACTCTGTAACCAAGCACCATTCCATTGGTATGTTCCGGTGAGACTGGTCTCCAGTTAAGCTGCACGGCATTCTTGCCTAAGCTAAGCGCCGATATTTCTCTCGGAGGACGATCTGGGACTATAACAAAACAGTAAATACAGAAAGATTAGCATTAGGTAACAGTGGCTGAAGCCAGCTTGTTTCCTTCAGTAAAAATACATGAAGAACATGCCGTATCACATTTGAAAGCTAACCGTTTTCAGTCCACTGCTTAAACATAATCACTACACATCGGTGTTTACTGACTTTATTATGTTCTCTCCATAACTGATGCTTTGCATTTTTGTTTGTTTGTTTTCAGCAATTCTACAAGGTTGCTGGGGTCCTTTTTCGGTATCGTTACGTTAAGAGAATAATGAAATGAGTAAACGTCATAAGGTGTCCAATTTGGCTCCACCCAACGTTATCTAATGCTATACCCATACAGAAGTACGGATCTGCTGCAATATATCTATCAGCTAGGAATGATACACTCTAAATCAGAAAGATCTGTTTTAGCCCTAAAAACAGGGCCGTTTCGGTGAGTAAAATACAGTCCTATTTTTGGGTCTAATTTGGCTCCCTTAGATCAGGGCCAATACAGTCCAATTAGCCACGACTGATTTGGTCCCAGTGCTGAAATTGTCCCTACCGTGGGCTGGAATAGCCTTTTGATTGAGCTTTTTTGGCCTAAATTTTGCTCAAATGGCTCCAGGAAGGGCTGAATCAGCCTGCAGGGCTGAATTGACACTTTGGGGCTGAAACAGATCCTTTTAATTTTCAGTGTAGCCAGCTATTTAGCTTGGTCAACACACTTAGCTGTAGTATCGAAGCATCCTAATCCTTAAGATTTGTCAAAGAATGCAGAAACTGCTCTTTTGCAAGTACGCCATAAAAGAGAAGTGGACTAAGAGTATAAACTGTCAAATTGTGAAAAAAAGCCTGTTGCACATTGGATATCGTCTAACGATCCTTTATCTACGAGCTGAACCCCTGCCCTAAAAGCTCCTAATAACAGAAACCCTAATAACCGCAGTCTTTTTTTTGACGAACGCTTTAGGTTCCCCGCCCCCCCTTTTATCTATTGATTCAAGAACGCTTTCTTCACTTTGCTACTTGATAAAAGACAGAAATTCTACTGGCCAACCAATTTTTATTCTCTAAAACACAGTTTATCGCCAGAACGCAGTCAGTCAGTCGTCAGTCAGTCATTGAATAATTCAGTAACATTTCAGGAAAAACAAATCCGGGAACATTTATGACTTACCATCCTCATCAGTAATAACCAGTTTTTCACTCCATGTACCATTTCCAAACCTGTCGTAAGCTCTCAGTCGACAGCTATAACTTGTGAATTTTCTCAGTCCTTTGAACATCCAATTAAGCTGTGCAGATGGCAAATTCACCGAATGCTCTTCTGTCGAGTGGAGCCTTAGGCAAGCCAAATGGAAGCCGAGCACTGTTCCATACCGAAGATATTTTGGAACTTGTCCCCAGGAGAGTTCAATACTTGTCGAGTTTAAGCTGTGACCTCGAAAGTTGGCTGGTGGGTTTAAGGGGGCTTTGTGATAGAGAGAAAGAAAGAAAAATAAAGTGCCTGGCAGTCCAATATCGTGGATTGCGCTCAGAATCGAGGAGTCAATAAGAAAAGGATAACATCCTGCAATGTGGTAATTCATGTGGCATTAACCTTTCTTAGTTAACTGCTGTCTTTCCTTTTTTTATTTCTTATTTTGTTTAGGCGGAGCAGTCAGGTAACATTGAGTCTGAGTAATATTTTATATTATACTGTGATTACGCAACAAAAATCATTTCAGCTGTACTGCTATGCGGTACTTAATAAGAAAGCTGTAACTCACCTGACAGGGACTAGACCGATTATCTTAACAACGTTTTTAGTAAGAACAATTACAACGCAGTAACACTGATTCCAACACTCAGACCAACTCTGGCCCTGTTACGACAGCGACTATACCGTACATCAGAGGCATCTCTGAAACTATTGCACGTATATTACAACCTTACAATATACTTGTTGCAAACAAACCGATAACCACTTAAAGGCGACTGCTTACTAATGTCAAGGACAAAGACAAACCGGAGGACAGACAGGGAGCAGTATACAAAATCAAATGCTTCTACAATAGATGGATCGAAACGCATCAATTACAGATTACGAGTCTTCACAGCCAAGAACATCACGGCTTAACTGACAGACGACCAATAACATCGCGACGTAATTGACCAATCAGATCAATAACCAGAGTATAATACCATCAACTGACGTGATACAACTCACTTTGAGTTTGAGGATGACTATACCGCACAGGCTGTCGAAACGTCAGTCACTGTCAACAACAACAGTCCTATTCAGGACTACGTTCACAGACGTTACGTCAATTCATACTCTTGGAGCATGGAAGGGCCTCTTCCTGTGAAGTGGTTTCATTTGTTAGTGATTCGTATCCTATCAAATACTTGTGTAAGTTTTGGAATTCAGTAACGTACCGTCTATGGAACATTTAGGCACATCACAGTACTCCCACTGCACGGTCCTGTTGCTGATAAGACACCATGGGCTTTTCACACTAAGACCTCTTGGATTGCGGCAGGAATTGCTACCATTTTTTATCTCTTCAGATATCTGTTGTTTGACCACCTGGTCAAGATGAGGGTGTGGTGCACTCCATGGCTGGCACGTGTAGCCTGATATAGTTGTGCTGATGCTGCCCCGGTAGCCACGCCCGTCCCCGATGAAGCAATCTTTAAACAAGAAATTCGACAAATTCATTATTAAAGCAGCTATGAGACGAAAGTCAGTCATTACGACTTGGCCACGAAATTGAGCGCAACTTAGAAATACTCACTTAAACCATTGAGGGAAGGTTTGAATATCAACGCAGTAAAAATAACGAAGGCATGGAGTCGAAGAAGATTAAAACGGACTGCAATTGGGGTCTTTCAGTTCGGCCAAACTGTTTTCAAAGGTTATCTTTATTGTTTGTAAATTAAATCTAACGCTCGGGATACATATTTGTTTACCATGAAGCTATGATTTTGTCATTTAGGAATAATTTCATCGCTAACGTTAATTGCTTGGCGAGCAAGAGTAAGTAATTGGAAAAACGCAGTAAAATGAACTGGAATGCCGTGGAACAGCCCCTTGATTTAAGCGAAGAGATCGCGAGATGTAGAAGTAGAAGTTTCGGAAATAAAAGGAAATGAATACGATTATGCATTCGCTGCGTCTCAGCGTCACACTGGCACGATTATAAAAAAGAAAGAAGTCGAAATGTGACTTTGAAAATCCAACATAATTAAAGAGCTTGGAGCTTTGTTAAAGCCAAAATGCTAATACGAGGAAGAAACTGACACAGAAACAGAAACAGAAACAGAAACCAGTCATGGTTGCTTTTAAGACAAAATGTTGTTAAATGTTGTTAAGTGTTGTCTAAGATGTGGACTTAAAGCAAATTCGTAGTCATCAGTCTATGAAGAATTACAAAACCTGTAGCTATTTCTAACTATTCCATAATCCAAACGCATGCGCAAAAATTGAATAGGTGTAAATTACGGCAAGTTTTGTAATTCTTCATACATGACCATGGTGACTTAAATTGATTAAGATTAAACTCGAAATGTTGTACAACTTGCTTCACAAGTTACCAATCTGGTTTCTGTAAGGACCTTTTTCCTCGAACTAGTATTTGGCTTCTATTTTTCAAACTGTTAGATGGGTCTGGCTTTCGTTAATGTCACCAGTGGCATGCCAACATGGAATGTTGAAAAACAAAGCCCGTAAGGTGAACTGTAGACGCATGTTTCTTTACTGTATTTCTGGATTCGTTGAAGAATCCTCGCATATCCGTTTATTTCTTTGCGATTATTTGATCACAAAACCCCTTGCTTCAGACCTATAACATCCACATATACTATGATGGCTTGGCAAATCAAAATCCGTGAATTCAGTTATTTATCTAATTTATTTATCCATGTTTCAAAAGGGTAGATCATGAAAAGCTCTCCGGGAATCTAATACAGAAGCTATGTTCCAATTCGTATTATTCTAACACATCCCAAGTATTCCAGTCACTTCGTCCATATCAAGGTTCAAATCATCTAGTTTACAAGGGCTACCCAGTCAAATATTTTATTTTTCGTAAAATAATTGCATTCGTCGATGTGCCCTGTGAAAGCGTATATTGAACTTACCTTTATTGGAAACATTGAGTTCTTCTGATTGAAAACAGAGGGACAAAAACGAAAGGATATTGTCAGTAAGAAATGTGCTCTTTCTTTCGTCAATAAACACACGTGTGCATATTGGTTATTATTATTATTATTATTATTATTATTATTACTATTTTCTTTTTATGCTGGTGTGGCATGGGAGAGTGCGGATATGAATGGATACCTTTTTTCATTTTATGGCGGAGCTCTCGCGCGCAGTGGAGCAGAATGGGTAAAAATTAAACATTTGGTTATCTATGCATCCACGAAATTTTGGTTATGACAAAATCATCCGTACGCCGTACGCCCTCCGCCCCTTCATGTTAGCGGATGTGAAATGCCAAAATAGTGTATCCACTGACCAGTGCCACATGACTGCGGGTTCAAGTGTTCAACTCATTGAAGTGACGTGTTTTGTAAAGTTCTCAGCTGACCAGTTATGGTATTTAAGAGATCGCAGGCGCAGAAAACAACCCAAGAAATACTATGCTGAAAAGTTTCAATGAGAGCTTCGCTTTTGACCTTAGCTAAACCTATATAATATCCATTAACCTCCTCCAAATTTTGTGTCAAACACCAACCAAACTAGGCTAAAGGCTTGAACAAATGCATCTTGCGTGGAGGTTTTCTCTTCAAATAAAAAGTGATTAAGAGGTTTCGATTTGTGCAGAGCAAAGTTTCAGTCAAATCAGCACTGATAATATTCGCTTCTCTTGTCGTTTACACTAGTTTTGGATTTGCTACAGTTGTTCCCTTGCTTTACTCATTAAGCAAAACAAGGTTTAACGTCGACTGGTGTGAAGCCACTCTAAAAGCCGTTTTTAATCAGAAGTTATTTTAAACCTTCATGCTTTGGCTTTAAAATATAATAATAAGAAGACGAATTCCGTTATTCATCCTCGGCAGTATTTATAGCACTAGTGCTAGTGGCGCCGAGCGAATTCCTGAAACAAATAATTCAAATTGAACTTAACAGGGTTAAAAATCCTAACTGGTCGGAGGCAAACCAGTTGGCTATTTACAAGCGTGACCGATGATTTAAACTCGGAACTACCGAGAACAAATCCAGCTAGCGGTGAGAGCGGGACTTGAACCAGGGGCACCCAACGGCAATTTCGGGAAAATTTCTGTTCGGAAGACGATTTGAGTTCTAGAATTTTTGGAACATTTGTTGTAAAATTTCTTGCTTGCCTGCCTCTCCTAGGATTTTCGAACATCTACGAAATGGTATAATTACCCATTTTTAACGGATTTTGACCCTAAAAATTTTCGGGAGCCTTTTCCTGGCTGAAATTTTCGAGAAGGTAAGTTTTTATCCCTATAATTTTCGGATCACTAGACTTACAGCTAGGAAATCCGAACAGATGAAAAGTTTTTAGGGGATAAAAATATGCCTATATCTACCGTTTAAATACTAAAATACGCTCAACAATGCGATGTTAAGTGGTTTTGAACTATATCCTCGTTGGGTGCCCCTGTTGAACTCGGGGCCTCAGAATTGCAAGTCCAGCGCTCTGACCACTCGGCCACGCTGCCTCCTCTAAAAAATAAACGTAAGGTAAGGTTGTTCGTTTCATGGGTATTTCTAACCTTCGGTCCTGTTAGCGGGCTCGTAGCAGATACCTGTTCCTTTTCGAGATGGCAGATCTGTGCAGTCTATGATGTGAAACGTGTGTGTGCCATCACGGTTTAAATGATCTGCCTTTTCGAACTCAGGCTCACAATGTTCAGATTTTAATTTCTCACATGCTTCTCTGCAAACACGCTGAACCGTAAAATCAATGTAACACCGTTGAAAGTAATGATGACAGTATATATCGTCGATCTGCTTGAGACAGCTTTGGCGTACCGCGGTTAGATTCTGTTGCTTTGACTCTCTAACAAACGAGTCAAACCTCTTCAATTTCTTTTCTTTGTCCCACAGCTCCAAAATGGTTCCCTTAACTAGCACATTACCGATTATACTTTTGCAGTAACCACCGTTTTCGAACAGGGATTGATTGATACCATATGGAATGCACGATGAAATGTGATGGAAAGAGCTGAAGAGATAAAATAGTGATAAAACGTTGTATTAATTAAAAGTAAGTGGTCTTTATTCATAAACGGACCCGTTTCTCCTCTGTCCTCGATCCGACTGGAATGGAATTTTCTAGATCTAGTTTATGCAACCTTATTAACAGGGTGTTTTGTACAGTAGCAGAACGTTGTTCCAAGATGACGTAAGAACTTTCAGTTCTAATAATTAAGAATTTAGCCTGAATTAGCCTGCTTAGCGTGGCGGTTTTGGTTGGGCGCGCTAAGTAATAAAGGCGGGCGAGGGCAGAGATTCGCACACTTCGCGGGCGAATTTCGCGGCTTCGCCGCTTGTGCGCCCGGCTCGACAAAACCGCCACGCTACCCAGGTTAAGCCTGAATGAAATCACAAGACTTTCATTGCCAACGCGTTAATGGTACCGGCCCAGGCATTGTATAAAATTCCAATGAGAAAGCCCTAATTTGCACAAGAAAGCAAAAACCCGAAGGATTCTGATCGTAGTAGTAAAATGACGCCGTCATAGTCCCGTTTCCCAAACAAATCAGTAGTACAGAGAAAAACATAACACTGACACTGTAAAACTGAACAGGCGTTGGGTTTGCTAAATCATAGACAGTGTTCTTCCGGCTGAGTAATGCGACTAAAGATGCGACAATCGTAAGATTAAGAGTATTTAGAATGTATAATTGTTACAGATTCTTACTTGTTTTCGCTGTTATTTCTTGGGATGTTATTAATTCCAGCTTCTAAAACATCAGAAAATAGACAGTATCGCTCGGTTTGTCATTATTTGTATACATATAATGTCTGAATAATTGCGTTATCGACATGCTTGTACAAGAATAGTGGTGTAGTTACTGACTAGGTCATACCTGATGAAATAACAGAGAATGAAATCACGGCGAGAACCACAGTCAACAGGATAGAAATCATGGCGCAAGGGACTTTACGGCTCCGTGCAGTTTTTTGACGTTTAAAACTGTGCCACTTTTCAGCACATGCTTTTAGCTTCAGCAGGCGTTTCTAGAGCATCGAGTAATATTCTATGCAATTCCTTTCAGCTATTGTTTCTTCGTTGCCAGAAACAGATCAAGCCAGAAGGGAGGAATAAGAAAAAAAAGCTGAAACACGTATCGACTGACGAATGGCATTGCTGAAGCTACACTGAATTTCTGATAAAGATCATGTCAGCTGGAATCAGCCTATTTGATGTCGCGTGAACAAATGAAATATTGTTACCAAGTGGTTTTGCAAACAGCTGTCAGTAAGCTTGTTTTGCATATTGACACAACTTCTAACTCTTCCGCGTTCCCGAATTCGCAATTAGTTGTATTTATTTCCTGAAAACAATATAACCCGCCTAGATTAGCATATCTACCCTCGGACATGTTAAAATAGTATTTCAATCTTGAAACCAAATAAAATGTATGTATGTGTCTGTATGGGAAAATGTGCCTTTTTTGGAAAACTCCTTTTTGTTGTTTTTAAGTTAACGTTTATCAGGTTGTAATTTTTGCAATATTTATATTGTTATCAAAGCTCAGTAACGAAGGGTTTTGTAGAAGGCTGGCAATTTGCTCAGCTGTTGTTTCCTAGCTGCCAGAGAGCGGTTACTGACTCTCGGCTCTGTCTCTTATTTCGGATTGATGAAGCCAAAGAAGAGAGATGGATGAAGTAACATTTTAGTGCGAAAAAAACGTGTTCGCGCTCAATAAATACAGAAGTGACTGCATGACTTATTGTGAAAAACCAAAATAAACCCTCACAGCAAGCAAGATATTGGAATTTAAGATTCAAAAAGTAACACGAAACTTTAACTTCACCTGGGGCCCGTTTCTCGAAAGTCCCGGTAACTTTACGGGCCCGAAATCAAATATTCAAATCAAAATATAAAGAATAAGAGCGCGGGTCCTGGCTAACAAACTGCTCCATTTTGTTTCACTAACTGACAGTTTTATCACGTTAGATGCAAAACTATTGAAACCTCGATCTTTAAGGTAAACGGAGACAGCTTACCGGGCCCGTTAATTATCGGGACGTTCGAGAAACGGACCCCAGGGCCGAACTCCCTCGTCAATGGGACGGGGATACCGTATGTACTCGAATAAGCCCAGCTTATTCTCAGCAACCGGAACGTACATATTTTTGATGAGATTGGTCTTTTAAAATATCTGCTATTTATTCTCATTTAACTGATAAAAAGGGCCAAATAGGCCTTAAAAATTATCTTTTGTTACGTTTCTTTCGCTGTTCTTATCGCTTTTGAACATAAAGCTACGTGCAAACTGAGGCAATGTTCAACTCCAAACGCTTAACATTGTTGGGCCAACAATATTGGGAGTTGTTGCGTGCCTCAGTGACAGTGGTGTGCAAACGGATGCAATAACTCACAACAATAGTGGGACCTGCAGTGCATCGTAGGGAGGATACAACCCATAAGAGTTTGGAGACCATGTGTCGGCGATCACGAAACAAAAGAAATGTTGGGAGCTGAAAGTTTGACTGGTTTCAAACTTGGCGCAACAACTCCAACAACACGCAACGACATGCAACAACATACATAGGGTGTACAAGCGGACGCAGCATGTAACATCCAACAATGCTGGGACGTTGTTGGCCAAGATGTGTCCGTTTGTACGGGGCTTAACGACACAATGGAAAAGAAAAGCAAAGTACGTGGTGCAGTGCCCTTCCCCCGAGTAACCGCCGCATCCGAGTCAGTACAGTGCTTGTAAGGAAAATGGATTCAAACCCAGATGGTGCAATTACTTAATGACGTAATTTGAAAAGTTTAAAGATAAGATACACTGAACGATGTCCACGTACCGCGACCTCACAACGGAATACTCAACCATCAAAGATTTCCTAGCGATTTTAAAACTAAAAAAAAGCGGAATGAAACTTAAAGTAAAACTTCTCAAAATTTCTAAGCTTGGTAGGGGGGAACCCAAAGTCGATTTTCGGAAAATATCTGTTCGGAAGACCATTTGAGATCTAGAATTTTCGGAACATTTTTTGTAGAATTTCTTGCTTGCCTGCCTCTCCTAGGATTTTCGAACATCTAAAAAATGGTATAATTGCCCATTTTTAACGGATTTTTGCTTTAAAAAGGTCATCTAGAATTTTCGGGAGCCTTTTTTTTTGGCAGAAATTTTCGAATAGATAAGTTTTGATCTCTATAATTTTCGGATCACTAGACTTTCTGCTAGGAAATCCGAACAGATGAAAAATTTTTAGGGAATAAAAATATGCCTGTGTCTACCGTTTAAATACTAAAATACGTTTACCAATGCTACGTTTAAGTGGTTTTGAACTATATTCTCGTTGGGTGCCCCTGATGGTACTGTAGGCGAAAGTTGTCGAGTGCAATTTGGCGAAATTCCGGTTTTAATGATAAAATTCTAGCTCGCTCTATTCATTTGGGAACGTGATTTAACGGGCTTGAGCACGTGTACCAAAGACATGTCGATGTCCAGGAAAAGATTATTGTTCAGTGATTTATAGTTTTAATTACATTCTTGTTATAAGCAAGATCTTAACAACGTTCTGAAAAGCTTAGATCTACTTTATTAATAAGAAAAGGATTCTGTGCTCCGTTACATGCAGATACGTGACCAAATTTAAACTTCTACGAAACTTGTGGGAAGACGTGCAATTTACATTTAAATAGTCTTAATAACTACTGCTTGTAAACGATAACAACTAAGGGGGTGACGGTTTTCATGACACCTGGGCGACTTTCGCGCCGGAGCGAGTTCACTCCGGTTCCCTCTTATGGCTCTACATTTGTTTACATGTCATCACTCGCGAGACACCCCGGCGTGAGTTCACCCCGATTGTTGTACCGGGGCGGGAACTTCACTAACGAAATCTCGCAACGGTATCATGTAAGCGCTAAACGACCACACGTTTCGGTGTGAAATCGGTCTGCCGGTAGACTGGAAAGGGGAGCGCATGCGTAATGTTTGCGATTTTGAATCACGCGTGTATTTTATCAACATGAAGAGTTCCTTCAAAATGACCCAGTCATAATGTAAACACGATACGAAATCAAAAAGTCATCCCGGTATGAAACTCGCGCTGGTGCGAGTTTTCTCATGTAAACACCCCCTAAGGATTAATGTTAGAATTTTTCAAAAGGCACTCCAACCTGGTCAAAACTTACTTAATAAGATATTGCCGTCTAATAATGAAGCATTACTTAAAAAAGGCAAAGATGCAAGAATGTGATCACTACTTGTGAGTGAAAAATAAACTTGTAAAGATTATTGCCACCTTAGATTGTGCCGGCTACTACAAAAGTATGAGGATAAGCTAAGAGTATTTGAATTGTTTATGGCTCTAAAGTCGGTCTATCCGATTGAATCCACTGTGGTCAGTAAATTCATAAGTTCTTGTCCCACACACATTATTGCACGGCTCATACTGTGCTTTCATCTTCTGAATGAATCCTCATTTCTCTCAGTGAAATAAACTCCCTCACTTCACCCAGGTCAACCGAGAAGCGACGGCGATGAAAATTCGTTGAATAAGAATGTTCTGCAACGCCCATCTTTATCATCTCCTTACTGCAAACATCACGTTCAGAAGCCCGCATAAACTCTCGTAGCTCACTCAAATCGATAGAGTGGTTGTTGTTGTCTCTTAAAGCCTCTGTAGTAGTAAATCCTGGGGGGACGTTGAGGCTGTCGTTATTCTGTTGGTGAAAAGCATTGTAGTAAGATAGCCCTCTGTCTAGCTTATCGTATTTGGGTTTGCCATCTTTCCCTGCGATTTGTTCAAGGGATCTTCGTTTTCTGCAAAAATGAACATACCTCCATAACATTATGACTGATTAGTGATGTCAGATTTTTTGTACCAGTCAGGGATTATTGTTCGCAGAGGCTTTGGCATTTCCTTTATATCTAGGAAACAAAGGTGCATGGTTCTCATTTTGCCGAAATTCCGATGGAAGGCTTCGTTTTACTTTCGACAATGGTCCCCTTTGACCCATCTAACTCGATCCTTCAGATATGTTCTGATCGAATAGTAATACCGGAGAGTAACCAAAACGTCCGACCACTCAAGAATGATCAGGGTAGAATCCATGAACAGTGTCCTTGAGGAGGTCTGATGCGCACAAGTTGGATCGTGATATTTGTTCCACTTTCTTGTACCGAAACCGTAACTTTGTTATCTATTGTATTTGATACTAATCTATCTACTCGTCTCGATTAGCTATTGCTATTTGCTGGTAGATCCTTTTCCGATTTTAATTCAAACCGCAAAAAGATTGTTGTTGTTGTTGTTGTTGTTGTTGTCGGTTCCATTTTACTTTGGATAGTCTGCCTGGCCGGTCTTTTCCTTATGACAAAACCCGCCCATAACTGAAAATCTCAAAACAAAAGCTGCAACACGACTTTCCTTATCACCTAATTTTAAGAAGTTATCTTGCAGCAAACGGGTATCCTTATTATATATTGTACTAACCTTTGAAGCCTTTTGTAGCGCGTGTTTTCATACGCTTGTTCAAACTCAATTACGATTTCCCTCAAGAACGGAGGAATGTTTAGGGAGCCATCAGGAGCAATGTTGACGTAGGGATGGCGACGAGGTGTGGTGGGAACATTTTCATCATCAAGTGTTTCGTATCCGTGTCTATTAGCAATGATTCTATCAATCCAGTCCGGTGGTGATGTGGCGTATGGTGTTATAGTAGGAATTAAATCTGCAAAGCAAATGTTAATTTACTAATGGCAGAAATAAGTCAACAGAGGCGGATCTAGGGGGAGGGTGCAGGGGGTGCGCACCCCTCCCCCCCGAGATGACCTGCGGTTTTCTAATACAACTGATATTCTGCAAAAAAAAAAACTATGTGGTTTATTGGTGTTGAAGTACAGCAAGAGACGAATGCACCCCCTCCTAAGAAAAATCCTGGATCCGCCCCAGGTCAATAGCCTGAATTTCAGACGATTACTTCGAGTAGTTTTTACTCCCTCAGTTACTCAGGGAGTAAGAACGACTCGAAGTAATCGTATGAAACCATAAGAACCATAAGAGGTTTTAAGTAAATTGGAATGAAAAGTCAGCGTGAATGGTTATTTGTGTTGAAGAATCTGCGTGCGCTTATTAACATCATATTTCTGTCAAATACGACAGTAAAATCGGGTTATTGAGATCTAAAATTAGAAGAGTAAGCAGTCAGACAATTAAGAAAATCTGAAAATGTAAGCAGTAAGGAAAACTCTAAAGAGTACAGAAATTGTAACAGAAATTAGGTGTATTAAAGCGCCCTTATGAAGCCAAAGGTGTCTCTTAGCTCCAGAGCGTGGCTCCAAATCATACCACTTACAATTTCTATCAAAATTTACTTACTATTTCTGTCGTTAAAGGCCAGGAACCCTCTCTTCTTGGCGAAATGGATTGCAAGGAAAACCGCTCCGAGAGCAAATATACCAGGTACGACACTTGCTGCTACTGTAGCTCCCGTTCCTGTCACACGAAATATAAGTAAGAAAAATCATTGACTCAAGTTTGCGTCGACAGCCGGGGAGAATTCAAACTGAAAGATATGTTTTTGGCACAACTTTCAGTCAAATTTCTAAGCTTGGGATACCTAGCCCTGTTGTCCTGCTTGGTGATCTGTAGTCGTTGGCAATCTGTCTGGGTTCTGAGAAAAAAGCATGCACCAGAGTTATGGAGTTATCATTTATTCATATTTGAATATGGCATTTCTGAGTTTTTAACTTGGTGTCAGGTTTGCTCTATTTGAAGATGTAAGTAAGTGGTTCTATACCTAAAGAAGTTCTAGCAAAGTAGCTTGCACTGATGGCACCGTTGCCCTTAGAGGTGAAAGCAAGCATCTGGAAGCTGTAATTTGTACCAGGTCTCAATCCGTTAATTATTAAATTAGTTTCTTTTGGTCCAGCTACGGTACTGTTAGCTCGTGACTTGTTTTGAACATCACTGTAGAACACTCTGTACCCAAGAACCCTTCCATTGGTATTTTTCGGAGAGACTGGGCTCCATTTAAGCTGAACCACATCCTTCTCCAGGGCTTTTGCTGTTATCTCACTTGGAGGGCGGTCTGGAACTAGAATAGTGGTACCGAGTTACTCCAATGCATTGCTATCGATTTTAAATTTGTACAAACTGAATACTTTAATGACAAAGTCTGAATTAATACTGCCAATGTATTGTAGATATTACTGACGCTAAAAACATGAAAACGAAAGACCACATCATGCGGTTAGTTAACAGATGGCAGCACATTTCCTTATTGGCGTTTGTGCAACCAGTGTATTTAACGCAACTCGGGCCATGTCGGTACACTCATGCGTTTTTCCTTGTGTCGTAATAAAAACGCATCAAATAGTCCGCATCCTCATAGGTGTTTTGACATCTTTTTTAACTCTTGACGCTAGGCCAGAAGGAAACGTACGGGCATGTTTTACTACCTTAAATCATGCGCGCGACAATCATCACAAAATCAACCCAGGCGATCCCTTCAGGTATCTTCTGTGTTATGTCATTCCTGACCATTTCATACTTGCAGAAAGTCATCGTTACCCAACGATTCCTTGCGGTCCTTGTTTTAGAAACCGAGATTTTTTCTACTATGCTGACTGCATGTTTCAACTGTAAGTACTTTCCAAAATATATGTTGTTGCTCAATTTTATCCTAAATTCAAATTTTATTTCATTTGTGTTTTTGGGAATGGTAATGTATAATAATGAGTTTGCAACAAAAGAAAATAAAATTTAAACCAAGGATAAAATTGAACCACAACATATACGCGCGATTTACTAAAATTCCTCCTCAGGATTTCGCCTTCTGGGCGGAATCCCTGCGGGGGAAATTACCATTATCATTATTTTCAATTATTATTGATTAATGTTATTATTAATCTTACCATCCTCGTCTGTTCGCACAGTTAAAACACCAGGTGGTCCCCTCCCTCGTCGTGTCACTCCGTACACACTGACCACATAGACAGAGTATTTTTTAAGTCCGCCTAATTCTATTGATCTTATTGTCGTATAGTTAACCGTTGAATTCCATTCCATCCTTTGTTGTTCTAGCCTTGCTTCCACTTGGTATCCCAGTATTTCTCCATTACGTTTTCCGACAGGGATTGGGTCCCACTGCACCTGAAGACTAGTGGAACTGATATTCCATCCCTCCAAGCTCTCAGGCGCCGCACTGGGAACTAAAATGATCCAATAGCATATTGTTTCTATTAATATTTTATAGAGTATTTAAGTGGCACTGATTAAAGGAGCGCTTCATGGGAGTCTAAACAGATGTTATTATAAATGAATTAAGATTACTTACTTTTTCTTTGAATTAGTGTGCTTTTGAATCTTGCAATCAGTCGGTGCGAGGTCTGGGACAGAGAAATCGCCAGAAATAGCTCAGTATCTCTAAGTTATCAGATCTTCCAAGGATTTTTGGAATATCCGACTGCCCCAGGCCCCCTAAATACCGTTTTTTCTGTCCCGGACCTCACACCTGGTCCAAAACTCAGAATGATAATAATAAAAACAAAACAAAAAAACAATGATAATAATTATTTATTTATTTATAAGGACTGCCAAAGAAAAAACAAACAAACAAACAAACACCCACGCAGTGATAAAGTAATCAGAGTAGTTATCTATTATCTAATCGGACGTGAGAGCTCGCTGTGATTCTATTCCACTTTGTCTAGTACTAATGCCAATTACTCGCCCTTCTAACTATGGAACTTACAAATTAAATTAAGCATAGAATTTAATCATAAAGGACACTGAATGAAAAAAATATATCTGTTTCACCGACGAATCCTTGTCCACATCGGATTTAGCAGGTTCCGAGGGAGCTTGGAGCATAAATCCTGATCACGATCATCTCAAAGGAACGCACCCTAAATCAAGTCAGTAAGTCATTTAGATCTCTGTAGAACAACATACCTATGGACGTTTCTCTATTAACCTACCATCTTCGTCAGTTGAAATCACCAGCTTTTTACTCCATGTACCATTTCCAAAAGTATTGTATGCTCTCAGTCGACAGCTATAATTGGTGAACTTTTCCAGTCCTTTGAACTCGCAACTATGAGATCCAGATTTGATGTTCGCAAAATGTTTTGCAGTTGAGTTGGGCCTCTCGCATAGTACATGAAATCCAAGAAGTACTCCATTTCTGGAAGGTTTTGGAACATTTCCCCATGAAACTTTAACTGCAGTTGAGCTCAAGTTGTGACCTTGATAGTCGTTTGGTGGGCTTGAAGGAGCTATATAATCAGAATTTAAGAAAGAAAGCTGTAAGGGGAGTTTTGATGCGTTGTGACGAGGATAGAACACGTATTTTTGCATGCAAACGGAGCCCATTTTATTGCACTCTCCATATTTGCTCAAAGTTATTGTCCTTCGTACCCAACATAATCAATCAATAAATTAATATTTATATCAGTGTTGTCTTTTTTTCGAGTTCATCTTAAAGGAGCGTTAAAGTGTGACAGAGTATTTCGTTTATGTAACATGTTATCATTACCACTTTCGCTCTCACTGCCTCTTCCAATAATTTTTCATAAACGATGTACTCTTCCCTTTTTGGCCAACGTAAACAATTTTTGGGTCCGGTTAGTCTAAATTATCCTTCCTGTGTTAGAAAGTTGTCATTTACGTAGCCACAACAGTTTATGCGCTTTGAAAGTAAAGCGTTTGAAGTCTTTTCGCTTTGCACTTAATGTTAGCAAATAAGGTCCTAGCTGGGAAGATTGTTTATACAGTTAACTCTGTCTAAAGGTGGTGTTACACTGAACGATTCGCAACGACGATTTTTAGCGCAACACAGCAAGCCTGAATTGTTTTTCAGGCTTTTTTTTTCCCAACTGAAAAAGTTGCGTATATAACTGCGATGATCTTCCTTCATGTAGTTATTAACTCCGCAGTTCAGATATATCATTTTCATAACTTCACAGCGTTGCAATGTTGGAACAATGTTGAAACCATTCGAAACAATGTCGTAACAATGTTACAACGCTGTGTCGCGCTAGAAATCGTCGTTGCCAATCGTCTCGTGTAATATCACCTTAAGACGGCTTCATTTGGGATCGGTACCATTTGTCCGTTTCAAGGAGATGCCCGTCTACTCGTATGAAGTCGTCGACTGTACGATTAATCCTGTCCAAAATTATTACCTCTCCGTTATTTTTGTCATTGGAATTGTGCAGTGAAATTCAGGCGTAAACGAAAAGGAAGCCATACCGCTCTTGGCGTGAAAAGCCGGAATATTCCGCGGGGCGGGCAATCCAAAAACGCGCGAAATACGACAACTGTAATTCAATTTTACTTGCATAGGTATAGTAACCAAGTTACCTAGCAACGACATACGATGATGATGAGCCATTCAGGGTTTAGTTAACGAGAACACATTTAGACACATTGCACTACACGTATGGTTTCGTGTGTGGCGTCATTGAAAAACTTAGAAACTACGTAGTAAGTCAGTATACTTACGTTGTTTGGGACATCCAGGAACATTACAATACTCCCATTTCACAGTACCTTCATCGACAAAGTAGCACCAAGGCTTGCGGGAGCTTAAACCTCCTGGATTGCGGCAGAAATTACTACTATTTCTTATCTCATCGTAAATACTTTCATTGAGTTTACTTTTATCAGGTTTATGTGTATCCCAAGACAGGCAGGACTTGCCCCACTTGGTTGTGTTTGTGTTACCACGGTAGCCACGCCCATTTCCATAGAAACAGTCTGCAACAATACATTATAAAAACTTATGAATTATCCATGGAAGCTGTGACCAGATACAGCACAGGGTCCAGATGAGTTCGGTTTGTCGTGGGAACGTCCAAAACTCTATTTCAAAAACCCATTCACAGTTAATAATAGTTATTTCGATTATCCTGTCATTGTGTTACATTACCGCAGCCTTAAAGGACTTGAGACGCCAAGATGGGCTTACAGCATATACAATATACAGCAAGAGAGGAAAAAAATTGGGGGCTATTCTGTGAATCCTTGTAGCTCTACTGAAATTCAACAAAATGATCTGATTTTAACTACCACGTCCTTAAAGGACTTGAGACGATAAGTTGGGCTTACAGTATATAAACAGTATACAGAAAGAGAGGAAATAAATTTGGGGCTATTCTGTGAATCCTTGTAGCTCTACTGATCTTTAACTATCAGATTAAAATGTATTTGCTAAATTCTCTGTCTTCATTTTTGTTTTGCACTTCGCTCCTCGTTCGGAAAGCTTGGCTTTCCACCGTTGACCTTCGGGCACTCGGGAGCCCAAGAAGAAACAGCTACAACGCTAGTAAAAACTCTTGGGACACTAACGTAAAAGCTCGTCAAATTTAGGCATCTTCCCTTCCCCCTTCCCCTGGAGCAGTATTGACGTTATGCATTCAATTTTCAATTCAACACAATCAACACTGCTGGGGGGAGAGGGGGACAGCAGAAATAGCCCCTTATAACAACTTCCCAGCTGTTTTAAGAGGTAGAATATGAGTTAATTTAGTTGTGCATAATTTCCTCAAGTGTCCCAAGACGTTTTGACCAAGGTTGTGGCTGTTTTATACTTTTCAAAATAGCAGTTTTTATCTTTTTGTGTATAACGCTTCGGAAATCTGTTCGAAATGGGTCCATAAAGATCCCACTGCGCTTATTATTTAGATTTATCGATGAAGGTTTATAGATTTGTGTGATTTTACTAAACGGTGCCGGCTAAGTTTTTGCTTGAACACGGTCATCGCCCGTGATCAAGCCAGGGTAGCCGAAAAAAAAACAAACAAACAAACAGGGGACTTGGCGTCTTGCTAGGCGTCAGCCGAGAGCCCAGCCCAGACCTAACTGTGGGTGGCTGGCTGGCTTTTTTGTGTCAAAAGTAGAGGGGTAGAGAGGAGACATTTTGTCCCTTGTCAGAAAGTAGTGCAAAGTCAAGGAATATTCCCTGTGGGCTAGCCCAGCCAAATCAGTGCTCTGCCATAATCATAATACTTCCTGCAGAGCTTGGGGGGAGTGATTTACTAGTTATAAGTGTCATGGGTGGGAAGGGTGCTATCTGGAGACTGATTGCAGGCACCTTGTATCAAATCCAGTCAGATATAATTTACAACGTTACACGTTAATAAATTATCCGTATGTTCAAACTGAACAGCTCTAGACCTTGTGTGTAATGATAATCTGTTTTCGTACATTCTTATTTCTAAGAAAATCCCAAACTGGCTAAATATGCAGATGTGCTTAACGTAACAGACTATTAAAACAAAGATTTTAAACATGAAGATGATGTGAACTGCGGAAATACAAAATAACATCATTTAAAAAAGATTTTAAAGCTATTTAAGATTTCTTTTCGATTATGACGTCAAAAAAAGAAATTTTTCTTACCTTTAGTCTCAAGGACGTCAACTTTTTCTAATTGGAAATAAAACAGAAGAGGATAATAAATTATTTACTTTTGAATGTTTGATAACTAGTGGAGAGAATTTCAGATTGCATCCTTCTATTTTGACTCCACTGCACAACAGCAACAGGCAGAATGAAAAGGCAAATAAGTTTATTTTGGGACGGCTTGGAGAGTACCAACCCTGCAAAGTACGTATGTAAACACAGCAATAGGTAAGTAACTAATGTACAACACTCGTAAACTAGCTTTCACAAAACGAAAGAACTGCTACAACTGGTCGAACTCGACCTGAATCCCCCATAAAGCACGCAGGCTTAGTGCCTGTTCGGTCGCCAGTTAGGCTGGGCAAAACGTAATAAAATTCTGATCAACGGATAACTGAGACAGGGAACACTGCAGAAGCACAGAGGCTAGGCGCCGGAAAAACTGACTGAACAAATGGCTAACGACGTCAAACTAGACTTTTGTCGCCGCTTGGAGAGCGGTTCCGGGACAGCTGACCTAAGCATACATAGAAACCAAATATATTAGGTATAGGAGCAGGTGTAAAACTGCGATAACCATAAAAGTACATAAGATAAGAAACGGGAAGAAAGCTAAAAACTAGCAGAGCTGAGCTACCGCTTGCAACAGAAATAAACCTGCCCAAAAAAAGCCCGAAGGGAAAAAATACGGGCAGGAAATCTGGGTACGAACCAAGGCTCAGGCTCAAAGCTCTTCCTACGGGACTTTACAACGTAATCGAGAATAGGCTGCTCCTAAAATAAAACAAAAAATTAAGAAAAACCAAAGAGAGGTTGTTTCAGAAGCCCAGATGACGTATGTACTGTCGCAATTTGTAATAAAAAAGCTGTCACAATTTGTGATTACTGTCCATCCCACTTTGTAATAAACTAAGAATACATATGTACTGTCGCAATTCGTAGTAATCATCGCACTTTGTAATACCTGTCGCAGTTTGTAATAAACCGTGTCGCACTTTGTAATAAAAAAGCTGTCGCAATTTGTAATAATTCCATCGTACTTTGTAATATTTTTTGAGAGTGATTCAACTTACTCCGTCAACATTAATATAATGCCAAAATATGAATGGTACTTCAAAAACAAAGGTGATGACGTCTGCAAGCACGTAAACTACAATTTATTGCTTATATATAATTTACAAAGTATCTCCGCTGAAATGGCTTTTGCGTTTGGTAGGATTCTAACTATTGTGTCCAAAAATCTGCTATTGTTTGGATTTCATTTCTTTAATTCATCGATCCTTTACTTAGCTGAAGACGAGAAAAATTGTCCAAAATTGTTCTTATATGGAAGCCCAAATTTTCAAATAGCTAAGCAATGTTTAATATTGGCTTTCGGCCGCCAATATTAGCTGGCGCTGACTAATTTGAGGTTTACAAATATTACTATCATTACTGATAAATTACGATTTACAAGTAGTCTCTTTCTCTACCCACCTTGGTCATGGTTAGGATAGTAGCAATTTGTCGTTTCATTTCGATACGGAAGAGTGGTGCAGTTGATGATATCCCAGTGATATTGATAAATCCTCCGGTCCCTTCTCTCAAAATTCATCTTTAAGGCTTCCCTAAACTCTCGCTTGCAGTGTTTAAACTGTAAGTCCTCGCATGCCTCTCTGCAAATCGGCTGCGGTTTAGAATCAATGTAGCAGCGTTTATAGTAGTAGTGACAATATATATCGTCGATTTGTTTGAAACATTGGTCTATCTCAGACAGTCTGTCAGATTTTTTTCCCTCGGAAATATCTAATGAAGCCCAGCTGCGATAGCTAACTGCCTGATACTGCCAGCGCCACATGCTGTCATCGTAGTAGAACATATCCTTTGGCGTTGCAATAATTGGCTGATTACCAATGATATCATTGCAGTAACCACCCTGTTTGCGCGTTCTTCTCGCGGCAATATTGAAGACACCATATGAAATGCAAATTGGTTCGTCCTCGTTCATCCTGGAAAGAGACATTGGAATTAAAGTAAACGTCACTGTCCTACTTCAAGCAAAATAAGTTGCTCCATGCATGGACTGTAGCACTTAAGAACAAGAGTATGCTTCGTAACAAATGAAATAATATAGTAATAATCATAATCACCGCCGTCGTCATCATTATCACCATGCATCGTCATTATAAATTCCGCAGTGTTACATTGTGCTGCTTCATCTAAATATCAATAGTAGCACTTTACACAAAACTCTCTCATCTGATTGGCTATCGGCAGCACTTACGACAGCATTGATAGGACACTATAGTAGGACAGAGCACGCCATCTCGCAACAGGCAGTTGCACTTGACTTGGCCCTTCCTATGACTAGCAAGACTTCTTGGAAGATCCTGCTATGATATTTATAGGTAACAGAACTTCATGTCATCCAATTACCCCCACACTCTGGCGGGAATACTCTGCCGTCTGACATTAAGAATAGCTCCTCAGTGTCCGTTTTTAAAAACAGACTTAAAACCTTTCCTTTTTAAAAAAGCATATTTATAACTTTTTTTTAACAACTTTTTAGCCATTTTTATTTTGGTGTTAAGATTTGAAGCTTTTTCTTAATTTTATTATTGTTATTATTATTATTATTATTATTATTAATCGTTACGGCTTGTGATCACACCATTAACTGAATAAAACTCTTCCGATTCATCCTACTTAGGCCAAACAACAACAAGATAATAATACGCCCTATAAAGAAGTTCGTGTTAATGCCAGAGTACTTGTGGGAAAAACTTACTCGTTTAGCATCTTTGTCAGGTCTGCGACTCCTGCGTTTCCAGCCTCTACAAGAAAATAATACAAACTGTATAGTCTTTGATAAGCCAGCTTCCGTTTTTTTTTTTCGCTAATTTGTGCCTCCCTACTTCGTGTTTGAAATGATTGTTTTCGAAAGGACTAGTATTACAGGAAAAAACTGAATTTCAGTTTCATTTCTTAATTTAGAAATGATGAAAATAAATAGAGAAAAGAAAGGAACTTCCGCTCTGGCCTCGGGTAGAGGGCGGCGGATACGCAAAGTTTTCTTGATTGAGACTTTCCCTTAACCGTTTTCGTCTCTTCAAATAAAAATGGTACACCTTTCACAAAGATCAATTTTCATTTTTTAAACTACTGTAACTAGTCCTTCTTAAAAATATCTCTAAAACAGGAAGTTTTCTTTTCATTTTCATGCACCTTTGAATACGTTAAAATGATGAATTGTATAGTGTGGCTGTTTGAAATATTTTGATTGAAGGTCCCGTGTTAAATACCTAAACGATGAATTTCTTCGCCCTTACATAAACTTCTCTACCACTTTATAATACCTGACGGACGGAACCTCACCGTGTAAGCCGTTTATAGGGAGTGCCCCCACCTCGTGTGCCGCTTCAGTGGAATGGCACACCGCCACAAGTGTAAAGTAGAGCTGACATGGAAAACCGGAGTTTATTACCGCCCGAGAAAAAAGAAAACACGTAAACAAACAAAAAAAAACAAAGACGATGAAATTAAGTTAATAGAGATAGCATATAGAAATCACGTAATATAAATAAGGGCCTCTCTTTCTTTTCTAACACACCTTCCGCAGAGGACGTGAACCAGTCTTGGAAGTTTAATTAAAAATAAAAAAATATTGATTCTGGCTTTCACTTAAAAATAGTAATTGTGAAAGCTTATGAAAGAGTTCGTCAAATATTCAAATAATTTTAATTTTGAAGTCGCCTTTTTAACTTTTTAATTCTTCTGAAAGCCTTATAGACACCAGACTAAAATGACAGAAGTTCTGCCACACTCTGCGGAAGTGATTATGGAAGATATGTACCGTGACGATAAACACCTGCAACTGATTAAACCGGTAGCAGGGGCACCCAACGACAATTTTCGGAAGAATATCTTTTCGGAAGACGATTTGAGATCTAGAATTTTCGAAACATTTGTTGTAAAATTTCTTGCTTGCCTGCCTCTCCTAGGATTTTCGAACATGTAAAAAATGGTATAATTGCCTATTTTTAACGGATTTTTACTCTAAAAATGTCACCTAGAATTTTCGGGAGCCTTTTTTCTGGATGAAATGTTCGAAAAAGGAAGTTTTGATCCCTATTATTTTCGGATCACCAGACTATCAGCTAGGAAATCCGAACAGATGAAAAATTTTTAGGGGAAAAAAATATGCCTATATCTACCGTTTAAATACGAAAATACGTTTAACAATGCAATGCTTAAGTGGTTTTGAACTATATTCTCGTTGGGTGCCCCTGCCGGTAGGTGATATTGTTAAATACCTAATAAGATAGCAAGGAACAAACTGCCAAGAAGAGCCATATTCCACAACATCTTCGGAGAAAACATAGGAAAATGCCTTGCCAGTCTTTTACAGAAAAACCCAGCCTCTAGCTCTGGTTAATCCGATTTGGTCCGCAAAATTAACTGCTCGCTCGTGTTTCACGCCTAGCTACTTTGTCAGTTACAGCAAGAATTGTTCAGCCAATCAAAGGAGGGGATAAAAATCACCACCATTCATTTTCGCTTGGCTTCCGTCCAAGTGCTAATTTTGGTGGGGACTCGACAGCGTAGCTCGGACGCTGAAAGCATTGAAAGCATCCTACAAGCTAATCTTCTAGTTATGAAACACCTAGACTTAGGTGTAGAGGCCACATGGCCCTATCTCATACAAAAAGTTGTCAAATTTGTTGATAAGAATAAGTCTTCAATATTACCCGGCCTTCCTTTCAGGAAGAGACGGGTATAGTTCTGGCCTGGGTTTTTTATTTGTCGACGAATCGCCGTCTGCTCTTTGAAGCGCATGCCTGAACTGGCCCAATATTACGTGGTCAATTTTCAGCAAATTCATTTCCTTACAGCCAAAATCCCCTTGACATGTTGTCGAGATGAAACGAGAAAAGGCAGCTTTTTTGTCAGTCGATAGCGTTAACTTTGCGATTTTGTGGCCTCTATGAGAGATCGACAATTATTTTGGTCGAAATATTATACAGTTTCAAAGTTATTCCAGAAGAGAAACAGCAGCTAGTGGAGGAAAAAGATGCAGATAATGTAAGGAAAGTACTTTGTAAAGTATTCATTCAGTTTTCATTCAGTGGTTTTAAGAATTAAATTTGTGTTCTTATAACTACTGAGTCGACTGTTTTGATTCGCTGCGCTTAAGCGTAGTTTTTTTTGTTGCTGTTGAAGTACGTAAGTGAAAGTCTAGAAATATAACAAAACAATTAATGTCAGATCCCGAGACGAAGTCGAGGGAAACATCAGGAGACTCGGGAAAACAAAACTAACTGGTTTCCCGATGGACCTGACTGTTACGAAAAATTGTATTGCGTGACTAGCGTGACTTTCTGGAAGCTTCGCGAGAGTTCATAGTTTGTTTATTTTAGGATCTTTCGTAAGCGTTTCTAAAGCGGTATATTTTGTAATCTTTCTATAATTAGACTATTTAGAAAGTTCTAGAATCTTATTGTAAACGTATATAAGTAGGCGAGTCCGAGTTAAGTTTCAACTAGTTTTCACAAGCGAAGAGAGTTCGACGTTAGTCGTGTTTAGTCAAGTGTGACGAAAGCACTGTTTATTCAGGTTGGCGGAGGCCGTGTAAGTTTATCGAGTTACGTGCTGTTGTGGAGTTTTACTCGTGGAAACTACGTTCATTTGTGGAATAAATCTCCTTGTTGCTGTTCCGACAACCCTGCGTTCAGTTTGGTTTGCAAGTAGCCTGCGAAAACATCCGTTTCTCCTCGCTCTTCGCCGCTGGGGACGTTTCGCGCGGAGCGAGGAGAAACGGATGTTTTCGCAGGCTAGTTTGCAAGCTACCCGTCCTCTAAAAGATCACCCGCGTAACACTGTCATTAAGTGTTTTGTTATATTTCTAGACTTTCACTTACTACTTCAACAGCAACAAAAAAACTACGCTTAAGCGCAACGAATCAAAACAGTCGACTCAGTAGTTATAAGAACACAAATTTAATTCTTAAAACCGAATGAATCTCCAACAAACCAACCTATGCCACTGATATTAATATTATAAAGGAAATAGGGAGATGTAAAGAATCAACCATAAGAGGACACAGAAATGGGATTCGAACCCACGACCCTCCGTGTTCTGGATCGGATGTTCGGATCCCATCTGGGGCTCAGATTTTTTTCTGTGTCCTCTTATGGTTGATTCTTTACATCTCCCTTTATTTCCTTTATAATATTAATATCAGTGGCATAGGTTGGTTGGTTGGAGGCTCCTTCATGGGTGAGACATTTCTTGCTATTAATGTGACTGTGTGATACAGTTAAGCCTTAATGTGTTGCTTGTGATGGACTGTGTGACTGCGAGATGCGGTTCGCAAGTCCAACACACAAAAGTAGGGAACTTAAGAACCACGACGAAGTTCACGACGACGACGTCTGTTGACTGGGAAAAGACTGGAACGAGAACGTCGGTTTCGGCGGGAAAAATGAACGTTAAGATGCGGTCGGTCGGTAGGTCGACGACGACGACACTGAATGTAAACACAGATGTAAAACTGTGATGTTCGTTCGCAACAAAGTTTTTCGCAATGGCGTCTTTCAAAACAACGCAAGATCTTATTTGTTCAAGCCGTACGTCTAATTTCATTGACGATGAAAAATTTTTTGTGCTGTCTGACCTTTTCGAGTGGAAATACACCTACTTTCCGTACGAAATTATTCAACTTTCAACTTGAATGAGATGGCCGAGTCCGAGTGTCCGTCAGAGTTTAGATTTCGAAAAAGAGACATTCTGATGTGATAGCTGTTTTTCATATAAAGTTTATTTCCTCTATATAAGAGATATATGATTTGCCTTGCCTAAATACGTACAAATAAATTTATCACAATTCACTTACGAGTTCGCTCGCTCGGCCTCCTCAGCTGTTGCCATTCTTCAAAGTAAAATCAATTCATTAGTCGAATTTTCAATCAACATCGCTTGTTTGGAGAAAAAAGGAACGATACCTGGATTTAGAAGGACAAGAAAATTTAAAGGCCTTCAAAAATTGCTTAAAACAGTGGATTTATACCTGCCGAAGCTTGTGCATTGCAGGACGACGTGATTCTACTTTGTTTGGCGTCGTCGACGACACCACGACGACGAAATTCACTAGTCGCGCTTGCGCAGTACAGTGTAACTCAGTTCTGGTCGTCGTCGAGGTTCTTAAGTTCCCTAATGACCCTTGCTCGTCAACGAGTCCTCAGTAGCTCAGAGGTTAGAGCATCCGATCTAGAACACGGAGGGTCGTGAGTTCGAATCCCATCTGGGGCTCAGATTTTTTTCTGTGTCCTCTTATGGTTGATTCTTTACATCTCCCTTTATTTCCTTTATAACACTGAATGAATACTTTACAAAGTGCTTTTCTTACATTATCTACATCTTTTTCCTCCACTAGCTGCTGTTTCTTTTCTAGAATAACTTTGAAAATCGTTTCTTTTTAGCTTGAAGCGTCATGTTTGTGTTGTTGTGTTCCTTCACGATAAAAAAGAAAACTTGTTTTTCCGGCCCTCTGCATATTCAGCAATATAGTATGCACCCAGTTGCAGGAAAGTGGCAGTTAATTACCGTTTCGGTGCATTTTCATTTAAAATCTGACTGTTCATGGCACTGACGTTTGTGCTTGGTCCAGGTCTCGTGCTTCCCAGCTGTCTCGGTATAAAAACATGCAGAAACTTACTATATCAAGCCAGGGAAAGAAATATTCTTTGACTCAGCTTCTTTTGGCATACATGGATTAACTTGTATCGATCTCGCACGGAAGAGGCAGATTTGTAAACCACGTAGAGTTGTTTATTACTAAAATTTGACGATTTTTATTGATCAAACAACATTTTATGGTTAAATTGACTGAAAGATTACATGTAAGCTTATAGGTCTTTAAAAAATGGACACTTATAATGGTTACTATGGAATTTCGATCTTGCAAACTCCATTTTGATCGATCCAACATTATCTAAGCTAGGAAGTTTTCTCTTTGCTGTGTTCGGCTGCTGTTCACTCAAACTTGCTACTAAAGGATCGACAAATCAGAAATAATATTCTGTATTTAAATTGGTTTCGTTACACAGTATAGATTTGGGTTTTCTATGATTACTCCTTTGCTTGTTGTTGAATCAATGACAAAAGCAATGAAATATTGAAATAAACTTTATTTATTTTCTCTTTTTTTTCAGAGAAGATGAACTTGATCCCAATCAAATAAAGTGCTGGTTGTGAAAAACTAAAAGAAGATGACGGTAATTTGTCTTTGAAGTACCTGCATCAGAGTGACAGTAAAATCGGAATAAAGATGATCTTACCCATCCTACGAACCTGTCAAAAATCCGCGCTACATCATTCACTGTTTTGACGTTATGCTAATTTTTCCAAATTAATGCGGACAATACATATATCCATGACTAGTACACTTCAGTGTGAGTATTGTCAATGTTTTACATTCAAAAGATGCAATAATTTCAAATTAAAATGTACTGGGAGGTATGTTTGGAGCTAGTGCGCATTATTTTGGAAAAAATTGGCGTAACGTCAAAACGGTAAATGATGTAGCGCGGATTTTTCACAGGCCCGTAAGATAGGTTTGTCTTGAAATTTCAAGGTGTTGCAGTGAATTAATCTTAATGTAAGTTTCAAACATTGTTATGTACATTATGAAGATTATGTGAAGAGATTTTTAAAAAAATTGGTCGAGTCGTTTCAGAGATACCGTAAAATTCCGAAAATAAGCCTCTCCAAATATAAGCCCCCCAAATTCGTAACGCAAAACCCTCTGTAGGGCTTGTACTTGGAAATTGCCCTCAAATACAAAGTAAAACAAAGAAAAAAGGTAAATTTCCTACCAAGAATAAGGCTAGCCTAATCGATTTTGAAACGCAAATTTCCCTCCGTACATAAGCTAGTCCGAATATAAGCTCCTCCTCCTTTCTCTTTCAGGTGTTGAAAGCGAACCTGCTATTCCTGGAAAAAATTGAGGCATATCTTTCTCAGCATTGTGGAAGTCATTATGAACAGCTTGTTGGAAATGGATGTTTTATCAATGTGGAGGCCTTAAACAAGTCTGGCTGAGACCAGTGATAGGCTGTATCACTGTATCATATAGGTGGTATTTATTCATGCTCATTTATGTAAAATGTATAATATGTAGATCTTATATTTGGTAGAACAGGAAATAAAGATGATGTTATTGTTTATTGAAGAGAATTTGCATAGTAAATGTGGTTGTTTTGACAAAAGAAAGGGCGCTCTCTGATTGATTTTTTTCGTATTTTCATAAAAATGGGTTGGTCGGGTGATGTAACACAAATCACTTTGTAGGTTGTGTTCTCACTGCACTGACAGGTTGCTGACTCTCTAAAGACAGACACTGTTGGAACCTGCTCTAAGCATCAGTCTCGGAAAGGTGTCCATTTCACTCACATTTGCAGCACCTATGCAAATTTCTTGGAAAAAAAAGAAACTCTTGACATGAGAAAAAAGTGTAATCATCACAGAGTTATTTGGTAGACCTTTGTGACCTAGGTGACTGTCATTTCATTACTTATGTATTTCGTGTACTAAAATGGCTGCTGAGATGTCATTTAAAAATGAACTATGGAGAGTCAAAGAAAAGGCTGGGATCCGATCTAGGCATATATTTTAGGGAGTTTTATGTGTTATAAATATGTCTGTTAAGAGAAATTAAACTGTATACAATACCACCTTAGTATGCTAGCTGTACGGGAAAAAAGTACGCCATCAAGAGCCTATCATAGGCAGGTGCCTTTCTATGTCTACCATTCGATCCTCCGAGACACTTTTCCCTTACATTCAAATTGGTGGTCTTCACGTTGATTTCTAGGTTATACTTATTTATGTCACACAGGCTCATGATTTAACTTACATGCAAATTTGACTGTTTTATATTAGAAGCCTGAAAGTGATTTGATTGACAAAATGTAAGAAACCTCTGAAATGTCTATGGAGAATTTAGGTGACCAAAGGCGAATACGTTGATCTTGAAGGAATTAGGAAATTTTATTTCATGTTAATTGTAGTGAATTACAGTAATTATTGAAACTTAAAAGTGAGAATGTTATTTCGCTCAGTTTAAAACTGTTATTGGCACTTGGCAAGAAGCTTTTATGTGGTTACTCTCTCTGTGCTGTGCTTCCATCCTCAGAACACGTCTTTATTTCTCCAAGAGCGGTAAACTCTCTCACTTCACCTACATCAATCGCCTCTACTGTGACAACACTTTCGTTGATATCTGTGCCGGGTACGTTAGGCGTCACTGGAATCAGAGAAAATTACGTTTGTTTATAAAAACAAAGCAGGGTAATTTCTTTACTTTATGATTTAAACATGGTGTACGAAAGTTAAAAATTGTAAGTTAAAAAATCCCATAAATCTCCTTTCTAATGTCTAAATTTGCTTTCGAGCGCAAACCGGTCGTTACCTAACTATAGGTCAAAGCTTGTTTGAGAACATCATATTTTACTTAGATAGTAAAGCTTCTAATTTTGGAAATATGCACGTTGAGTTGAGCGCGTCCAGCGCGTGCGACATTAGAGAGTGTTTTTGTCCCATGAGACTGAGCAGACTAGCTGTTAGCTAGGACCATATTTTTGGTTTAGTCGGGAGATGTCAGTGGACGAAGGGTATCTATTATCACTTACTGTAGCGGACTCTGAGGTTCCGTGACTGTTTCTTTCTGACAAAGTAGATTGCTAGACAAACTACTCCAACAGCAACTATACTGGATATAACGATTGTTATAACAATGGCTTCTGTTCCTGTTAGATGAAAACACAAAAAGAAAGCGTAAAATTCTCGATGACACGAATTAAGGAAATTTAAAACTTTTACCATGCTTATGCGTCGAGGTGAAAGATTTAAGTTAAGTACCTAGACCTGTGGTACTGCTTTGTCGTCTGTCGTCGCTTTCGCGATTTCGCTTCATCGAAAAATCTGAGAATACGGCGTGAATTTAAATTAAACAGTGCAAGAAATCAAGAAATGCAGTATTGTTATATAAGCGTCACCGAACTATTCTAATGCTTTTTTCCCAAAGGTTTAAAGGTATCACTAAGTTGTAGCTTTAGAACAACTTTCATAAAATGATTGCGAACGTTCATATAACAACACTTACCAGTCTAGGCGTACTTTTGATTACGTATAAACTATTGTTGCTCGCTCACTGTACTGCTGTATAAGGTCAGATATATTTGCCGCGATAATAAGCACTACTGCTACTCTTGTAACCCTTACGAGTGAAGAGGACATGTCTAATTTCAATATGGGTTGGAATGTCAAGGTTTGTTAATTTCTCTGTCCAAGAACACTCATTTTGCACAAAATGCTATCCTGGAACAACAGCGGCGGGCTCGATAAGGAACCAAAATGAGAGCTTTCCTGAACGTTTTTCATATTAAATAACTACCTTTTAAAGAAGAAGCGCCTTAATATACCTGAAAACGTTTTCTCGAAGTATTTTGCACTGATAGGACCGTTGCCTTTTGAGGTGAATGCAAGTATCTGGAAGCTATAGTTTGTATTGGGTCTCAATCCACCAATAGTTAAACGCGTTTCTCCCGCTGCAAGCTTGATACTGGCGGCTCGTGACGTGTTGTGAACTTCATTATAAAACACTCTGTATCCAAGCACCATTCCATTGGTATGTTCCGGGGAGACTGGTCTCCAGTCAAGCTGCACCGAATTCTTGTCTAAGCTAAGCGCCGATATTTCACTCGGAGGACGATCTGGAACTATAACAAAACAGTAAATACAGAAAGATTAACATTAGGTAACATTGGTTGAAGGCAGCTTGTTTCCTTCGGTAAAAATACTTCTCTAACTTATTAATAATTCATGAAGAAAATACACAAGGAATTAATGTTTAATGAGTGTTTGGAAATCAGATGAAAAACTGCTCATTTGTGCTTCCATAATTTCTCCTGCTAAAATCATTTTGTTTGAAAGTAATAGCAAGCACTCGACACAGCATTTCATCACCAGATGAAACACGTGCACCTCGATGTCGTCAAAAATACTCCGCTGCGCGTCTTATTTTCAACACTCTTCTCTGTGTTTCATCTGGTGATAAAACACTGCGTCTCATGCTTGATAAATAAGATGAAGAACATGTCGTATCGTATTACAATATTTGAAAACTAACATTTTTCAGTCCAGTACAGATCAGTGTTTAACTTTCTATCATGTTCTCTCCATATCTGCAGGTTGTTTGTTTGTTTGTTTGTTTTTAAGTAATTCTACAAGGTTCGCTGCGGGGTTCTTTTTTCGGTATCCTTATGTTAATAATAATAATGCAATGTCTAAACCTCATAAGGTGTCCAATATGGCTGCGCCCGACATTATCTAATGCTACCTATACGAAAATACCCTCTGCTGCCATGTTTCCATCGACACAAAACGATAAACACTCAGCTGTAGTAACAACTGCTTAATACTTGCAAGCACGTCATAAAAAGGAAGAGTATAAATTGTCAAATTATGAAGGAAAAGAATAAGCCTGTTGTTTCATGGATGTGGTTTATCGATCCTCGGTCTACGAACCAAAGGAAAACACCTAATAACCGCAGTTTTATTCATTAAAACGCCTTAGGTTTCCTCCGCCTCTTTATTGTCTCATGAACCCTGTCTTCACTTTGCTACTTCACAAAAGACTGAAATTCTACCCCGCTGGTGGCCTCCATGAAATGGTGTCACTGCCCATGGCAACCAATTTCTATGCACTAAAACACAGCTTATCACAAGCAGGCAGGCAGTAAGTCTTCAGTCTGAGTCGTTTAAAAGTTTCACTAAGAAATGTAACTGTGAACGTTTTTATCAGTTGCGACATACCATCCTCATCAGTTGAAATCACCAGTTCTTTGCTCCATGTACCATTTCCAAACCTGTTGTAAGCTCTCAGTCGACAGCTATAATTTGTGAATTTTCTCAGTCCTTTGAATACCCATTTAAGCTGTACATGTGACAGATTAATCGAATATTCTTCTGTTGAGTGGAGCCTTATGCAAGCCAAATGGAAGCCTATTATATCAAACGGAAGAGATTTTGGACCTTTGACCCAGGATAGTTTAATACGTCTTGAGCCTAGGTTGTGACCCGTAAAATTGGCTGGTGGACTTGAGGGAGCTGTGTGATAAAGAGTTAGAAAGACAGCTGTGAGATAGAGTTTCCCAGGGTAAAAATAAAGTACGTATTTAGATCATGAGTAATATTTTAAACCGTGATTATACAACCAAAAGCCTTTGAGCTGTACTGTCATACGGATCCGTCTTAGATTCTAGCAGACCTAATAAACACATTGTAACTGTTAGCAAGTTTAGTCCTGATTGTGATATAAGCTTTTTTTCAATATTTTTTTTTACCCTTACTCACATCCCAGGTTTACAATTTAACCTTCCTATGTGGCAGTTGTATTTCGTTGTTGTTGCGACGTTTAAACCATCTAAAGTCATAAGAGTGCCTCACCCACTGAAGAAGTTGTTTCATCCGTGATACTCTGTGATTCGAAAGGTACCAAAATGGATGTGTCAGTTTAGGTAAAAAGTCAGTATACGTACCTTTTGGGGAACATTTAGGCACATCACAGTGCTTCCAATTTAAGGTTTTGTTTGTGATGTAATAATAACACCATGGCCCTTTTATACTGAGACCTCCTGGATTGCGGCAAAAGTTTCCACTATGTCTTATCTCTTCAGACATCTGTTGCCTGATCGCCTGGTGGAGATGAGGATACACTGCAATCCAGGGCTGGCACGTGTGACCTAAAATGGTGGTGCTGATGCTACCACGGTAGCCAAACCCGTTTCCGTAGTAACAGTCTTGGACAGGAAATTTTACAAATTATTGTTAGTGTGAGAGAGTAATCTTAACGTCCTGCAGGTCAAACGATAAAGTGGAGTTGTCGTAAGTATGTTGAATTTTAACGTCCCAACGAGTGTAGTCCTAAATGGGAGTGTTGTTGACGGTGACTGACATTTCGACAACCTGTGCGATAGCCTCTTTAGAGTCAAAGTGAGTTGTATCACGTAGTTGATGGTATTAATCAGAAGCACAGACTTTTTTTTACCCCAAATATGGAATCAGAGAATTGAAGGTATCCCCGTCAAAAGAGTAGCCAATAACATGCAATAACGAATTCTTCAAATCCTTAACAGTTCTCCAAGTACATCCACAACTCAATAGTATATGTTGAGACGTTTAAATTTGCGATATAATATAATCAACGAACAAAAACATTTATAAAACTGTGAAAGGTTTGAACCCAGGAGTCATTTCAAAAGTAGGTTGAGTTTGATCGTCCGGATCGTGCTGCGGCTGCCAGGCTTCTTACATTGGTGAAACCGGCAGAAACGCGACTGACCGAACACAAACGAGCTACGAGGAATAGTGACGTCAACAATCACATTGCTGAGCACCATTTAAAGACGAAACATCAAATTGACTGGGACTGTGCGACATGTATAACGTATTCTACAGACTACTATCAACGTCTTACCTTAGAAAGCTGGTTTACGAACTTAGAACAAACGCCACTGAATCGTAGGTAACAGTTACCAGCGCCGTACAAACGACTTATTGACGAGATCAAGCAAAACTACACTACAAGAGAACGACTAAAGAACTGACAATTTGGCTAACAATAGACGACTGTTTAACTGTGACAATAGACGGATCGAAACGCACCAATTACTGATTACGAGTCTTCATAGCCAAGAGCATCACGGCTTAACTGACAGACGACCAATAACATCGCGACGTAATTGACCAATTAGATCAATAACCAGAGTTATTATTCATTCAAAATATTTCCCCGATTCTGATTGGCTAAAAGCTCACGCATAATTCACCATAACCAGTTTCTGATGACCAAATTTGGAAGAATTTTGTGTTAAACGAGGAAATGACGTCAAAAATGCAGCGTTCGTGCAGGTCAAGGCACCGTTAACCGAGAAGACCTGGGGACGAGGCTGAGTTGTTTTGCTTGTGAACTTTAAAAAATGGCGGACATTTCACTCGTTTCAAGAGTAAGAACTAGGCGAAAAAATAACTAAAAATATGGCAAGAACAGCAAGAAGACAACTCGAAGGGCGACATCTGCTATTTGGAGAATATTTGCAGAGCTAGACAAACCTAAACGTGCACTATCGAAGATGAACTTAACATCGATGGATCGATGGAGGTAAGCATGTTTTAGCCATGTTTTTAAACTAGGAAATATTTTGACTGAATAATAAAACGATTATTGAATTCGGCTTTCTTATCATATGAAGAATTATGGAGATCTCGGGGGGTGTTATCCGCCTCGGCCTATGACCTTGACGGATAACACCCTCCTCGATCTCCATAATTCTTCATAAGATACTCAGCCTCATTCATTAATTGTTAATTAATACCATCAACTGACGTGATACAACTCACTTTGACTCTGAAGATGACTACCGCAAAGGTTGTCGAAACGTCAGTCAATGTCAACAACAACAGTCCTATTCAGGACTACGTTCACCCGGACGATCAAACTCAACCTACTTTTGAAAAACATTTATATTTACAGGTAGTCGGCCCACGTGTGTGTTGTCATTTGCGCGCCCTAACTTGCACTATGGCGTGTACAAATAATTTTCTTTGCGAATACTAAAAATTCTTCTTGCTCGATAAGTAGTTTTCTTTCTTTTTTTTCTTCCTTTGCTCTTTTATTTTCTTTTGTTTTGTTTTGTTTTGTTTTTTTCTTTTTGTCATTTCGCTTTTTTTAGCCTAGAACTATGATTAGTACGACTATCTAATATACTTATTTTAAGATTTACTGTAGCTCTGCCATTGATTTTCCCGTGTGTAATTATGATAATATTTTGTTCTAATTATCTAACTGAGGGAGCCCATTCCTTATAAGCCCGGTGGCTTCTCTTGGGCTTCCTCGCCATGAGAGTTAAGCAAAGGTAATTAGATTTTATTTTATTTGTATAATTTTTGGCAAACAAAACAATAAACAATAAACAATAAAACAATAAACAATTTTCCGTCCTAGTGGTCATTTTAAAACATGCTATAGTTATTCTGAAGGGACTTAGTGCATTGCTCTTAATATTAAGATAGCAACCTTTAAAACCTATCAGGTAAAAAAAAATGGCGCGTAATGTTGACGCAAACTCTTTTTAGCACGCTCTAGCTTTCGACATCAAGTTAAAGGCCCATGTTCACCCAAACGGCTTTGCGCGCTTGTGTTTTTGTTTTGAAACGAATCTCTTGTCAAATGCAGTGTTTTGATTGGCTTCCACTGTGAGGAGCGTTGCGTGACGATACTAAAAACGACTGTCAGGGAGACTACAATTGCAGCTTTTTATCAGAGAGGCCAGTAAGACTTTTAATTCTTTTTCAAATGGAGGAAGATATATCGCCGACTTCGTTAAATGTCCAGGGTTAAATGTGACCGCAGAAAGCAGTTCAAAATTTAAACTGGTAGTGAATGCATATGGATGCTTTGTTGAGTCCGATGAACACAATGAAGGTCATAAATTACGAAACGTCTAATAAGCACCAGGTGAGGTTTTCCTGAAGCCCGATTCGACTGTGAAATGTTTTGATTCCTCAATCTATTATTTTGTGTTAATTCTTAGGAAGCTTAGGTATGTGTGCTCGAAAGAATAAGCGAGAAGTTGTGTTTGCAAAGCGTCGAATCGGCACTGCGTACGGTCTTGTCGCTGTATTACACTTTCTTTAGGTTTTGCTAAGGATTGGTTTGCTAATAAGAGTTCTCGTTACTTTAGAGCCGGATTTGATCGTGATACGCCAGACGAGAAGTTTACGTTAAGGATATCACTCGCTTCGTAGGTTAAATTAAATAAAGCATTGTTCATGTTAGATTGACTCGCTTGTTTTGCTTTCAACTGATTTCAACGGGACCTTTGTTTACAATTGAACATTCGATGTAGAAGGAACTCGGCAAACACGCTGTCTGTAGAATTTACAGCCAAGAGTTTCTTTCCCATCTCTCCAGGGATTAAAAAAACGGATTCACGGAGACGAATGTACTTCGGCGACCCCCGTCGACGCGGTCTTCCAACTATGCTTCCAACCGTTCGTTTCGATGGAGCCGCCATCGAAAGTGCTGCAGTGAAACAAACTCTCACAGAAACAAAAAGGCTCGATATCTTTCCAAAATATCCAAGAAGATGTAAAGAAAAATACCAAAAGAACTTGTTGAGACTTTCTGTTAAACCAGATTTAGCGAACTGTAGAAGATTAACAAAGATTGACCTTACACACTAAAGGCAGCGATTTTCAACCACGCGAAATGTTTTTTCTGGAGTACAGGGCGCGCAATGCATCTAGGGTGAACATGGGCCTTAAGCCAAAAGTGGGAAGGCGGTAAGTTAATTGTTAAATAACTGCAAATAAAACTCCGACGTTTAGGCAATGCTGCGTTCATCAGGGAAGGCAGAAACGTCGGAGTTTTATGTGCAATTATCAGCGTTTAACTTACCAACTTCCCACTTTTAACACACAAACGCTACGCAGGAACCCCCTTTGTTTGTATCAAGTTAAGCCAGGCACGTAAGATGCTTATCATGATTAGTAGGCTTTGTCTTGTTCGGAGTTAAGTCAATCCTGGACATTTTGAATTCCGATATTGGTCAAATTGTACTTAGTAAAACTGTAATTGCCTTTTATAGAGCTTCGTTTACATCGCGATTCAAAGTTTTCGCACACTAGCGCTACAGTCTCCGTCTCGCGTATCTGAGTGATTCCATATTAGGTTATACGCTTCAGTTAAGTTATACGCTTCGGAGTTATATGCTTGTAACTCTGGTTATTTAACAATTAATGAATGAGGCTGAGTATCTTATGAAGAATTATGGAAATCGAGGAGGGTGTTATCCGTCCAGGTCGTAGGCCGAGGCGGATAACACCCTCCGAGATCTCCATAATTCTTCATATTATACGACAGCCGAATTAAATGATTGTTTTGTTATTCATTAAAAATAATTCCTAGTTTAAAAACATAGCTAGGAAAACAAGCTTACCTACATCGATGTTAAGTTTATCCAGGTTTATCTTCGATAGTTTACGTTTAGGTTTGTCCAGCTCCGTAAATATTCTCCAAATAGTCTATGTCTCCCTTAGCCTGTTCCAAGCGTTCAGATAGTGGAGAGCGGTGCGAAGTAAAGAAAGCGATGAAAAGTAGCTTTTATTTTTTCGCGCTCCTTTTACTTCGCACCGCTCCCCACTATCTGAACGCCTGGAACAGGCTATGTCTCCCTCCGAGTTGTCTTCTTGCTGTTTTTGCTATGTTTTTAGCCATTATTTCGCCTAGTTCCAGCTGTAGTTTTAACTCCTGAAACGAGTGAAGTGTCTGCCATTTTCGTTTTTACAACGAAAACAACTCAATCTCGTCCCTAGGTCTTCTCGGTTAAGGGTGCATTAACCTGAAGAAGGCTGCAGTTTTGACGTCAGTTCCTCGTTAAACACAAAATTCTTCCGAATTTGATCATCAGTAAGTGGTTATGGTGAATTATGCGTGTGCTTTTAGCCAATCAGAATTGGGGAAATATTTTGAATGAATAATATGATTGTTTTAAAATAGGCTGATTTAGCAACAGAACGGGAACGTCGGCTGACGACGGTGCGCGCAAATCAAACAACTGGGTTGACCAATGGTAGAGTGGCAAATTGGGCACCGGAAGTCGAGTTTAGTCCTTTCCGTGCGCTTTCCCGTCGTCGAATGACGTTCCCGTTCTGTTGCTAAATCAGCCTAAAAGATAGTACACGCGTTCTGATTATTTAAGAACCTATGGTTTATTGTGCCGGTAAACTCGAAGTTTTACTTAAAGTTATTTTATAAAAGCAATAGACCACAATTTCTATGGGTTTACCGGCGTGATAACCCACTTGGGATGCTAGGAGAACACTCCAAAAGTTTGTAAATCACTCGCCTTCGGCTCGTGATTTACAAGCTTTTCTGGTGTTCTCCCAACATCCCGCATGGGTTATCACACCGGTAAAGCCATGGAAAGTGTGGTCTATTGCTTAAGTAGTCGAGATGTTCTTCAGTGATCTCTCAGTTAAGCTGTGGTGTTACTGGCTGAGCATGTGAGGACTCTCAGCTGTAGTGGTGTGTTTCGATCCGTCTTTTATTACTCTATATCTTTCTCTGGGGTAATGTTGGTAAAATTTTCGTTTTTATCAGTCGGACTGATGTTAGTTGTGTATGAGATCGTCAGGAATTGTTAGCTACGTTATACGGGAGGCTAGTTCTGATTAAGTTAGTGAGTTGAGTTTTCTAAAGTGAGTTGCTAGAAGTAGTCTGTGAAATGCGTAATACCCTCAGCAGAGTCTCAGTCACTGCGATGGTTTATCTGGCCGTTCAATTTATAAAGGAGATTTTCTCACCTTTACTCTCCCAAACTTTTTGTTCTTCAAATTGGAAATAAAAGAGAGAAAGAATAATTTATTAGTATGTGAGGCTTATAAAGCTAAGTTGTTTTTGAATGTGGAAGGTCAGAATTACCCACCTACCTATGAAGTGCGTTCGTGGTGTTTAACTGAATTGAAGTTTGAACTTGAGTACTGACATGTGATCGATATATACACCGTGCAAATGATTCATTTTATCATCGTTACTATTCTTAAATTTATATTGTGGCGTTTGAAGCTATTCAAGTCGTTTCCTACACGAAGGCTAGTTTAAACCCGCTTTCCGAACATGAACGCTCTACGGGCGTTTCTACCCAATGGTAGAAGTAGAGTGTCTTTTAGTTCTCTATGCAGTCTTTTGAAATTCCCAAATTCTTGGGTTTTCTTTCATTTCTAGACAGAAGCTGGATAAATTTCATAAGTCTTAGTTATTATGTACGACGAGAATGACAGATATAACGGAGGTATGTTCACTAGTCATAACAGAAGCATATATGCTTGTGGTCATAATATTCAGGTGACACATACGAAACTAAATCTGCAAAAAGTAATTTTCAACGAGATTTATACCATTATCAGACTAGAATGCATATAAGTTAGGTGTTTAAATAGGCATAGCTCCCTGGTGGATTCTAGTCCGTTGTCGAGGGACGGTAAATGTGAGTTGTTTGATTAAGTGTGTCTCTTTGTATTAGAAAAGATTCCACTTGTGGTCGCTGTCTAATACTGTGGTGTTGCAAAGTTTTTGCACTAAAAAGTTTTATTTTGTACTTGCACAGTTTCAGTGTGAATAAGTGGTCAACTGTTTATATTGTGTGGTTAAATAAAATTATGTATTTCTTTCTAATCCTTCATTGGTGTAAACTAACCTCTGATCCTGTCAGGATCGTAGCAGATGCTTGACTCATCGCGAGATGGAAGAACTGTGCAGTCTATGACATGAGCGTTAATCCAGTTAAGAGCTGGAAAGAATGAGGCTAATTCCAGCAACGTCTTGCAGACCAACCGAAATTTCTCACATGCTTCTCTGCAAACAATTTGAACCGGTGAATCAATGAAACAACGTTTAAAGTAATGATGACAGTATACATCGTCGATCGTCTCTTTGCAGCTTTGGTGTCCACTTGTAATCCAAAAATACCTCTTGAAGTTCCCCTCATAGCGGTTGAAGTGCTCTTCGTTAGCCTCAAGCTCTGGTGTTCTGTTTACTGCCACATTGCCGATTATACGTTCGCAGTAACCACCGTTTTTGAATATAGATTTGTTGATGCCATATGGAATGCACGATGAGATGTCAGTGAAAGTCCTAAAAAAGAACACTGACATTGACTGAAAAACTTTTGTTGATGGGGAAAGTTATAAAAGTGGTCTTTACGGGGACCCCTTTCTTTATTGTCTTGCGATTTCTTCGCGTACTCCTTCCAAAAATGGTATTTTCTCTATCGAGAAGGATATAAATGTGATGACCACTGAGTTCTTAACACTTCCAGCCAATTTTGAAGTAGCAATGAATGGAATTGTCATAAGAACTATATTAATGGACCAATAACAGAAAACCCTTTTGCCAAACAGATGGAGAAGAAAGCAAAACAAACCAAACACCCCAAATAAGAAAATTCTTAAACGCTGACTGGGCGTTTGGTTCGCTCTTAACGAGTGTCCTCCATCTATCTGAAATATGTGAAGATGCGATGACCAGAAGGGAGGGAAGGAGCGGAGTAAGATTATTTGGAGTAAGAAATTCTTACTTGTTCTCTCTATCCTTTCCTTTGAATGTGTCGATATCAGCTTCTAAAAAAGTAGGAAACTAGTCAGTATCGCCCATCAGCTTTTCAATATCTATTGCGTGCAAAACCAATAACGTGAAAAAACAATTCGTACCTGATATGATGGCAAACAATGAAGTTAGGGAAACAACCATTGTCAGAAAGATGGAAAACATGGCACATGGGAATTGACTCCGTGTAATTTTCCGACGTTTAAGCTTTTTTGGCGTTTACTGCAGCTGCATTTGTCTTTTCACATGCGCTTTCAAAGCTTGGAGTATTATTCTAGTCTATTTTAGAAATTCTTTTCAACTGTGGTTTCTTCCATGCCAGAAAGAGAGCCGGTTTTGTCAGTTGCATTTCCTAATTTGGGAATGGTTTAGATGAAGCCGGAAGGGAGGTGGAAGAATACTGCTTCAGCAGAAACACAAAACGGTTTGCTCTGAAACACAAATTGTTTGACGAATTGTGATAAGTAAAGCTGAATTGTTTAAACATAACTTCGACTGAAATTTTCCCATTTGATAACGCGAAAGAAAACGAAATATGTCGTTAGTTTCGTTCCATGACCACTGACAGGAGCCCATCAAATGGAGCCTCCATCTCCCATACAAGCCCTTGGAGTCAACCCTTTCCCGTGTAGATTTATAATTAGAACGGTTCCCAGGGGAGACTTCGCGCGCCGACGGTAGGAAGAGCCAATCACAACGACGAAATGACACTGCTATTGTACTTCATCAAACAGCAGGAAATTCGTTGTTGACAGGCCAAACACAATCATAGGCTAGTGAAACGTGACTTTAGCGTTTTCATCCCTCAGAGATTTTCTTTATTTTTTCTTTCTAGCGGGTAGATTATACTGTGGAGAATTTTAAACTCTGACTATTTTAATCTTAATTTTGGTTGCTTGTCTCACATTAAGAGGCCATGAAGCTGGTCTGTTACATGCAGAATGATTAACTACTACCTGCAGTCTGTAGTTCTGACAGGATTCGTTTTCTTTAGCCAATTTTTTTGAGCGTTGAGGTTCTTATTTCGGCTAAATGTCTCAGTATTAATCAAATTTCTAGTTTTCCAAGGTTTTTTTTTCCGAAATGCGTTTATCTGAATAAATACTTGTAGTCCTTGTGGTTGTTTTGTCCGTCAGCTAGTGTGATGATTCCCTGCTATGTTTTGTAACGCCGGGTCCAGCCATTGTCTTCTCGCAAAAAGTGATCTACAGATGCGAATTCGAAGGAAGGAATTGAGCCTAAACTTCTACATTAACTGCTGAGAATTGTCCTGTTAGTCAGTCATAATTCTTTTGGCGCAGATACAATCCATTTTGTTTTTCTTGAGATGAGTGGGTCTTTGGACTGGAGTGCGATGTCACAAATCCTCCGTCAGCAAATTACTTTTGAGTTAGCTTCACGGTCGAGCAACTGTTGTCTTCTGTTCAACTTTTCAAGTGCCAGTTTTATCAGGCAACTCTCATGGTGATACAAGTCAGTTTGTAAAGGAAGACTGCAATTTCTCAAATTTCGGACCTGAACCATTCCTCGTTAGTTGCTACTTAGGTCATCGCTTTTGCACGCGGTTCTTAACTGGCGAAATCCACTCCACGGTGATGACAAAAATCAAATGATCCTGGCACTTTTTCGGCGCTGATCATCGAAAAGTTCCAAATCGTCCACAGAACGCTTAATCGTCGACTCTTTTCAAGGTGCATGCTTAAATGTGGGATGTATGACAGCAATATAAACACTCGCAAAGATAACCTTTCCGTGATCCTCAGTTCACTGCCTTTGTCCCATCGCTTCATGCTCAGTCGGGTAATTCATTAACTTTTATTTCACGATACCCAGATCCCAGTGGCTGTAAAATTGTAAAAATGGACGAAAAGGAAAAAAGGAAAACGGTCGAAGGACGGGCTTCTGAGTTCGACTTCATCCAATTTTATTTTTTCACGGTGACACACGAGACTCACGGAAATATGACACTTTTCGCGGGAAACTAGCCGTTCTATTTATAAATCTACTCGGGAAAGGGTTGACTCAAGAAATTAATGGAGATGGAGGCTCCATTTGATGGGCTCCTGCCACTGAGGCTTTCTTGTTTATTTTCAGTCACATAGTTGTAAAATGGAAATCTTCTTTTTTTGCTTTCTTTGGTGTCGTTGAACGTAACAATTTTCATTTACCCTGATGAGTCATGAAAATTTTCTTTGAAATGCTTTTTCTGAAATCTTTAGTACGGACTCGGATTGTGAAGTTGCATGTAACCTGAGACATTTTGAAGAAGGGTTGCAATTTTATTAGCTGTGCTTTTTACTTGCTGTAACTGGAAAGATAATTCTCTCAGTTTCATTTCTAATTTGGAATTGATACAGATGAAGCCAATAGGCAGTTGGAAAAATTAGCGCTTTAGCGAAACGTTCTGGTCCTTAATTGCTACGGAAGTGACAGGTGAATTGTGAAAATAAAAAACACCTCCATGCCTACAGCTAGAAACATATTGGACTTGGAGATTAGAACTTAACTGGAGGGATCCATATTCATTTTTTCTCGGAGTCGTCAGCCGGGAAGTAAACCTAATGGCATACTTCCCCGGTTAAAATTTGGGTTGCCTGGACAAAAGTGCAGAATTATATAAAGATGGTGAAAAATTGTGTGCAACTTGAATATTTCGGATTAGCATTTTATTTCCTTTTTTGTTAACTGTCAAGTACAACAGGCTACAGGCCTAGGCTAAACACAGTTTATTTACGTTTACAAGTAGCCAAGTAGCGGAAATGCTCATAAATTTCGTGCCACTGTTTCAGTTAACCGTTAGCGGCTAAAAATCATGTTTTTTTTTGTCCAGGAAAGCCTTTAAAATTGAGTGATGCCAAACTCGTCAACAATTTACTCTCCTAATCGAGACGACGATCATCCTCGCACATTGACATGGGTGTCCTGAATCCCTTAACAAACCGGTGTAACTGATCACCACGAAATTTGCAGCGTATAATATCAAGAATAACGTTCTCTTGTCGTATTTATTGAACCAGGTTTATGTTAAACTTAAGAGGAGTGTGGATTTATTGTTGTTGCCAATTATATGAAAAATTCCCAATTTATCAATAATTCTTCAAGGGCATTCACGTCAGTCAGAGGCAGACTGGAGAGATTTATTACTGACTAGAAAAGAGCAAAATCAAATCTGAAACAAAAAAATTGAAGCAAAATGAATCAAACACCAGTCAGTTACACTGAAATGGATATCCATGAAGCGTTTATTCATGCTTATAGTTTCTAGTTTTTACTACATTCGTTACCGGCATCTGGTGAAAATAGATTTACACTAGTCACGTTAATCTGAGGAGTATAATAGATCGATTTTTTCGATACCAAAGAACGCGCCATGATGAGTTAAAAAATCCTTAACACCATCCGAAGGAACTAGATTTACATTAAACTTGCAATTGAGGAATATTTTTTAAAAGATTTTGTGCCATGCTAAAATCATTGCAAGGGAAATGTTTTGTCCAGTTACAAATACAGACGAGCGAGTGATGATTTTCCGAATCCTTGGAAACGGACCAGTATGACTTACTTATTGCCTTTTGATTGTGCTATAACGTAACTTACAATGTATATAACAACTTTATAGCTTGTATCTTAGTTTGTAGCCAACATTAGTATTCTCTTCGTGGACTATTCTATTCCATGCACTATTGAAAACAGCTCATGAAATACGTCAATAGCTAGGGTGCATGCCTTTTTAGTTGCTGCCTTCTTTAAAGGAGTAAGAAAAAAAAAGCTGTTTAGAGCCATTTACAAAAGTTGTCTCCGAATATGTCCCCAAACATCTAATCCATTAAGAAATGCTAAGAATAGCGATATTTTGAACATTAAATGCAAATACGTTTGCACGAAGTGAAATTTTCATGAGCGGCTGAAGGTAAAAGTCCTAAGTTCCAATCAGCTGTTTACTACTCGCCTTATAACTCCTCTCAATTGTCGAAAATGACGCTTCTTCAGAGTTGTTCGAGACCAACTATTATAAGCTCTTATCCTCAATTAATGGTAACGTAGCTTGAACTCGCTTAAACCGTCCTGCGAACACCTTGGGCTTAGACTCTAAGCATTACAAAAATGTTTTGATGCAACCATTCCCATTCATTTGTATCTGGGTATAAAAGATTAACACTAGACTGAAAATATATAGGTTACGGGGTTGTATAACCGTTTTCAAGCTTTTTTGAGAGTGTCACGCTGTGTACTCATTTTCCAAAGCCATCCGCATTTCTCTGAAGGCAATAAACTCTCTCACTTCACCCAGGTCAACAGAAAAGCGACGGCGATGAAAACTTGTTGTCTGTTCTTTAACGCCTATCTCGATCGTCTCCTCACTGCAAACATCACTTTCTGAAGCCCGCATAAATTCTCGTAGCTCACTGAAATCTACAGAGTGGTGGTTGTGTTCTCTCAAGGTTTCTGTGATGGTTATTTCTTGTGGGACTTCGAGACTGCAGATATTCTGGTGGTGCAGAGCATTGTAGTAAGATAGCCCTCTGTCCAACTTATCGTATTTGGGGTGTTGCCCATCTATCCCTGTGGTTTTCCCACAGGTTCTTCTCCTTCTGAAACAATAAACATACTTCCATGGTAACATTACAACTGATTGATAAATACTTCCAGATTATTCCTACCAGACAGGTTTTGGCAATTTGGTTTTTTGATAGGGATTAGTTCTGGCATTAGTTTTGCCTTCTTTTACAACTAAGGAAACAAAAGATGGTTCCCATTTTGACAAAATTCTTAAAAATTTTGGTCGAAATATAAATGGAAGGCTTCGTTCCACTTCCAACAGTGGTCCCTTTTGACCCATCTCGAACCAGAATGTTCTAGTCGAAGAAAAAAAACCAGACCATTTCATTGTCATTATTCCTGCATTGTTTTCATTCTCAGGCTATATTCACACTGTATCGAGTACGCGAGTTTCGAGTTTCGCGCCACCAAAAGCTATTCGGTAGTAGTATGAACAACAACGGCCCGGGTCGCCACAAGTCGTTCACAAAGATCGAACATCGGTATGCACGGTTGACCCGGAGGCTTTGGTGCGCTAAATTCTGGTCCTTACTCCTAAATATTTACTTTCGTCTCAATGGGTTCCAGTTCTCACCCGTTATTTTGTCCTGCGACTGGCCGAATCAAGAGTTCAATAGTATGGCAAAAAACCTATCCGAGAAGCTGACGCTCCACCTTCGATTTCGTGGTGCCGCGAATAGCTTTCTAGTACTTTCTAGTCTGCTACACAGCGGTTTTTAGTGCCGTCACGCAACGCTTCTCCCCATTAGTGGGGAGGACCGTTGCGTGACGACGCTAAAAACGGCTGTGTAGCAGACTAATGGCTATCCGGTTTATTGCGAACGTAGCCTGAGACATCTTGCCACAAACAGATGCTTTATTTAATATTACACAAACCTTTGCAGCCTGTTGTAGCGCGTATTTTCATACGTCTGTTCAAATTCAATAACAATGTCCCTCAGGTACGGTGGAATGTTTAGGGAACCATCAGGAGCAATGTTGATGTAGCGATGGTGACGTGGTGTGATGGGAACATTTTCATCATCAAGTACTTCGTATCCGTGTCTGTTAGCAATGATTCTATCAATCCAGTCCAGTGGTGATGTAGCGTACGGTACGACTCCTTCGGTTAAATTCCGGTTAACTGTTGAAAATAAGAGTGACACAGGCGACTGGAAAAAGACTATTTCATGTAACAGGAATCTGACCCATTCGGTGACTGTCTGGTTACTGAAGACTAGAGGCTCTACCATTGACCTCAATAAAAGACATGTCAGAGCTAAGCTACAAAAAAATTGAAGTACCATGTGGCTAACAGCAAGAGACTCTCTTGCTTATAATATCCTGTTTCTATGGTAAATATGACGTGGAATTTTCAAAAGACAAATTACCATTCCGCCATCTTATTTACGTCAATAAAACGATGGTAGAAAACCCTCCTTTAAGGACTGGCCGGGCCTAAAAGGTTACACTTTTTGTGTGTCTTTAGCTATAACTGACTAAAAATATTTTATTCTGACTAAAACAAACAAAAATAGTGCTTCGTTCTAATTTTTGTAAGATCAACTTACTATTTCCATTGTTCAGGGCCATCAATCGCCTCTTTCTTGCAAAGTATACTGCGAGGAAAATGGTGCTGAAGACAACGATACCAGGCACAACACTAGCTGCAACTATGGCTCCTTTTCCTATCAAATATAAAGACAAGTAAAAAAAAACATGAACGTGCTTACAAGGATAACTTTGACCTGACCAAAGATCAAAATATAAACTGGGTAGCATGTACCTAGATCGTTGCTCCGGTTTTGCTTCGGTTCTGAAAAAAAAAAAAAAAAAAAAAAGCATCAGATAAAAAATAACAAAAAGGTCATATTCCCCAGCGGTTGGATTGTTACAAGTCTGATTAAGTTGATATCAGATGAATCGTTGTATTATCAAAACATTTTTTGAAAAGTACTTTAGAGGAGTTGTCCTTCAGTTTTCAAAAATCATCAGTGTGAAAAAACTCAAAGTTTCAAAAATACCTTTGAGAGTAAACAAAATAGCTGCGGAAACTACTCGTGTTCGACATGATAAGGAGTTGAACACTTTTGAGTGTTTTCTCAGTGTTAAAACACTGAGATCCTTCATGTCATGGGACACTCATGCCCTTGCTTCATGGTATTATTAGCAAACCTGTGATGGAGAAATCTAGCTAATTTTTTACAGAACTTTCAGTGGATGTAAATTAGGACTCATGGTTTGCTCGGTTTTCAGTTGTTACGAAAAAAAGATAACACAACGACTTAGATTTCAATTTGGCTGTGATAATTAGGAACTGACATAACATGCCCGTCGACTTGCATGGCGACAGACATGTGCTACCAGTCAATCATTGGCGATTTTTATTTATTCATTCATTTTTTTTTTCATTTAGTTCTTTACTTTAATATTTCTAGTTTATTTTTTAATTCTCTCTTTCCCTCCTTTTCTATTTACTTGTTTGTAACAATGATTTCCAGTGTACCTGGAGACGTTTTAGCGAAGAAGCTTGTACTGGTCGCACCGCTGCCTTTTGAGGTAAATGCAAGAATCTGGAAGCTGTAGTTCGTGTTGGGTTTCAATCCACCGATCTTGAGACGATGTCCTGGTGCAGGTACGATGCTGTTAGCTCGCAATATGCTGTTAACGACACCGTAAATTATTTTATACCCAAGAACCTCTCCATTCGCATATTTTGGGAGAACTGGATTCCACTCAAGCTGCACCGCATCCTTTCCAAGGCTTTTTGCTAATATTTCTTCAGGAGGGCGGTCTGGAACTAGATAGAATAGTCGCTATATTGTCCCCCATCTTGGATTTTAAACTAACCTGTTCTGATGATTGAGCTGTAAACTGGTATTTGTTTAATTATTTCATCAGGGGCACCCAACGGCAATTTTCGGGAAAATATCTGTTCGGAAGACGATTTGAGAACTAGAATTTTCGGAACATTTGTCGTAAAATTTCTTGCTTGCCTGCCTCTCCTAGGATTTTCGAACATCTACAAAATGGTATAATTACCCATTTTAAACGGATATTTACCCTAAAAAAGGCCACCTAGAATTTTCGGGAGCCTTTTCCTGGCTGAAATTTTCGAAAAGATAAGTTTTGATCCCTATAATTTTCGGATCACTAGACTTTCAGCTAGGAAATCCGAACAGATGAAAAGTTTTTAGGGATAAAAATATGCCTATATCTACCGTTTAAATACTAAAATACGTTCAACAATGCTATGTTAAGTAGTTTTGAACTATATCCTCGTTGGGTGCCCCTGTTTCATTTATACGGTTTGCACCCAAAAAGTGAGGAAATCTCGTTGATATTGTCTTGAACTCATGTCAATTGTGACCGGCCACTGAATAAAAAAAACTGATTTCTGGAGGAGAAAGGGTTTGAAAAGTTCGTGAAAAAACCTTTGAGGGAATTTAGTCTATACACTTAACGATAATAAAATCTGTAAGCAGTCTAGGAGAGACGTTTTGCGCTTGCTATTTTGGAATGCAATCTCAAAATCAACTTACTGACATGTTCCCTCTAACACAGAAGCGATCATTCCTATAATTCCACTCGCAACAGTAACTTTTGGAATGATGGAGGACAACATTTTAGAGTATCGTATCAATCCCCAGATTTTTTGCCACATTTTGGCTTCCAATTGATATAAGAACAATATAAAACTTGCTTCATTTCTTGTTTCGATAGAGTAACAAGTGGTGAGTTATAGATGAGTCCCATTCCTATACTCATACCAAGCCAATCTCAAGAAAACCTTGGCATTTTTAGACTTCTTGATATTCAATTAGTTCTATTTGTGTACCGTCTCTTACTCTCAACTGCTCTCGTGAATTTACCTTAGATGAGCAAATTCATTCGTCTTAAGCGAGAGACACGTGACTCTTCTCGTTTACCTTAGCATCGGACCAGCGTCAGTTAGTCTCAAACTCTTAGTCCTGACCGGATTGTCGAAACCGCGAGCTCCTGCGCATGTTCTACGGACCAGTGCTCAACTCAGACTAAGTAACCTGAGAAAACAACCGACATTTCGCGACACCACCTCTGGTTTTCTGCGAAATGAAGTCTGAGAAACGAGCGCAGAAATGCTATTCTGATGACTCGTCACTACCCAAATCACTGGGTAGTGCTTCTGGTTGGCTAAACATTTGCAATCAGAAGCGCTACCCGGATCTGATTAGTGACACGTCATCAGTAAGGAATTTCTACACTCGTGTCTCAGACGTCATTTGGTGGGGAAACAAGTGATAGCGTCCCGAAATGTCGGCTGTTTTCTCAGGCCACTGACCGAGCTATTTCTGTCGATTGTTTTCTTTGTATGGACTTAATATGGATTATTTTTTTTCCAAAAGCAAACAAACCAAGCGAATCTTCAACATACCATCTTCATCAGTTGAAATCACAAGCTGCTTACTCCATGTACCATTTCCAAAATTGTTGTAGGCTCTCAGCCGACAGCTATAATTGGTATATTTTTCCATTCCTGTAAACTCGCAGTTATGATGTTCAGACTTGGTGTCGACAAAATGCTCGTCAGTGAAGTCGAGCTTTTCACAGGCCACATGGAATCCGATAAGTATTCCATGTATAGAATGTTTTGGAACATCTCCCCAAAAGACTTTAATTCTTGTTGAGCTCAGATTATGACCCCTGAAATCGGCCGGTGGGCTTGATGGGGCTAAATGAAAAAGGCAAAAAGGAAAGAAAAGTGCATGGTTTTTAACAATTATTCCTCGAGCCCGAATGGGCTCTGAGTCAATGGCCCATGAGTCCGAAGGCCGAATGGACTATTGACTCAAAGCCCATTCGGGCGAGAGGAATAATTGTTTTTAATTAGTAAAATCCAACTAGTCGGTCAAAAATATTGAGACAAAACAACTTAAAGCAAGACTTTAATCCTTTTTTGCCGAAAAAAATCCGGCGCTTTTCGCTACTAGTGGGCTGTAACATATAGCCTAGTAGTAGCTCAACCAATCAGAACGCAAAATTGATAATGGACCATCTACGGCCACTAGTTGGATTTTACTAAACTGTGATAAATTGTAAGTGGGGATTACTTGCGTAGAAAGGAGTTGTTGTAATAGATAACAAGCAAGGTATAGACTTCACAGAGTCTTTGAACTCAATAATTTGTCTTTCAATTATTTGCTATAAACTACCTGGGTTAATCAGGTAAATCGAGATGTGTGTTTGTTGTGTTCTGCGGCAGGGTGGACGAAATCCTTTACTAGCATAAACGTAGGTAAGAAAGCTATTATTTCTATGGTACTGGTTATGATCCTGAGCGTACTGACCTTTCATGAAAAGGCCCATTGTTATGGTGACTTGGTTCCCAAATTTTTTAAAAGCTGTCTAAATTGCTTTCCCTTTCAATTTTAAAAATTTGCTCCTCATCAATTTTGAGAGCAAAATATTGGACCTTCGTATCACATCTCTTCGCTCCGAAAAAAATACACAGAACAACTGCTACAAGTCACTTCTTTCGAAATTTTGTCACCATACAAAAAAATACTACACCACATCGGATTATTGTATGTTAGCCATCTCTGTAGATCATACAGGGAAAATTTCTCTTAAAGTAGGACCTTTTCCGGAATAGGCTCAATCGAAATGCCCTTTTAGGGGCAAGACTGAAATTTCAAAACTCGTGGCTTTGAAGTGCTTCCAAAAGTATACATTAAGCGCCGTTTATTTGCCACTTAAGTCCGTTATAAATGTTTTTATTTTTGTTTTAAAAGACAGCATCTAGGAAATACTCTCTGTCGTTATGTTCACATGTAGACACCATTATGCAATCGCAGGGGACACTTGCTAACTTGTTCAGTACGTAACTCTTGCAGGGTAAGCGGCTTAGTTGAAACAATAAAGTAAGTCAGTAAGCCACTCACTTTTACTGGAGCATTTAGGTACATCACAGTAGTCCCACTGCAAGCTCATATTGGTGGTGTAACACCAAGTCCCCTTCAAACCAAACCCTCCTGGATTGCGGCAAAAATTGCTGCTGTTTCTGACCTCCTCGTAAATGGATCTATCAATCGTATGTTTGTGGGGCCACTGTGAATCCCATGCCTGACAAGTGTAGCCCTTTTTGGTGGTGCTTACGTTGCCCCGATAGCCACGCCCGTTTCCATAAAAGCAATCTGCAACGAGAAAAAACATGAAATTATGGGTTAGTTAGAGCAGACAATAGCTGATATAACTGGAGACTTGGATGAGAACCATAAGAAAACGGCACGTACAGACTGAATAATGGTAAAAGAGCTCACAGACTCACAAACTAGTAGATTTAGGAGAACCCCTAGTACATACCCTACCATCTGTTACGGACATGGCTACAAATTTACAAGTACCATGTCGTGTGCTACACAGGGAGTATCTTGACTATTTGATTGATCGAAAAACACGCGAAAAATGAAAAGTAATTTGAAAAAAATTCACTGTCTTTCATGCTCTTGATGAGAGGTTGACCATAAACGGCGGAATAAGAGCAGCTTAATTCAGCCTGTAGCTGAGCTTGTCGCTGTCAACTCATGGAAGGGATCAGGAGTTGAAAAACATGAGATACACTTTAAAAGGGGCTTAGTTTACCCATACATAAAATGACCTGAAGAGTTTTGAAGAAGATACCAAAAAACATTCACTAGGGAGCGCTAATCATAATATCTTTTGGCGATTTTTGAAGGCATGACGGCATTAAAACTTGAAAAAGTTGAGCCAACTTTTTAAAGTTTCAGTCCATGCCCGTCCTTGCCATCTGCTGCAACAAAAGACAGGAAACAGTTGCACTGCTTAAATATAGCCTTAAATCAACAAAAGTGAATCATTATTTTTGGAATTCAGTATATGCGAAGACTAAGACGTCAGTTTTTAAGTTTTCTAAAACGAGAGAAAGTAGCTTGACAGCCTCTTTACGCATTAGTAGAATCAATGCGGAAGGTACGCCTCACTTGAAGTTTACTGTAGTTGTTCATTGTCATTGTCAGGCCCAATAACCAGTCTGTGTTACAAATATCGATCAGGAGCACCCAACGACAATTTTCGGAAGAATATCTGTTCGAAAGACGATTTGAGATCTAGAATTTTCGAAACATTTGTTGTAAAATTTCTTGCTTGCCTGCCTCTCCTAGGATTTTCGAACATCTAAAAAATGGTATAATTGCCTATTTTTAACGGATTTTTACTCTAAAAATGTCACCTAGAATTTTCGGGAGTGTTTTTTCTGTCTGAAATGTTCGAAAAACTAGGTTTTGATCCCTATTATTTTCGGATCACCAGACTTTCAGCTAGGAAATCCGAACAGATGAAAAATTTTTAGGGGAAAAAAATATGCCTATATCTACCGTTTAAATACTAAAATACGTTTAACAATGCAATGTTTAAGTGGTTTTGAACTATATTCTCGTTGGGTGCCCCTGATCGATGTTTAGAGGTGGAGAGATGAAAAGAGCCTGTTTCATGCATATTGTCTAACATTATTTATCTCTTGTCGAATGCTTGGTGTATATTTTTATCCGTTAGTTATTGCCTGAATAATCATTGAAAAGATCTGTTTCAGACTAGTAGGTTTATGGGACAGTTGGTTAATCTTACCTTCACTCTTGAGGACGTTGAGTTCGTCTAAGAGGATAAATGCAAGAATTGAAGGATTAATAGCGATTATGTATTGCTTTTATAGATGTCGTTTTCCTTATTCGATCAGCTCAAGAGACGTCGATGAAAGTCATAGAAGGGTCTTATAGACTGTGTAGCGTGACACCGACCCCTGAAAACATCACTCTAGAAAAGTCCTTTTCTTTCCTTTTCCTTTGAATGATAAAAGCAGAGTTCTCGCTGCATGCACAGGCACAAATTGACATGTCAAAATCAAATAAAAGTGATCACGGTGTTTTGTTTCTCCTTAAAAACGGTCTATAGAAATGCAGTTACGTTTTTAAAATAAATTGTAACAAAAAACATACGCAAGATAAGGTTGTTAATGAGCTTGGACCGTTAATACAGCCCTTTCTAAGTACCCACCTCGGACCTTGTCTGGATAATAACAATTGTTGGATTCATTCCGAAATGGCAATCTTGTGCAGTCGATGATGTCCCAATAATATCCAAAAAAACTCTTGCGGGAGTTAAGCCCCTTGTTGAAATCTGAGGCTTCCTTGAACTCACGATCACAGATTTGAAAAAGTAATTCCTCGCATGCTTCTCTACAAAGCATCTGGGGTCTCCGGGAATCAATGAAGCAGCGTTTAAAGTAATGGTGACAGTATATATCGTCAATCTGTTCAAGGCATTTTCGGCGCGGTGCAACAAAAGATATGTTCATTCCCGCAATAAATTTCCCCGGGGTTTGCAAAACATATTCCTTTAATAACTGATAAGTCTTCATTTTGTGCTCGTTGATCTTTCTCTCAACTTCTGACACGTTAACGTAAAGGTTACCAATTATATGACCGCAATAAGAATCGCTTGTACCATATGGAATGCACTTCGGCTTGTATGCATCTTTCCCCCAGCTGGTAGTAGACAAACGTATAGACTGAGAAGTAATTCGTTTTATATAGAATAGGGGAAACCAGAGAAAGTGAATTGCGCTCCGTGTTTTCTGTTATGGCGATGAATATTCAGTAAGATTGATAAGTTGCGTTCAATTGTCCTTATTTTGAAATGGACCTACATTCCGGATTATTCCAGAGTAGCCTTAATAGTAAACCGTTATCAGAATATCGAAAAATATAACATCATTAATTAAAACCAAAATCATGTTTCTTTGTTTTTGTTGTTGTTTTTGAAAAAAATGTTCTGGAAAAAAGATTTGGCACAGATAATTGTCTTTTGGACGATGGCCCGCCTTTTGTTTAGGCAATAGTGTATTCAACAGTAAAGGGGGCTGTTAAAATTTTGAAAAGACTTCAAGCCAGGAAATTGAGTAACTTTGAAACCCCTATGTCCGATTTTAAATAACCGTTTCCCAACCCTCGGGCGTGTAGGAATGTGGGAAGGAGGAGGGGGTTTTAACTCAACTATAGACATTATACAAAGGTTTGGAATATCAATTTACGTTTTATGCGCCGTTAACCTTGTAACGTTTGATCATGTTTGTTTTTCTTTGAGACGTTGTAATGCGCATTTGAAAACGTTATTATTTGTAACTATTAGTGCAATATATATAAATCATAATGAAGTATAGCATGTATGGGAAAAAAACTAGGCTCACCTGAGAATGCTTCGCTCGTTTCTGAGTCTGGTGCCAGTTTCAGTTTCTGAAAAAAAAAACGACACAAATATTTTTTAAGAATATTTTTGCTAATATTTGTCGCCCACTGTCTGCTTTTATTCAGATTCAAATAACATTAATTTGGTCATATTCATGGCAATCTAGATCTCAATATTTTTTTTATTGAATATTTTAAACAACATCGTTTCATTATTCAATTTAGTAGTTGATAGAAAATATAAACCTAAATTTAAATTGTCACAAATTTTATTTGGTGCAAGTTAAGGAAATGTAATTTTGTTAGTAATTGCGAAGAGTACCGCACTCAGATCAAGATACTTCCATGAAGATAAATGCAAGACTTTCAGTCTTAAAAGTCGTTTCCGCATCAATGTAATTGCCAATAGCAAGTTAATAAGTTGGCCATGCATGGAAAATCTTGGCAAACGAATTCTCATACGCTGATACAGTTGAACGCCAGAGATTGTTGGTGGCCACAAGAGAACACTTTTTTCTGTTTTAGGAAAAGCCCCGTTGCTGGGCTTTCGAATCATGCCAGTAATATATATAGATATACATATTTTTTAATTTTAAAAATAGGAACGGTTCAAGACGTCCCTTTTGCGCACGGAACAGACTGTTTTTGTATAACAGATCTAATAATCTGCAACGGAGGATAAACTTATAATGAAATAAATATTTTGAAATATAATTGTTGCCTCCCTCAATTCCTCCTCTTCTCTAACAGACGTTATGTTGTTTTCTTAATTTAGCGCATTTATTAAGACTTGACAGCTTCTAAAAATAGTAAAGATGAAGGAAGAAATACGGCAAAACTATCTTTTTAGCAAGAAACTAAAAATGGTTTACTTTCAGGTGTAAACATAGGAATGATTGACCCCCAAAACAGTAAATTTTTTAGAGCTGATGTGCTTTTGGAGTTGACGGTTTTACTGACACGAGTTTTACAGCTCCTCGACCACCAAAGTTTGCTGAAACAATACGATTCGAAAAAATTCAAACTAAGATGAAATAACTGCAGAACTACTAAGAACAATTCCTGAAAACAATTCATCGTTGGAAAAACACATCCCGAAAAGATTCCAAGAGGCGGTTCAAAGCTCTTTAGCTTGTACACAGACCTTGTTTTATTTTTCTTTTCGTTCTTTTGTGGAAAACATCGGCGTGCTCGAGAGCGAGGCGAGAAAGAAAAATACCCCTTTTGCGCTGGCGGTCAATAAATCCCCCGCGGATTATTTTTTATCACGCGCGCTCGACGGACTTTGAAGAGAAAATAGAGGGTCTGTGAAGAGGCTAAAAGCTCTTAAGAACCAAATTCAACTTTAGCCAATTCTTTCATTCCCTTGGTTTTGATAGGACCATCGGATGAAGGCAAGCTTTTTACAGCTTTGACTATTTCTTTCAGATCAGATATATAGTTATTTTCGCCACACAAGGAGTATGCTTTTCACACACTCTTGAAATTCTTATATGTGGGACATTGGGGCATAAGGAAATGAAGCATTTTATGACGACCATACGTCTATCACTGAAAAACTGGAGAACTACAGCACAAAGTAGGTGACTTGAATCATTTGTTGTTGTTTCTTCTGACCTGATATTTAGAAAAAGGGTTAAGGGAAATCTTTCTTTTTTTATGTTTTTTTTTTAAATGAGGCACTTGAAGGGAAACTTACTCAATAATGTAAAGAAATTGTAAGAATACCTCATTAGGATTATCAAAACGCCCTCCTCAGCTGTTATTTTTGATGAACGTTACAAAATGGCCCAGAAAGAGTAGTAATACAAAATTCTTCTTTAGAAATATATCGTAAAGCACCGTAAACCGGTGATTGATATTATAGCATACCTGGCACGATAACAAGGAATACCGCACTGATATAAAGTAGAGGCACGACTGAAAACATAGTCCGAGAAACCATGACACAATCGACCTTGGCTACGCTGAATTTTTCGATCTTTTAAGAATAAAACCAGCAACTTCTTGCTCTGATCGATCCGTGCTAATCAACGACGTAAATTGCTGGCTTCTTCCCCTGCTACTTCTTCTTAATTGCAGCAATTTTGTAGCCAATTAGAAAGCACGTAGATGTCAGCACTATTCAGAGTTTCCCTTTCAAGTGATTTTAGCCAACTGGCAAGCAGTAAGCTTCCTGACGCCTTTTTGACAGAAACTTTGGAGTAGTCCATGCATCGTCTATAAAGTGCAGCTGAAAGTACACTCGTTGTTTTAGTTTTGAGTAGTCTTTGAAATAGGCTATTTGTGTGCTCCTCTCTCACTCTTGGCTGAATTAAATACGTTGGTGAAAGTGAGTTGCTTAATTGTTCATTTGTTTTCCTTCAATTTATTGCGGGGTTAACAAGATAAGAAGAGTAAACTACTGCATCTTCAGAAGAGGATTCTTAGACTTCCATCCCTACCAATGCCAAGCAAAATAGTTAAAACATTAGACCAACAACCGGCGATTATCTGCCTTGAGTAGTCAGATTCCTTCAAAACACCGCCATCAGTGAGTAAATCATTCGATCCCTGTGTGACTTTATGTATTGGCTATAAATGCCCCATTGGGAGTAGCTTTAGAATTCGGTTAAGAAATAACAGGGACTTAGAATGACTTGTAGCATAGACGAAGCCGCCAAATCTATACCATCGCCGAAGATGCTAGTCACTTGGTAGTCTGTGTAAACCGCAGTCAAGGGAGAGAAATTTGCAAACGCTACCATAAATTAAAGTACCTTATAGCCAAGTTTGTTACTTTTAGTGTCGAAACTCTCAAGTAATTACCAATACGCTGTTATTTTCTAAAAACCTTGAAAGTTTTCTAAGAAAGTGTTTGAAAACTGAAAGATAGTGTTATGGTCGGGGCCATTTTGCCAGCGTAAGATTATTTGTTCGCAAAGCGTTTTTAAAGGAAGCGAATCTCAATATTTTAAAGGAAATCAATACAGTTACGTCAATGAATTGTTTTATGCTTCTTTTTACTGGTCAATGATATCCCAGCAACCAATCTCGTGCTTTCACCCAACTCATCTTGTTTCTTACTAGCTTTGGCCTTTAATAAGCTACAGTCTCAGTCAAAATTGTTGAGACATTTTATTGTCTTTTGCCCTCCCAATGTTAGTGTACAAGATTTGGTGGGTTTACTGCCATAAACAACATTGGGAGGGAGAGAAGACGAGCCAGAAGGAAAAAAAACAGCATTGGTTGAAAGTATTTCAAATATATTGTCTGAGACTGTAGGATAGACAGTATAACCAGTAAATTCAGGCGAGGTCTTTTGTTGACGTCATTGTTTAATCTTTAACTTAAACGTTTTACAAAAAATTGGAAAATTGTATATTATTCTAAGATGTTTAACTTCAACTTACCATGATGCTTACCATTGAACTAAATTAATTTTTTAATGCAAGAAAATACTTGCATGTCAAGTTTATGAGATAAATACACAGTAATTTTTAGGGAGTTATTATAACTCCAAAAATGGAGTAAAAATTTTAGGTACAGGATAACCCCTTTTTTGGGGTTATTTTAACTCCTAATTCAACTCCGAATTTGGGGTCATTTTTACTCCTGAAAAAGAGTTCTTTTTACTCCCAGTCTGGAGTTAAAATTACTCCGAAATGGGGTTACTTGTACTCCTTACATGGGTTGTTTTTACTCTTTTTGGAGTTAATTTAACTCTGAAAGTGGAGTAAAAATTTTAGGCACAGGATAACTCCGTTTTGGGGGTTATTTTAACTCCTCAATATCTGGGGTCACTTTTACTCCTGAAAAAGAGTTCTTTAAACTCCTTTTTGGAGTTAAAGTAACTCCACGAAAAATAACTCCACTGTAAGGAGTTAAATTAGCCCCACTAGAGGAGTTATTATAACTCCCTGAAAATTACAGTGTAGAAAGAAAAAGTTGAAAGCTTATAGTAGTCCTCACGGCGTAAGTAGCGTTGCGGTTGATAAACATGCTGTTACCGCTGAGAACAGGTTCGTTTAGTTATATAATCTTTCAAATGCAATCATGCAACACCCCTATGCAGTTTCCACTTGCATTCACTTGCTGCCATCCTCGGAGACCCAGGCGCAGATAGTGGGGGCGAGGGAAAGTCTAAATGGGCGGAAAAATATGGCACGAAGAAAAGTAAAGAACGACGAGAAGAGCCCCTGGGGACAATATCTTACCAGACCAGTTCCAAACGGTCGCAGCCGTTCTGCCTTCTGATTGGGCAGAAAAAAAACGTTTTCTGGCACCAATCAGAAGTCAGAACGGCGGTGAGCGTTTGGAACTCGTCTGGTGAGACAATGTCCCCAGGGGCTCTTCTCGCAGTTCTTTACTTTTCTTCGTGCCATATTTTTCCGCCCGTTTAGACTTTCCCTCACCCCCATTATGTGCCCCTGGGTCTCCGAGGATGACTTGCTGCAAGCCTTTTTAACAAGAGATTTAAAATGTTATCCGTGCGAAGAAAAACCAGCAACGTTTTACAACTCTACATTACTTCATCAGAACAGCTGTTGGTTCCACTGGGACCTGCCTCGTCCACTCCTTCCCGGGTACGGACGTCGTCTTCAAGATACACCTTCATATCTCTGAGGGCAATAAACTCTCTTACTTCGCCCAGATCAACAGAGAATCGACGCCTATGGCGCTGTGTCTCCTGCTCGACAGCACCCACTTCTTTCATTTCATCACAGTCAACGGCGCCCTGAGAAGTCATCATAAACGTTCGTAGCTCACCCAGATCGATGGAATTGCGCTTATGTTCTTTAGAACTCTCTATCGTAGTCATTTTCTTATCTTTGTTGGTAAAATTGCTGTTGTAAGAAGCTTTGCCGGGAGAAAGTACTCTTACCACCTGATCGTATACGGGGTACCCATCTATACTTACTGCTCCTCCAATGGACCTTCGTCTCCTGAATGGAGGGCAAAAAAGGTTCAGTTTCATCTATATCAGCATTCATATTTAACGTGTTATTTTTCGCTAGAACATATTCGCTTTTTGTGCATGCATATCTACGATAATACACCTTGTTTTCTCCCCGGAAAGAATTTCTATAATCTTTTGTCTTCAGTTTCTCTTAAGCGACTTGCTATGCAAGCTGTTGGGGAAACAAACAAGGCGTATTATGGGAGATGTACAAATTACCAATCGGATAATATGTACCACGAGACCCAGTGGAAAATTGCGTATGACATGATACCTCAGCCTAAAGCCCCGTGCAAACGGACGCATCATTGTTGCCCAAAAACATGTTGCGTCCGTTTGTACACCCTGTTGCATGTTGATTGCGTGTTGTTGGAGGTGTTGCGTAAAGTTTGAAACTGGTCAAAGTTTTAGCTATGGGAAAGTTAAAGAGACACAACAACTCCCACCATTGTTGGGCCAACAATGTTGGGAATTGTTGAATACGTTTGCATCTGGCTTTAGTCCCAAGCTTTCCTCAGATATTGTAGACGTCATGAAAATATATAGAGACACGCGAAAATAACGAGCGCGTACTAGCCCCCAAAGCGTTTTTAACACTACTTTACTCGATCCGCTACTTCCCCATCTACTTTAGTTTTGAGCCTGAAATAGGCTAAGGATATCCAGCCACTGATAGCTGACACTAAAGAAAACGAGGTCTATTTATATAAAGTTATCTTTCTTGAATGAAGCTAAGACCAACAACATGTAAATTTTGAGACGTTGCATAATTATAAGAAAATCCATTCCTGCGAGATTTTCCTCATCAAAGCCAAGAAATTATTTCTTTTAATTCCATCATTCAGGAAAAACCTTTTCTGCACTGATTTACTTTGCATAGAATATTTACGTACTAAGTTTGCATAACGCGTATGCAAATAGGTCTGTCAAATTTAAATTAATGCCGAATAGACTGGTCCTGATTAGGATGAAAATCCATCCTTCATCAAAGAGTATTTATCGTCCATGCTTCCGAAATTGCCTGCTGCTAAAAACTGAATCAGTTACAATGTAACAGAGAGCGAGAACCAGCTCAGATATAAAGGCCCAGTTCATATGGAGAAAACGTTTCCCGGAAAGTTCAAGGTTCGTTATTCACCTACCTGAGCTCTGGGAGAGCAAGCTTTTCCTACATCTCCTTACAAAGAGTGGTAAACCGTTTACATGGGAAACAAAAAGATATAGCTCAGCTATAAGGTGGGCCACCCTTTTTTTTTTTCAATATAAAAGCTTTGGTTCACCTAGCCGGCACAACGTGGTTTACTCAGGCAGGGCAAATTGAAGGCCACGAGGGGCGGGTCAACGTTTTCCTTATACAGACGCACACTAATGTTCACCCTCTTTCCCAGGATAACTTTTCTCCATATATTGGGGCCTTACTTAAGAATTTTGTCCTTACCTGTGTAATCTTTTGTAGTGTGTGTTTTCATAGCACCGTTCAAACTCAAAAAAGATATCCCTCAAGTACGGTGGAAGATTCAGGGAGCCATCAGGAGAAATGTTTACATACTGAGGCTTACCGCGAGATCTCGAGGGAACAATTTCATTATCCAGTGTCTCGTATCTGTCACGATTAGCAATGATATTTTCAATCCAGCCCGATGGTGAAATAGCATAAGGACAAATTAAACCTGTAAATGAATAAAAACAGTTTAAACTTAATTAACGTATATTTTCTTATATTAAAAAATCAATGTGGTTAAACTGCCACCTGCGAATAAAACTCACTCATTCTCTACGGATGAGAACGTTTAAGAGTAGTTTGATAAACTGAAGCCATCACCTGTCTGTCTCTATAGTCTGTCCACAGATGTTTTTTTTGACAATTCGACAGCGCGCGAGAGACGCTAGCGTGAGAAACCGGGCGCGCTGTTTTAATTTTGATATGCGCCCTTGACCATCTCTAATGTCTGCGAAAGGCTTTATTTAAAGTAATAATGAATAAAGAAAAAACAATTTGCGAATTATTTTTTTACTAATAGGTTTTTACTAATAGGCTATCGCTTTTTTACTCACCGTTATTTCCATCGGGAGCGTTTGCTGACCTTCTTCGCTTTCTGACAAAGTAAACTGCAAAGAAAACTGCAACGACCGCAACTATACCGGAGAAGACAGCAGCAGTAACAGTTCCTGCAACGTAATCATAGACAAGATTAAGATAGTGGTTGTAATATCATATGATTTTAATCTTCTGTCACGTTGAACAGACCTTACTTTTAAAAACGTTTATTTTCTACTTCTGGTGACCCTTTGTTGTAAAATTCATTAAAATCTCTTGTGATTACCTGTTATACTTGTTGCTGAACCGGGCACCTTATCCGTGATTCGCTTTGGAGTTTCGTCTGAAAATAATAAAAATGTCGTTAATCTTAAATAAAACGTCTTTAATTTTTACCATTCCAGCGCTCTCTACTTTTTATGTATTATTTGAGCTGACAATTTCAGGCTGAGAATGACATAAATTACACTAAATTTAGCTGAAGTTAACTCGTCTTTCCATTGTTTTAAAGAGCTGTTTATTATTTTTCATAAATGAAAAAATCAGCTCAGTGAGGTGGAACATGCGGTCATTACTACGAGTAATAAGCTGCTGTTCCATTTCAGTGCATGATCCCAATCATGATCTGCTGGTTCTAAACACTGGAAAAGTGCATATAAATCGGCCTCGCTCTTCAGCCTTCTAAAAAGTAATAACCTCGCGCTGCGCAGGCGGTCATTACTTTTTAAGATGGCCTCGACTTTATTTACCTGGGAGGGTTCTAACGTAGTACTTTGCACTGCTAACACCATCCCCTTTCCTCGTAAATGCAAGAACTCGGACACTATAGTTTGTGCCAGGTCGCAATTTCTGGATCTTTAAACGATTTTTCTTTGGCAAGACTACAGTGCTATTAACTCGAGCGGTGTCGTTCACATCATTGTAAAACACTTTGTATCCAAGCACCTCTCCATTGGCGTATTCCAAGGGTACTGGGTTCCATGCAACTTGAACCGTATATTTTCCCAGGCTAAACGCCGTTACATCGGTTGGAGGCTGGTCTGGAACTGAACGTAAAAATGAAGTTTTTTATGTATGTATCCCTAAACTGGTTGAGAATTACTTTTCGAAAACTTTTCTTAACTGCGTAAATGCTGCTTTTGTCACAATGCCAGTAACCAGACAATAGATCAACTCATGTAAAATGTTCATTGCCCTTGATATGATATACAATGCTTGATTCCCTTTCTTTTGAAAGCCCCTCTTTTATAATTCTTAACATCATACACTTTTCCTCAAAAAAATTTGATACAGTAGCGTTGGGACACCTAAGATTTGGGTATCTATTAGTCTATAAGAATAATCGCTATTTAAGACACGTCACTACTTTAGATGGTATATCCTTCACCATCACGGAACAGGAAGTTCGGGATTGGAGATGGCTAACTATCTAAATGTTTCAGTTTATTTGTTATAATTTCTAAACCATATGTTGTCGTCGACAGCGCATGGCAAGTTATATATATTTCAACTGGATAATGAAAACGCCATATGCACTTTCTTAGGTACAGGAGGTTTTTCCAGGAAGGCTTACCATCTTCGGCTGTCTGCACCGTTAAAACCTGAGCTGGTCCTTTTCCACGTCGAGTCAACCCATACACACTGACCTCATACTTGCAATATTTTTTAAGCGTGTTGAATGTGAGTGACAGAGATGTTGTGAAGTTTATTGCTTCTATTGTTCCCCCCCCTTGCATTTGATCATCTGGCCTTATCTCTACGTTATATCCCAGAACTTCACCGTTGCGTTGGTTGGTGGGTATTGGGTCCCACTGCACGTACAAGCTTGTAGAGCTTATATTCCAGGCTTCTAACTTTTCAGGCGGAGCGCTTGGAGCTGAAAAAGACAACCAGATACTTCCATTGTATTTTAAGGTGAAACTGGCTCCTCTGGACTACAAGGTAAACTTACTTACCTTCGACTGTTTGTTATTTCGACTATACTTTACAGAAAATGGCGCACTTACATATCTCCAGGACTCTTTTAGCGAATCAAACGCAGATTATTATATGGATCTAAAGAAAGTATGAGAGCAGGCTAACACAAAGGGTACCCTCCCGCAGGAGGACTAAGAATGCAATAAACAGCATACAAATTTGGTAGCTGACAAGTCATTTATCTCTAATTCCTCTTTCTCTATGCTCTTTCAGTGTTCCTGAATAAAGAACTGAATATTATATCTCACAGTCCTTTTAACAGAAGCAGATTTTTTTCTATTTTCACGAGCCCGGCCTGTCTGATTATTATACTACTCACCATCCTCATCTGTTGAGACTGTCAGAACTTTACTCCACGTTCCGTTTCCAAAGTTGTTGAAAGCCCTCAACCAACAGCTATAATTTGTGAATTTTCCCAGGCCTTTGAACTCCCACTTACGAATTTCGGGCGCCAATTTAGCAAAATGTCTGCTTGACGAGTTTAGTTTCTCACAAAGCAAGTAAAACCCAAGAAGTATTCCATGTATGGAGGGCTTTGGAACTTCTCCCCAAAAGGTTTTAACACTAGTTGAACTCACGTTGTGACCTCGAAAATCACTGGGTGGACTGGAAGGAGCTGAAGAAGAGAAGTAAAGTTTAAAATCTGTAAGATGTAGGTGTGTTTATGGAACGGTAACAGATCGAAATTAACATAATTTATAAATAAAATGAAAACATCTCGGATAGCTTCATTGTACTTTTTCCATCAGAAACTCAGCACGGAAATTTTTATTTAAGGAGGTTAAGACCTCTCCCGATCTCAAAATGATAAAACTTCTAACAGTGGATGGCTTGTTCCCGCCTCTACGATATTAGGAAGCTTTAGGAACGACGACGGCGACGGCAACGAGGACGTCAAAAAATCAATAGGTTTAGATTGACAAAACAACAACTCTGCACGTGCATCATGCTTTTTTGTACATTTCTTTACCGTCCTTGCACGGCTACGACGTGAAAATGCCTAATTGCAAGTTTTATGGAGGACGTAAACAAGCGACGACGAATCTCTTTTTCTCTCTCTAAACTTGAGTGCGGTCCTCAAGAAATCAACTCCAGGGAAATTCGCCTACACTTGCCATTTTCAGCAAATTGGAATAAACGCGACAAAGATTGAAAAAACGGGAATTCATTTTAAAACTGACGTTTTCGCTGCTGTTGCCGTCGTCGATGCTAAACCTCCCTATGTTCCCTTAAACCGGGCGTGGTAGACTGACGACGGCTACCACGTTTTCCGGCCAAAATATAATAACTCTGGTTAACGCTCGCGCTCTACCTAGCAATTAGAAAATCTCGTCCTCCTTAGTCCCTCTTGTCTTAGAACTTAAAGTTCTTTGTTAGAGAGAGGTCCGTAATGAGATGTTTGACTGGAGTCCGGTTTTCGCCAGGACTATACTGTACTTACGTTGTTTGGCACATTTAGGCACATCACAGAGTTCCCATTCTACGGTCTTATTAGTAGTGTAACACCATGGTCCATTCAAACTTATTCCTCCTGGATTGCGGCAGTAATTGCTACTATTTCGGATCTCGTTATAAATTTGTCCACTGAACATCTTGTGTACATGAGGGTACTGTGAGTCCCACGACTGGCACGTGTAACCTGAAATGGTAGTACTTATGTTGCCACGGTATCCACGTCCGTCGCCATAGAAACAACCTGTGGTAAGAGTTGATACGGATGAGTTTTCACCATAACTTCATTGTATTAAACTGTACAATAGTAATGCACTTAAATACCAGTCAACCTAATTTAGACGAAAACACCAAAGTGCGAGAAATGAGAAAAATAACAGCTAGTTTCCGTGTTTTGGCAATATAGTTACAGGAAAAACGCATGAAAAAGGACAAGGGATTTTTTGTTGTGTGTTCTTTCGAGTTTAACGTTCTCTGTTGCAACGTAAATTCAGTAGCTATAGTCTAATTTGATTTTTTTTACCTACGATTATCTAACTTACCTTCACTTTCCAGCACGTTAAGCTTTTCTGGTCAAAAGTTAAAAGAAGAAAAAGAAGAAGTTAGTATCCCCTGAGCCCTTATATTAGATTAAGCTTACGGCAGCGCCTGTCGCTAGCGTAGACTGATAATTAATTTTTCCCTGAGTGCTCAAACTTCTTGATTCCAATTTATTAAACGGCCCATTCTCCTTTGTGCGATCCTTTTGCTTGTGCATAGCCGTCTGGCTTTCATTGTTCGTCCATTTGAAGTCTGATTAACGTACATTCAAGCATATGTGCTACGAATATAATAGGCGTAGAAAGGCAAACTACAAACTCTGTCACACTAGGCTCCTGTTTTTTTAAACTGTACTAACCTCGGATTTTGTCAGGGTAGTAGCAATTACTCGACTCATTCTGAAACGGCAGGATTGTACAGTTAATGATGTCCCAAAAATAGGGATATTCTGGTGTCTGGTACAGCCTGTCCTTGTTAAAGTCTGAGACTAGTTTGAATTCCCGATTACATAGTCTGAAGAATAGATCCTGGCACGCTTCTCTGCAAAGAATCTGAGGACTACTGGAAAGGTAACAGCGTTTAAAGTAATGGTGGCAATATATATCGTCGACCGCTTTCAGACAGCTTTGGCGCACCTCGAAAGAAGAGTCTAACATCACTGAAGGCTTGTCCGTTGAATTTTTTCGAGTTTTCAAAAGGAAATCCTTTGCCACTTGATAAAGCTGCAACTTTCTTTCATTGACGTAAAGCTCGTTTAGATCTTTTCCGTAGACCGGCAAATTGTTTAGGACAGATTTGCAGTAACCACCGGTTTGGAATATTCGACCGTATGGCCTGCAAATTCCTTGTTCATTAAGCATCGACCTTTTCCTCCTGGCTCCAGGAGAAACACTGCAAGAAAAAAATACAGTTGAATCTACAATGGCCACCTGGGGAACAGAGATGACGGAACGCTGTGGCCAGACGGTGGTGAAACGGTAACACTAAAGGTCAGGACAAATATACAGTATTTTAAGCTTTTTTTAGGGCATATCAACAGAAATCTTGAGAAGTTATGTCGTGCAGCCAGCTATGTAATGGTGGGAGAACTGGCCTCCCAACATGGCCCTGGTTCAAATCACGGCGTCGACACCAGCGTGGGTTAATTAATTGAGTTTATCGTTGGTTCTATCCTTGCACCGAGAGGTTTTTCTTTGGGTACATCAGTTTTTCCCTCTTTTCCCAAAAACCAACATTTCCAAATTCCAATTCTCCCAGAAACCAGGTAGACGAAGAACTGCTAAATGTGGATGTGCGTCTTCATCGTCATTCATTTATTTACCCGAGTACAACAGATTTTCATCGCTTCCTCATTAATGGCCGTCGTGGAAACACCTCATCCATGAGGAGCCGCATAAAGTCCCTTTACTAATTACGCTGAGTGACGGTTGCTATGCTCAATTTCCTGTTATAATTTTACCTCCGATCTCGTGCAGGCTAGCAGGGGTCAGACTGGCTGTCATCGATAGGGATTTTCACAGAGGCGATGAAACAATCCTAAATTTCGCAACTGTCTGGTAATATGGTTAAAACAGTATTAGCCGGGATAAATATAGTCGAGCGCGGTCTATTCAACTATTCTCCGGATCGGATCATCCCAATCAAGCCATCATTGTATGGAGTATATGTGAATTCTTTTTTAGGGTATCCCGGTCGAGAATTTCTGTGTTGATTCAAACTCATTTCCCTTAGAAGCTTGTTGGTATTTGAAAGAAAATTTTAACAGATCGAACAGGTTAGCAGAGTTCCAAACTGAGATGGCCAGCCTTCCTTCGTCACATTGGTTCACTTTCAGAAGCGAGGCCATTTCAGCCTTAAATCAGTAGGTTTACCTTGCGACACATTAATTCTGTTTTTTTTTTATGACTTGCTTAATCGTAAGACACCTTGAAGGTAAGGACAATGTTCGATTTTTTTCCTTTAATTTATTTATTTCTGCCTCGAATATATCCGCGCCAAAACCTCCTAAATGCCCGCCAAATTTAATGTGGCGCGCTCGGGAGTGATCGTACAGTGTTTAGGAAGAAACAGGCCCAGCACAACTTCCACTGGAGGCACTTTTGTGTTACTGCAAGAAGTACATATACCCTTATAAAGAAGTCGAAAAGCGTTTCTATTATTAATTTCGTGCTACATTTTCTGGATAAACAATGGAATGTGTTGAAAATTGTAGACATCCGTGTTTCATAATACACGTACACACTTAGCGGCCAAATTGCTACATATTTTATCTTTTTACCGCTGTTTTGCTTGTTGCCGAAGTTTAAATGCTACATCATGATCCAGTGCGATTTATTGTTGTCGTTACACGCTCAGATCTTTAATTTGTTTGAATTAATGAGAAAATTATCTTGTAGTCTGTAATTAATTATACGCAGTATTGCATTGTTGAATGCGTTCACTGCCTATGAAAACAATCGTTTTCCTAGTAGTATATCGGATAGGCCAACTGACTCCCACTGGTGGCAAATTGTGCTACAAAACCATAAATAAGGGATATTCGAAGTATAAACCTCACAAAAGCTTTTGATTTTGATCAACAACGAAATGAGTGACTAAAACGCGTTAAAAATAACACATGCTCGTGTTACAGAGAGGGGGTTGAGTGTTGCTCGTTATTTGTAAGTCTCTGAATCTTAGCAGCTTTCTTTTTCTTTTCTATAATTTTTACCGGGGAATCGAAATGAATTTTAGTTGATTGGTTGCGTCCATCGCGGTTCCCCCCTATTTGTTTTTTTAAAAAAAAAAACACCATTGCAAGAACCTGTACGGTCTCTATTATTTTTCATTAACAGCCAGAGAGCTTTAATTCACCGAAACTAATACAGATTCATAAAATGTACATGGTTCAGGGTATTCTGTACGTGCCTTTTATGTTGGGTGTGTCGCCTGATTAAAAGCGAGCGATCGGGTGAGTCGCCTTCGCTTAGTGCAAGAAGACTTTGTAAAACGTGTATATTTAATGAATCTTTCTGTAAAGAACGAGCCGGCCTAGAAAGCTTGAAAAATAGTTTTTGAAACGTCTTGCCAAATATGTTTTTATATTGTTTGGTGGTTGCTAAAATTGCGTTTCAACTAGACGCTGTAAAATTCGCAATTGAACTTATTCTTCGGATTCAAAACAATGACCAAAGTTCCGTCTGCACGTGCTCTTTTGGGTGAGTCGCCTGAAAAAGCAAGCGATCGGGTGTGTCGCCTTCGCTTAGTGCAAGGGAACTTGGTTTTTATTGGTTATGGCTCGCAAGTCCGTTTTGAACGAAATAAATGGTTTCAGTCATAATTAATGAACATCATATAGGTGACCTTACAAGTTTGTATTATAACAAAAATATAAGAGCCTTTTTACGCCGCGAACAGGATGAAATAGAAAACTTCACCGGCCTTTTCTCAAAAAAAGGGAATAGTCCCGCTTTAAATTCTGCTCCCCAGAAAAAGCTACAATGAAAATTATTTAAATTTATAGTTTAAATTCAATCAAATTTATTTAAATCGCTGCACTTCGTTCATTTGTGGTAAATAAATGCATATTGATTCTGAGGTATCCCCGGTTAGATAATTTGTGCAAAACTCCTCTACACCGCCACAAGTTTTCCGAGTGGTGCGCTGTTTCGGAGTGATTTTTATTTCACCAGGTCCTTTTCTTTAGCTGTGTTCGTCTCATCAGCTCAGCTTTATTATTTCTGTAGTGTCTGCTAAAATGATCCATTGAAAGATATGTCGAATAAAGCTTCAGTAGGAGGTCACGAAAGGAGATTCGCATTTCACCTCAAGTTAAAATTTAAGTGCAAGGCGTGACTGCCTCAGCGTGGAATATATATTAGGCAATTAGGAATCATGACCACCATCTGGTTCATAACATTGTCGTTTAAGGGCTGCTTGCATAGGCGAAACTCAATGAACACTGGAGGTAAATCTCTCAGTTTTATTTAACAAGGGCCAACCATTTTATACAGATTGACACTTATAATCGGGCGCTTACCAACTTTTTCTGTTTATCGCCTCTTGTACAACAGACACGAGCTCACACTGTCTGCCAATATGAGATTGCCTAAAAACCTGTTTTTACTTTTCTCGAACTGAGATTCCTGAAGTCAAATGAAAAATTTGACCAGAAATGGGCGACTGTTCGTCGACGAATTCAGCAAACAAGTGTTTGATTTTTCTTACAAGGTCATAGCTGAATCCCTGATAAAAAATTTTCATTAGCATTTGTTCAAATAATAAAAAAAACTTACTTGTTTGTCTGCTTGGTTGCGATACTCTCTTTTCTGGTCCAAGAGTTTCCAGCTTCTAAACACACAAAAAAATTATATCGATTACGCTTACGGACTCTCAGTTCGAAACTATCCTCGTGAGGATACATATGCATTCTGTTTGAATATCAAAAGCTAGATCACGGCAGATAATTCGCATACATTGCGTCGTTTAAATCAATATCATCATTTAATGATCATCATCAGCAGCATCATTATCCACATCGTCATTATCATAATCGTCGTTTATCATCACCATCGTTATCATCATCATCATCATTATTATTATTATTATTATTATTATCATTATTATTATTATTATTATTATCATTATTATTATTATTATTATTATCATTATTATCAGTATTATTATTATGATTACCACGTCATATTATGTAATTTCCGGTCATTATTTTACTTCATGTATATTACTGTAAATTCTTCATATCTCAATAAACCTAATGAAGACTGGTATTGGGCAGTCGAAATGTCGCAACTTAACTTTATTCACGGCAAGTTGTTTGATCAGTCCCTGCAAAAGTCTTCTTGACTGTAATATTTTCAATTTTATACATTTTGACCAATCACGAGCTTTTTGGATCCGACGTTGAGCAAGATTGTTCGTACACGGTTTTTGCAGTGGTTTTTTTACCTTAACTAAACCATTATTATTAACATAATGTTTCCCTTAGAAAAGGAAACACACATTTAATAATAAAAGTTCTCTCTCCTACTTTCATCGCCATTTTTGCTCTCAATTGCGAAAAGTAGCCAACAAGCAATGTTAATAACAACATACACCCATTTCAAGAGTGATTTGTATTCTCACACTTAAGTATTAGTTTTGAAAGCCTTCATGTTGTTTCGCGGAGAATATCAAATAGTAGGTATGCGATATTTTTGGGTGTTCTGCGCACTCAAGAAGGATTGAAAGGAAAACACTTGTAACTCTCTGCCTACTCCCGAGAATCCAAGCCAATATCGCTTGATATTTGCGCTAAACAAGGAATTAGACTAGCCGTCGAAAGCAAACTGCATGCAGAGCATTTTCAGCAAAAGTTAGGAAAGTTAGCGGTTATACATTTCTACCAAGCTATCATCTATTTACTTGTTTTATTTAAGCTGGATGTTTTAAGGGCCAAGGAGGAGAATCTTGTGTGATTTGACTCACTTCTTTTTATTTCCTCTTTCCGTCGGTAAATTCAGGAAGAAGCAAACAAAACTGAAGATAGGTGTCAATATATTTAGCCTTCAAAGTATTCGTAGAGAATACTGATTCATGTTCTGTCCCCTAATCATGGTCTACTTAATTCTATTAGCTATAGCGAGAACACTTTTTGTAAGGTGGTCTTTTAAGGCAGCTGAAGGTCATTCCCTCTTAGTTTTTGCTCTGGAAAGGTAGTTGCTCCATCATTAGTTGTTTTTAATGATTATAAGCACTGGCCGCAGATCAAACTCTCCGAACCCTATTAACTCTGTTACTTTCTCTCTTCAAGACCGTGCCTGTAAGATTTGAAGTTAGACTCAAACAAGCTAATTACGACGGATTTGGTATGTGAAATGAAGAGTTTCGAAAACTATCTGACTCGGATATGTGATCTTTTCAATCGGTCACAGAAATTAGTTTTCACGCTCGAAACTTCGTTCATAAATAGAACTATATATCTGAACCAGGCTATGAGCTAAGAAGGCTATATTTAGAGCACCAACTGACACGTTTGTAAACTTCTTGTAGTGCAAAGCCACTTTTGTTTCAAGATGTAGTTTTTTGCTACGATTGAATTTTACTCCTTGAACCTGCGGCTAATTACTCAGAATTGTACGAAGAGTAACACGCAACTTGCAAGTTCTCTGGCGTTTAGGTAGTTTAAAAATGTCTATTAAGCAAACAAAAAAGGTCTTCTTAAGAAAACTTTGTTCTTTCCCCTTAGCATGCAGTTACAGTACATTAGAAAAGCATTAAGTTACTCGCTCGTTATGTAGCATAGGTTTGAATCCAACCGCAAAAGTAACTTTCTACAACTGTTTTTAAGCCTCTACCATTTACATGTAAGTCTAACTATTCTACTCAAGGAATTTGAGCTCAATCATACTTCAGATTTCATGGTGAGAATCAATTTTGCTTCTCTCTATTCTGTTCGAATGGCCAGCTATAAGTCCGCCGAGATCGAACTCAGTAACAAACCTGAAATTGTAACGAGGAATAAACAAATAGCGACTGTCAGTGATATTCTGTCTGAAATCATTCTGTTGGCCATCCCGCTGTTAAGCGAACAAAAGTTCCAGTGTTTAGAGTCTGATGAGCGTGCAATGACTCTGCCGTTCAGAGCTTTAACCCCGAGTCCCTGAATTCCTCAACGAAAGTGACAGCGAGCAAACAAGTGTTCGGCTATTGTTGCTGACTAAGTCTCAGACATGGTTAATCATCACGTCACCCTTGACAACCTTGTTAATATCAATCAGGAAGTTTAAACCCGGCCGTTCGAGTACCACAGAAACGTTTAATTTCAAACAAACTCACAGAGTTTTCGAAACATTTGCTGAAGAATATGAATTGTAGTTGAGGTCTTACTGCCACCTAATAAACGAAAGTATTATGCGCAAGAGAGCACAAAGCTCCTCTCTTGGTAAAGATTTACTCTGTTTTTTTTTTTTTTTTTTTTTTTTTTAACCCTGACGTACTAAACTTTTTTCAATACCTTGATTTTATTGTGGGGTAATTCCCTTTTAGGCGGAAATTAAATAAACTTCCTATTTTTTCGACTCTGTGATTGACAGATTTGACTGAATTAACATTTCTAAGTTGCGCTGAAGCGTTGCGAGATCATGAACATCCAATTTTTCAAGTTTCTCATCGGTTTATCAGGGGCACCCAACGAGAATATAGTTCAAAACCACTTAAACATTGCATTGTTAAACGTATTTTAGTATTTAAACGGTAGATATAGGCATATTTTTTTCCCCTAAAAATTTTTCATCTGTTCGGATTTCCTAGCTGAAAGTCTGGTGATCCGAAAATAATAGGGATCAAAACCTAGTTTTTCGAACATTTCAGACAGAAAAAACACTCCCGAAAATTCTCATTTTTAGTTTAAAAATAGGCAATTATACCATTTTTTAGATGTTCGAAAATCCTAGGAGAGGCAGGCAAGCAAGAAATTTTACAACAAATGTTTCGATAATTCTAGATCTCAAATCGTCTTCCGAACAGATATTCTTCCGAAAATTGTCGTTGGGTGCCCCTGGTTTATCGGTTGTTATTTGTCACAGCATATGATTGTTTTGACAACTGCTTTCAACGATAGATGCAAGGAACTGGAATATTTAATTTAGGTTAGTCCTGTTGTAGGAGCCTGTGTGTTGCTTGCTGATTTCAAGCTTGTAATTTTCAATATTATCTGCCGCTGTTAGTGTGAAAAGTAAAAGAAGGCAAGCAGCTAGGCAAGCCGATTTGGGTCAGACCGCTTTGTTGTAGTCTGCTACACAGCCGTTTTTAGCGTCGTCACGCAAAGATCCTCCCCAGGAGGAGCGTTGCGTGACGACTCTAAAAACGGCTGTGTAGCAGACTAGCTTTGTTGGGGAGCGCCCAAATGAGCGCGAACCGCAACTGTCGTAGCTTTGCCGCTGCTGCCAGTCCCTTTTCCCTAAACCAACCACGCGGTAAGCTGAAAAAGAAACTGATGATCAAGAAATTGCTTCTTCACAGTGGAACGCCGCCTTACGGCTTCCTTGGCAATACGGTCATACTTCCTTGGCAATACGGTTATTTTTATTCATATCACTCCTCACTTAATTTTTTTGGAGGTATCTTTCATGATAGGATTTTAACTCCATTTGGAGCAGCATTTTTAACCTGCGATCAGGAGGGTAGACTGTCTTCGGAAACAATCGTACACAATCGGCACTGCTCGGTTAATCGCGATCAGTTATTGATTGTTTTCACATCGATGACAGTCTGTAAGTTCAGGGCGGAAAAACGTAATGAGCATGCGTGAACTTTTTTGCCCAGATCCCCTGGCCGGGTTTGAAAAAATGGCGGGATTTCAAATATTTTTTTGCGTAAAAATAAAATGTTTCCACTCATAACCTGGAAAAAACAAGCAATTTGTCTTCAAAAGTTGCAAGCTGTGGTTATAACCTTCTCATTACTTAATTTTCTCGAATAATACCTCATAGTAAAACGGACTTTAACGACATTAATTTCCTTGCGTTGTACTGGAAATGTGCATGCTTAGGTCCGATTTTTTTCAAGATGCATTCACAAAATGTGTTCATATAAGGAAGTTCCTGGATATATAAGGTCCGTAGCTCCACTGTGGACACAAAAACAACATATCTTTGTGCAGTGATTTGCCCAAAAAAATTAACGCTTGCCCACGATGTGTTTGAAGTCACTAAACTTTGTTGCACTCGAGCTGATATTTTAAAACCCACGCTCGATCGGACACTCGTAGCTTCGCAGATCACTAAAATATAAACAAAATCCTTAATATAGAAGTTATTGCGTTGATATGTGGGCAGAAAAAGGTCAATCTTTATCTAGTAAAATCTTCCCAAAAATCGGTTTCAAAGCAACTATAGTTTTTTAAACTTGATCGTTTCACGCAGATAAAATTTGCTTTGTCGTGTTGTCAAGTTGAACATCCATCACACTCGTCAAAAACCTAGCTACGAATAGGCAAGATGTCCTTCAAACAAAGTTAAAGTTACATTCAATTGCATAAACGTCTTTCCACTTATGTATATGATTTAATTACTGACTGAGGTTACTTTAAGGACCATAGACTCTACTTTAATGTCGCAAAGAGATGAGACAAGCAAAGAACAATTCCATCACGCACAAAATTAAGCTTATAAGAGAACTTTAAAAAAACTTCAATCATGTTCAATAAGGTTGCAAAACAACAAATTATCATTAAAAAAACATAAGGCTAAAGGCTCTTGGATGACAATGACAATGAAGAAATGAATTTTCTGTACGAAAACCACCTACCTAAAGATCTTAAAAGCAAAAGATCAGTTGCAAGCTTCGCAGCCAAGCCATGATTCACCATTTAGCTATTTTTAATAACTACACCATGCGAGGGTCTTCATTCAAGCAAATTAAACTCAGCGAATTATTAGAAAATACAGAAAACTGCACATAAGGGTTTGTTTTGCTCGCTTCAGTCAAATCCAGCTCCAGCAATTGTTTACGGGCAGAAAAAACAATTGTTTTGAAGTCACTAGTAACCGGCAGTTGTCGTTCTCCTCACAGCGAGTGAAAAAGAAAATTTGCGTACAGAACGAGAAAACAAAACTATTAAATTAAAAATAAAAATTAAAAAATGAAGCTTCTGACTATTATTACTTGAGCAACAGAAAAAGGATCGAAGCACTCTTTTCTTCTCGAGAAAGCTTGCTGGCCATCTATTTCCGAAAAAGTTTTAAGCGCACAAGTTTGTTTACTCGCATGCGTTAGCAATATGGTTCTTTGGCTGAAGACAGGGATAAAGCTAGTTCTGCAACGTGAAGGTAAATTAAAAAATCTGGGCATGTAAAAAAAGTAATCTTAACTACTAATAACAGAATACAAGCGGGTTTTAATTCAGCCCGACGGAAGGCGAATTGAGAAGCACTGGACACAAAATCAACTCACAACTCGGATGCACAATTATCAGAAAAATACTCGCCTCTTTGAAAATGTTCAAAACGTTTATTCCACCTCGGACTGACGGAATGATCCGTTCTTCCTTTAACATTGGTTGTTCTGAATCCAAAGTAGTTTTCAAGTGACGAAAAAACAACAATAACAACATTAAAAAAAGTCTTTACAGACCTCTACAAGGAGCAAACTTTCGCACCTCGTGCATTTCACAAACAAACACACGGCCAGTCCAGGCCAGTCATCAAACAGAAAAGCCCGCCTTGAGCCTGCGATATGGGATGCGCAGAAGCTTGCGCAGAACGTTTTTCCGCCCTGAAGTCTGTAAGCACTTCGTTTCCCTCGAGACCAGACATGCCAAGAATTTCTAAAAGGGTGATTCATGGAATAGAATAGCAACCGGTGAATTTAAACAAATGAGCCATGAAACATTAAGTCTGTAAGTATGGCAACTACAAAATGGCGGTCCCAGTTCAATATGCTTCTGTTACACCATCAGTTTGCGCTGTATACGCCCAGAGTTGGCAAATTCCCAACCCGTCTACCTCGGTCACACACAGAAATTTCTTTCCCAGGTTTTGTTTATACTATTGTTTTTCTAAAAGCAGCGTTGCCTCGGTTCAGTAATTTATGTTCCGTTTTTTTCACGTTTGACTTTTGTTAAGAACGAGTGTTGGGTTAAACTGAGTAACATTCCGTCCATTTGAATTTTAGCGGAAGAAGTCTAAACAAAGATTGGGTTCGAGGCAGAGTAAAGCATATTCCACATCAACACCGCCAGCAATCAGCCTGCAGCGCTTCAAGGGTAAGGAAATTTTCCTCTTGGCGGAAATTCAGCCAACTTACTGTCGGATCATGCAATTGTTAGCTGGCTTTATGTGATATGCACAAGGATTTTTTTCAAGTCTTTTATTTACTTTAATTAATTTCATCGCCTTGTGCAAATTCCAGAATGGTCGTGCAAAGAGTGCAGCAGCTTCACTTCGTTGTTCTTCTGCGCGAGGGTTTTTGGAAGAAAGCGATGATGAAATCAATGGTAAGCTTTCTCTGAAATCAAAAACGATAGATAATGTAATCATGACCTGTATTTCAGTCATAAATAATTTAATCCCGCAATCGACAGGTGCCGCAATCTTTAAGCGTTTAGTTAAATGATCTCTGATCTTATAATAAGGTTAGATGTTATTTTGTCATTCTACAAAAATCTTCAGAAAACACTGAGTGACCTACAATATTTTGTATTTGCATTACTGTACAGCCCTGAATCTGTTATAATTTGTAAACATAATATTCTAGTTGTCTGCATAAGTATTTCTCAGAATTAGGAAAAACAAAACAAAACAAAACAAAACCATATAAATTGATATTAAAATCAAATCAGAACAATATTAGATATGTTGTTTATAAGGGTTATAATATTACATGTAAGTAGGGTGAACTGTCAGTTAGCACACTGATTACTGATCGACTCAGCCAGTTACATGTATTTCACCCCTGTTCATACCCATCAAGTAGTGGGTTTACTACATAAACTGACAATTTGAGGTCTGATTGGTCAGTGAAATCTGTGTGGCAAACTCATTGGAAGTAGGGGCATCAGCTGGCTATGGGATGAAAGACATATCCATCAGGGATCATAGACATTTTTTTTTTCCTGAAGTGCACTCTGGACAGTCAGATCAAGCGTTTAGAAGCTATATTTTTATACTGAAAGTTGACCTTACAGTACATTGGTGTCTGCTTAGAGCTGACTAGTCTTACTCCTTGTAAAAATACAAGCATTCAGATTGTGGAGTGTGGTGCAAAGTTAGAGAGCAGCAAAAAAAAAAAAAAAAAAAAGAAGACAGGAAAAGGGAGACTTGGTCATCATTGCTGGATCCAAAAGTGGGCAAAATATCAGTGAATCCTTTCTTCTGATTGCCTGCCTGCCTCCTCAGTTTTTCCCACACTGGTGCCACAACAAAAAGTCCACTTTTGACCACATAATAAATCCTTCATTGATTGAGCTTGTTCAGTCAAGATGGCTTGATATTGGCACCAGGCGGGGTGCTCCTAATTTCAAGTGGCGGGGGTGATCAAATGATTTTTTTGGGTTTGAATTTTCAATTCCGGGATTTTTTTGGGTGCGAAAATTTGGAAAGTACTTTTTTAGGTGGCTTTTTTTTTGTGTGTGTGTTTTATCAGGTAATATTTTCTGGAAATTTTTTGAGGCTAGGAAATTCCACATGGGATATTTTGGGGGTTAATTTTTGGTCCAGGGATTTTTTTTGGATTGTTATTTTTGCCCCCATTTGATCATCCCTGTTACTTAAAATCCAGAATACCCCCCTTCCCCACCCCCAGGATATAATCTTGGTCCATGGAAGTGCAACAGAGAACTTGGCCAATGTCTAGCCGTCTTGACCTCATGGCTGGTCAATTCAAAGAGGACAGACAACAAATTGTTGTTGCGCACTTGAAATATCTAACATATAACTTGAACCCTATTGACCTCGGCCATCATTGTCCTGATATCTTCATAACTTTTATTTTTGCCCACTTAATTCTCAGGGTCATCATTGCCTTTATCACTGATATATAACATTGCATGTGTTGTCATTTCCAACTTGGTCAATTGTCATCATTTTGCAAAACCAAATATGCATTAAAGTCGTTTAGAACTGCTTTAATCTTCCTTCTTGCCTGAAGAAGACATATATCAGATCAAATTAATTGAAGATAAACTTTTAACCCAAAAACCTAAAAATCGCCTTTGGCGATTTTTTCACCTGATTTTACATTGAATGGCCAGGTTAATGGTTGTGTTATGCTGAAAAGTGGATGTTTGTCAAAAAGCTTGGTACTTCGCTTAATTAAAGCTATTACCAAATTCACTTAATAATACCAGATAACAAGGTGTACATGTACCACTAGTACTTTCCCTACTGTCTTATTATTTTTTTTTTTTGTCTAGATACTGTTAAAGAATTTAAATTGACTTTGGTAAGTTCCTTTTGTGTGTTAAACTAAATTGTAGCTGTATTTATACCAGAATTATATTATGTTGTTGGACTATAAAAGTTTGATAATGGTGCCATGGTTCTCATTAAGTTTTAACGTAGACAGCTAGGATATAAAAATAGGCAGCTTGGTAATCGAGTGCTGTAGGTAATTTCAGGCTTTCACTCTCTCACTTTACCCTATTTTCCCAAATAGTAGACTGCTCAAACCTCCAAAAAGCCCTCTTTTTATCCGGCTGCCGGTACTTAATGAGAACCCTGGGTGCATAGGAGTTAGCTCTTCCAATTTGGAAGCTTGGGACTAGAGAAAACTTCGAGTCCATGATAGTTAGGACTTTGCCCACTTACTTTTTTCAAGCGAGACTGCAATAACAGCATCCATACTAATAATGAAGTTATATTTTTTTCTTCAACATAATTAATATGTTACCACACCAGTGGTTAAACCAGTAAGAAAGTACCCTTAATTATGTAATCGACTTAATTGCTTGATTAACTCAAACATGAATTTGGGGACCCCCGCTCCCCTCCCCATATTCTTTCCTGATTTTTTCTTGAGGGGGGGTGGTTGCTAGCCAAGAGTCAACTTGTTAGGTTAGCATGGTTAGATTTTTTGGGAGCATTAGTTCAAGGCCACCTTAAGTTCACTGTGATGCAGCTCCTCATTTTCTTTAGACATAGATTCTGTATTATGGCCATAAGTTTTTTTTCACTTTATTAATATATTGTTTTTGCTGTTGTGTTGCTAATGAAATCAGATTTAGCTTTTCTTAAATGAAGCCTTTAACTTTTTTCTTTGACAAAAGCAATTGTTCAAGCGTCTTACACAGCAAGTGCAAGATGTCAACCAGTGCATGAGTCAGCAAAGGATCTACAGCTTTAAGGTACACTTATGCAGTTCTATAAGCCATTTACATTTTAGCGGTGAAAATAAGATAATTCCTTAAGAATACCTATTATTGATGTGAAAAGAAAATTGTAAAAAAATTTATAAACTTTAAATATGCACTTTAACTTTAAAAATGTGGTATGATAAAAATAGAAATATGATAAGAGGCAATCGAGAATGGTAAACCTCTAGTCTCATTGTGATAGATGTTTAGGGCATTGTAATAATAGTTAATATGAAATCTGATTACAGTCTTAAGAACGGGGCCAAACTTGCACTTAGATTCAAGGTGCAGGTACTGTGAACAGGGAGAAGTGCATGGACCGAGGCTATTCTGTTCTTTCTTTATGACTTCCTTTATTGCCTTTGTCTACTAGTTCCTTGTGGCAAAAGAGAGGATTATCAACTTTCAACGTTGCTTTTTTAACGTTGTTACTTTCGGGAACAGGCGTTATCATCAGAGCTTTATAGTATTGCCTCCCGTGCTGTGCTCTCCTGAGTCCTGCGCTTTACACTGTTGGAAAATAAGCGATGAAAAGAAAAAGACTAGAAAAAATGAAGCGTTCGTCTGCTGAATCCTAAGATTTGTATTAACCATCCGCTTTCACCTGTGTTTCCACGGCGTGTTAATGTTACTCAGCAACTATATGTCATCAGATAGCATCTGCTCATTACTTCAAGTCAGATTGGAAATAGATTTTACAATGCAAAGCGAAAAAGACATCTGTTTAGTGGTCAGTTAAGTGACAGTAAACGTTTTGAGAGTGGCTGCACATCGTTCCTTCATGTATTTGACTACAACTATATGCGCTTTGTCTGGTAAGAGCTTGTTTAGATTGTTCTGTCATTTTAATTTGAAAGTACACTTGATAAAGTAAAGTTTTCTGTGCGGCTATGATCAAATGTTCACAGCTGTCGGTGTACAAGCGACAAATCAATTAAGTTCTTGGGGAGGACTTTTCTGTGGTGCTGAATATTAACTTACCCTTAGTTTATTCTAGGTATGAACTTTCGAAACCGCTAGTTTTCTAGAAATTTTCTGTCGGAACAAAACCAAAATCTCGCATGTTATTTTCCGAGAGCTATTCTCGTAAACAAACAGCTGTAGTTGCGACCACCTTTATGGATTCCTAATGTTGTCGCTTGTGAGAGCGGAACTGCTTCGCTTTCAAACCCTGTTTACAGAGCGGCCAATGTTTAATTTTCCTTAATGTGTATGGTCGCTGTTCTGAATCAAAATTTTACTGATGAATAATTAAGAGAGTAAACCAATAATCTTTTATTATATTTTTGATTAAAAAAAAAAAAAATTATAAGTTCCAGACCATAAAAAATAAAACAGTTAGCCTAGTTTATAGGCGCTAGTCTTCTAGCTCGCATCGTGCTATTTTGATTCATGTTTTATGTTTTTGGTAACTAAAAGAGATTTGTTTAGACCGTGGGAACTGTTTTGATTTAAGATAATTTTACACGTTGTTATGATTACATTGATTACATTTGTACACAATTTACACTCCACTGTCTTCTTGAGCAAGGTCTAAAATTAAATGAAAAAGACGCGAGAGCACCACGAAAATCATACGACAATAATTATAGAGAGATTAAGACTCGCGTTTACCGCAAAAGGCAAACGTCATTTTGTACCACGTGACCACGTTCTCTGACAATTAAAAGGAGAAATTTGTCTTTTCCGTTTAATTTTTGTCGTGTTCACACTAAAACAATAAGTTTCATCCTAGTTTCATCCGTAAGAGTTACTTTGGACAATTTTATCTGATTATTTTCCAATTTGAGAAATTGTCAAACTGAATCTTACGTTTGCCCTGAGAGATAAGAGTCACGTTTACGGCAAATGGCAATTGTCAGACTCTAGTTCATATTTTAGTTGGGAATTTCTTAAAATAGAAAACATGCAGCTAAAAACAGTCCATAACAATTGTTACAGTCAAAACTGACGTGAAGCTACTAATTTTTGCGTAGAAATAATGAACAGTAAAGAGGCACAAGTTAAGGGAAAACTTGGTCACGTGGTTCACGTTTGCCGTTTGCCGTAACTCTCTAATGTGATTCTTAGTCTCTCTAACGCATGCGCGCGGATAAGAGGCGCAAAGGATGATGGGAGACGCGTCCCTCTGCGTGCTTAGGGAAAAGTGCGGATGAGTTGGGCTTCCAAGATCCTCATCTTATGTTATTGTTACAGCACCATATGAACAATGAGGGGTTCGCTAGTCCTGCACTACGACGCAGCCAGCTGGCGACAGCTTTGAGCAAGAGAGAGATTCCAGCTACTGAAGCCCCCTTTGAGCCGTGTAATGATCTTGGACCCACCTGTTCTAGTTACCTCACGAGACCTTGGAGCAGACAGGAAAAGTATGTTGTATTGTTTCAAGTTCAGCCCGAGATAAAGTTCTCGAGAACGTATACCACTTTTGTATTCGAAATGTTGACAGTTTTTTCCAGGAAATTAGATAATTTCACCCAAAGTTTGACTAGTACTTCATCGTTTATTAACTCCCCGAAAGGTGGAGCTGACAATCATTAGGGAACCAGTAACTTTTTTGTTCTCTAAGGTGATAAATCGCTATGCGGCCTAACGTGCATGTGACATCGCAACCTGCAAGAAAGGTGTCACCGAGGTGTGCCGGGTTTGGATACTCACACATGCCTGACAGGTCAACAAAATGGACCAGTGAAATGAGTCAGCGAGTTAGGGTAAAGGCTCTGTGGAAGGGTTTATTAAGTTCCTCCTGGTCTTTTCACTTACTTCGCTGGTTGTCGCAAGTGTAAACCCGATAATTAGGCTACCCTTAAGCCTGTTCCAGGCTCTAAGACAGTAATGAGTAGAGATCGTCAAAACTAATACGAAAAACGCGCTGGTGGTTGAGCAGAATAAAGGAACGCCAGAAGGTTTGGTCGAGTACCTGAGGCCCAAAAAAGGAAGAATAACAAAATCATATAAACTTAACTTTACTATGGACCTTTTTTTTCTTACAGGGGTACCAGCTGTCCTGTTCCCATGCCACGCCCCTCATCATCTGCCCCTCCATCTCGCACTTCTTCTCCGTCCCCTTCGTTACGTCCCTCTTCACGCACCAGTATTAAACGCCCCACAGACAAGAATACAGATCATAAAAAACTCAACAAGGACCTGGCTGAAGCTGATGCCAGGGCCAAGCAGCAGTGGGAAGAAAGTGATCCTCTGTATGAAAAGCTCTTCGTCCCAGAGAATCTCTCCCCTGAGGAGTTCGACTTTAGATTTCACGACCCTTATCCCCAGACTTGGGTAGATGAGACTGTTGAGGATGCCTGTTTCAGAGGCTCGAAGAAAACGGACCCGTTTATGCATAGAATGAAGGAACTGGAAAATTTAAAAGAGGAAACGGTGCTGTGGGAAATATACAAAGAGGAGAAAGCCAGGCAAAACTCCGAAGGTGTTAGTTCAGCTAAAGGATCTTCTCAAAGACTCTCTCGATCAACGTCCAATCGGACTAGTAATTCTCGATCGCAGTCTGCTAAAGTGAACCCTCTTCAGCTGTACCGGGCAAAATCCGTTGTCAATAGATTGAAACGTTCCTCTTCCGCTGGAAAACCAAGCGCGTCGAATCATGTAGTTTCTACCTCGGATGATGGTTCAGACAGCGTGCGAACTTTCCGTAACAGTGGGTATCAGTTGGGTATTTCGTTCGTTCCTGGCTCGCTCTATCCCGAAGCGCGACCCCCTCCAAAGTCTCGAACTCGGGCTCCGAGTTCAAAATCTTCAAACAGTGAAAGCAACTCTCGGAAAGTTTGGAATACATCGCAGTTACCGAACGCGCAAACAAACGATAACAGGAAAACAGCACCAGCGCCGAAATGTGAAGCATGCTCCCCAAGACCAGCGGTTTTTCAACGAGAAGCATGCACTAGCCCACGCAGTGTGGCGACCTCCGTCCATGCTCTTCGCAACCAGTACGTAATGAAAGCTTCGGAGTGCTACGACATCGTTGAATTAGCCAGAACGTTTGACCCGCCGTGCAAGAACCATTGTGTCAAAGCCGCGAAAGATACATTGCCAATTTCTAGTACCGAAAGAGCCTTAAATAAAGGCATTAAGCCAGGTAAAAGTTACTTCTCCCAACGAAGAATTTCCTTGACACGGTTAACTCCAGATGAGAGTATGAACGTGAGAGGGACGAGCCCGCAGAACTTGGCAAGGCCCGCTACCGGTCGCTGTAAGTCAGCAAAAAGGGGCCCAAAGCGGAGATGATGTCATAGTTGAGTGAAGAATGCGGGATGTCAAGAGAGTAACCTAAGGCCCGGTCCATACGTAATTGTTGTTGTTTGAAAACGGGGAATTTTTTCTCCGGTTTGGCCTACAGTCAACACGTCTCCAGTAAGAGCGGTCACCGAAAACGCATCTTTTCGAAAACGCTCTCCAGAGTGGCGTGTTTTAAAAGCGTCGTTTTGCCGTACTTGTCTCGTGTGGACGCCTGAAAACGGATGTTTTGGAAAACGATTACGTCACGGTATTGGATATCAGTGAATACGCATGCTCCCATCAAAGGTGTTACCGTTTTCAGTCACTTGAGAGATTAAGATTCACGTTTACGCCAAACGGCAGACGTGAATTTGTGTTGTCCCACGTGACCAAGTTTCCCCCCTATTTTCCGTTTACTCTTTATTGCTTCCACAAAAAAATAAGTAGTTTTATGCCAGTTTTAACCATAGCAATCGTTCGGGACTGTTTTTATCTGCTTATTTGCTATTCTGAGAAATTCTCAACTTGAGTTTGCCGTTTGCGGTAAACTTGAATATTTATCTCTCTACTACAGTCAAAACCTGTTTTGGGGCACCCGCTTAATACGTACACTTTCTATAGCGCCCTCAGTGTCCGTGCACAGTACCAAAGTATGGCGCAAAACCTATCCGATATGTGACGCCCCACTTTCGTGATCGCCGGACTTAAGACCCTGTTTACATGGAGTGGGGACGCCGGTCTAGTGGGGTAGGTTTCTTTTGTTTTGTGTCCCCAAGAGCGTGAAAACAAAAGAAACCAACCCCACTAGACCGGGGTCCCCCACTCCATGTAAACAGGCCCTTAATCACAGAAATCGCGCCGGTATGATTTAAGCTGTCGGGCATAGTGTGAACACAGTCAGAGTTTAATATTTTTATTGTTTCTATCTCACGTAAAAATTATCGTCTTTGAAGTCTATTTTATTGACATAAATTATCGAGTGAACTTTTAAATCAATGACTAGTACTGTCAGATGACAGATTAATTTATGAAAACTGATGGATATAACATATTTGTGTAAATAAAAGGAAATGAAAGCTTTGTGAGAAAATTATTAGCTTACTGAATTTAGTACTAAAGCATTCAAACAGTTACCAACTCGTTTTTGCACAGAGGAAATTTGAGCAATCAAATGCTTGCGCTCAACGCTTTGGCCACTGTCAACCAGCAAGGTCTTATTTCTTGAAACGCCAACGACCGGCACCGTAAACGTGTGTCTACAGGCTCTCTCCCCCCTTCCCTTCCCTTTCCTTGCTATTTTTTTCCCCAGACAGAGAGCCTGTTCACAGGCTAGTGAACTTTTAAATTAATGACTAAACCAACATTAACACTTAATTTTATTGCAAAATGTTGGACATAACATATTTGGGTAATAATTAGGCTTACTGAATTGAAACGTAAAATGATCCAAACAGTTACAAGGTATTCTGATAAAAATAGCAATAGAGAGATTAAGATTCACGTTTACGCCAAACGGCAGACGTGAATTTGTACCATGTGACCAAGTTTTCCCCTTATTCCGTTAGACTGTTCACAGTCCTATTTTTACGTAAGATCGTCGAGATCGAGCGCTTTGTGTCACGGGCTGCCATCTTGCGTGAGTGTCAGAACTACTATACCAGTTTTAACCATAGGAATCGTTCGGGACTGTTTTTATCTGCTTATTTTCTATTCTGAGAAATTATCAACTCGAGTCTAACGTTTGCCGTTTGCGGTAAACGTGAATCATAATCTCTCTAATAATCAAAAAATAGTAAGCTCGCGATGGGCGATGGTGAGAGGGAAATGGTCGTCCTCTTTTACCCCTTCATCCCTTCTTTTTTCCTCCTACCCACCCTCCCTTGGACACAGTCCTCTTGGGAGGAGAGAAGCCGAGTCTTCTTCGCTTAATAACCTGTCACATGATTTTCTTATCCGCTTTCGGCCGGCAGTCTGCCGGTTCCCGCTCCGCCTCAAACCGGAGAGCACCCCCTGGGGGATGAAAATCCGCCTTTTTTTCTAGAACGGTTAATGAAGGCACCAGTTGTTGCACCAATCCTAATCCTACTTCACCCTTGGGGAACATTGGACGGTACTTAAAATCGTCTTCAAAATGCACACCAAAACATTGGTCCGATCCCACGAAGGGAATTCTGTTTAAATCCTGCTAATACATTAGTGGACGTCCCCCATATCTTTTCCTCAGATCTGGGCTTCGTCTGGAACGTCTCGACAATGAAAAGCTTTCCTCTTCTTCCTCGCGCGACCAGCTTATGTCGGTAGGATAATCACCACTAAGATAACACAAGAAAAAAGTGCACTCAGAAAAACTGTAGAAGTTACCTTGCTTGGGTATACTTCTGTGAAAGAATTTTTTTCCACCGATACCGTCAAGGACTACAATGCATATGGATAAAAAAGTAAATTTGTCACAAGAATTCATAGGCTTGAGTTGGTCACCGAATGGAGGGTTATTAAACAGCTGACGATTTGAGCGTTAGACCCTCGTCAGAGCAAATCCTCTGTTAAGACAATGATAAAAAGAAGACGTTTAGATTTGCTGTGAAAAGAGCTTTCGCTGGAAACGTCGGGCTGTTAAATCTCCTGAAAATAGCCTGGATATTAACAATCTCATTCGTTCTTCAAAACATTTTTTTTCGCGAGGAATTAAATGACTGCGCAAGCGAGCGGCGAAAGAAGCGCGACAATGAGCGTGTTTTTCTCAATTACCCAACTCCACGCCCTGGCGCTTGCGGTCAATAAATCGCCCGCGGATTTTTATTTTAGTACCCCCACTCGCAATGCTCCCACGCTTACGCAGACGTTCTTTTGGCACCTCTCACAATCCTCTTTCCGTCGTAGAGAAGGAACGCGGCGTGACGGAGCCCTAAGAGCGTCTGCGTGGGAGTCTACCACTCGGTGATGTCTCATTAGAAAATAGAAAGTCTGTAAACAGATCTAAACAAACTAGACACTGACTAGAGCAATCTAACATCAGTGATTGAACATTCGAAGATTTATGATTGCTCCTTTTTCTCAGTTTCTCATGTGTTCAATCACTGTAGAGCTAACAGGGGAAAAACGTGTCGAGGACACGAAATAACGTTACTTACAAGTAATGATCGAAGATGGCGTAGTAGTAAACAATAAGTCCCATGACGAAAAACGGTGTTATCACTGCATAAAGAATTATCTTCCACGCAGCAATCTGGAATGCAAAATTCAGCGTTGAATTTTCCTTAGAAAAAAAAAAAACCGTTCAAGGAGACAAAATTTAAATGACAATTTCGTTGCACTTTGTAACTACGATGTGAATATTACTGCGTAAATCAGCCTTTTTCCATTCCATTTCCCACCCAAACCCGATTCTTCCAACAACGATTTTTTAATGACAATGTTTGACAGACAAAAAAAAAAGCGTTGACGCAACGTTTGGCAAAAAGGACTGACTGGCTGTCCTTGATGTCACCACTGAAGCAATAATTTATAAGTCACTGACCCTATCAAACTACCAACAATAGAGGCTACAAGGACCAATGAAAACAAAGGCTTAGAGGAGATGCAGGCAAGCACGAGAGAAGGGAATGGGGGACAATCAATAAGCATTCCGATCCCATGCTCGCTTATTACACAAGCTCAGTGGTTAGCTTACTCACCTCTTGATGAGGGGGTTTCCAGTAGTTTTTACAATTAAGCAGAGCACATGTGTTAGCCCCAATTGCCTCTAGAATTACACAAAATGATAGAAAATTCATTTCACAAGTACTACAGTTGCCTGAGAAAACAACCGACATTTTGCGACATCACCACTGTTTCCCCGACAAAATGACGTCTGAAATGATGTCTGAGAAACGAGCGCATATTGAAATACTGATGAAGTGTTTCTGGAATTTCTGCACTCGTTTCTCAGACATCATTTCACGAGGAAACCACCAGTAACGTCGCAAAATGTCAGCTGTTTTCTCAGGCTAGTAATACAGTTACAAACAATTCTCACCTAAAAAATGAAATCTGTTTATAACTATCCTACGACAATAGGATAGGGTCGATTCACCCAGGTTCACCCCAACAAGAGACAGGGAGGAGCGCAGTCTCATTTCCGGAATAGTCTAATGACAATTGTGCCAGATCAGGAACACCAACATTTTATCCCTCTCAGCCATGCACATGGGTACCAACCAATCAGACGCAATATGAATATAGCCTACAAATTTAGCTATTCCAGGGCTTGAAATTGCGACTGATACGGTCACCAATAGGACTCACATTTTCTCCTTGGTGACTGAAAATTCTGGGTTAGTCGACACTTTGGCGATCAGATTTAGGTTTAAATTAAAAGAGTAAAGTTCAAACTAACATTTCATCCTATATTGCTTTGCTTTTGTCATAAAATATGTGCCAAATCGCATAAACAAAGCCAATTCACCTCCAAATTTATACCAACCTCTCTCTGTGACATTTTCAAACAATCAAAATCTGATGGATTTCATCACACTATGAGCTGCGTCATTTACATTATACAAACTAGCGACTAAAAATTTGCCTATGGGGACTATATTTTTCCAGTTGATCGCCAAAAGGTGACCTGAGGATTTTTTTAATTTCAAGCCCTGCATTCTAAAATTGTGATTCTTTTTGGTCAGGCTACAATGAAACGAGAAAACTAAAAACTACAAGCGAAGTGAACCACTGTCCCAAGTTTTAATTCAGTGATGCAACGGCAAGGATCAATAAATTGAATTCGTATCCCAATATTTTTACTCACCATAAATTTCAAGTTCTTTATCAAGTGAAAGATTTCCTTGAGGAAGGCAGCCACGCATTAGAGCCTGTGGATCATATGAGGTAAAAACATTGGTACCTGAATTTTCCTCATTAATACAGTCAGAGTGCCATGATCAAATCTTTTACACAGTTTTAAGTTTTTTTGCATCTTAACGAATAACATACATGTAAATCTATCGGGGATATTTTGCTCAAAACAGCTTGTTGTTCCCACAGAGTTAAACCCTAATCAGTTACCTCACATCTCCTCCTGCGTACTGTTAATCTGTCTTCCTTGCAGAGTTTTTTCTCCCAAAAGAAGTCTTTCCTTGGGTTTTCAAACACTTCACATCTGAAGATGTCACAGAAATCAGCAAGACACACAGTAGTGCCCTAAGAAAGGAAAATAATTTTACGTATCAAAATTAGGTCAAGGTTGAAGTGGTCCTTTGAAAGGTGAAACTAAAATAAAACAGCTCAGCACTGCTCAGACAAAACAGCAACAGTATCAATCTATCTAAGTATATGATGTAGCATAATTCAATGTTAGTTGTCTTCACCAAACATTTCATGATCACTGAGGACAGTAACACTTTTCTATGCTACTCTTTTAACTGCCTTTAAAGCCCCAATACCCACACACAAATTCTCCACACTAATATTCATAGATTTCCTTAAAGGACTAGCCGGGAGAATTTGATAAAAGATCAAAGCATTTTCGCTTCGGGGGTCATTTTGTTAGTTTTCACAACATTTTCTGGCGATTTATGGAAATTGTTAGGAGAAAATAATCTTGACGTTAGTCACTATATTTGGGGGTCGTTTATTTAAACAAAGTCTGTAGGCCGTCGTTCAACGAATCTTTGGGACTCCAGATCTCTTTCTTAACTGGTTATTTTAGAAAACATGAATAATGATATTATTCATCTTTTTAAAATTTCTTGTCTACACTTTATGCTTTTGTGAAACTACTGACAATAAAAGCATTTGGCAAACTGAAAATGGCGTATAATGCAGTTTTGGTAAGCACTGGCTAAACTCTATTTTAATAATCCGCCCTTAATATTTCTTTCCTCACCTTTACAAGTTCATCACTGTGCCTGTTATCAAAATGCATGTCAAGGTAATGTTCCGAAAGGAATGCCTTTCCACAAAAGTTGCAGACCCATCTTGAAGGATAATCCTGGGTTTTATTTCCTTCCTGAATTCTGTATAAATCTCTGTCCTGGTGTAATGGGCATTTTCTGAGAGGCTCCTCACTCTTGGACTCAAATACACTGTAAAAATGCTAAGAAAGAAATTGTAATGTATTTATGAAAGCGACTGTTTTTATATGATCAGCATTAGACAACAGCAAAAATCATTTTGGGACTGGGTTTAGTTGTGTTTCATAAGCAGGGTTCAAAGGAAGACCTGTCAGGTAGTCCAGGACAGGTAGATTTTCTTGCTGGGCAAGTCAATTTATTTATAAGCTTACTTGCCCAGTGGGTGAGGGTCTAAGCAAGTCATCCTCTGACTAAAGCATTAATTAAAACCAGTAAAAAGTGGCCTCAGATGAGTGAAATGTGAGAGCTGTTTGCCCAAACGACAAGCTGAAATACAATTTTTTGAGGCACTGAATACCCCTGATGGAAGAGGTACATATGTAAGGGGTTTTGGTGGGCTAAAATGGGGGAAGGGATAGAAAAAGTTGGAATGTCAGTAGCACGGTCATGGCCTCCTCCATCGTACATGTAAGCTAGAATTAAACACTCTCAATTTTCATACAGTCACAGGGACATGCACCCCCTCCCCTCCCCCACTGGCTCACAAAAAAGGATCTCATAAAAGTCATCAAATGTTGATTTGGTGTTTTAAGTAGTAGTTTGAAATGCCAGCTGTCTCTTTGCCCACACCGCAACCCTCTGTTCCCCAACGCCACGCCCAGCAAAGGAGTAACTGGGCCTTAAAAGAAGCTGTTGATTTGATGAATAGTGTAGAGAGTTTAAAGTAGTAAACATTCATTTCAAGAAATCAGACATACTTGGGTCAGCTGGTTTCTCACAATCCTGGAAAGAGGACGCGAACAATGGTCATTTGCCTCCGTTATAACACACCAGCACTGTAAAAATACAATCAGCAAAATATTATTTGAATGGAATAAATCTTACAGTTTGGTATGATTCAATTCTCTCACGAAAGATCAGTAAATCATTGAGTAAGCTGAAATACAGATTCAAATTCACTTGGATGTGCATTCTTTGTTTATCTTTAAAAAAAGTATTACACCCTAATTATCCCCTTACCAAACCACACGTCATAAGGACCCATGATCTTGGAAATACATCTAGAAGAACAACCATTGATTCCACAGGTAATAAACATCAAGTTGATGGCGCTTCACGAGCTCACCCAGAATGCCGCCATTTTGTCATAACAAACGCCCGCACATGACCAGTGACTAATCGCATAAATGTATGCACCACGACGAACCATTCCCTCTCGGTCAATTACAAAATGGCGGCTGACTAGCTCTTCTTCACGTCGAAGCTGTTAGTCGTCTTTGCTAGAGATTTCTCTTTTCAAAACCGAAGAGAGGCACATCGGTAAAAGCAGCTATATGGCTCGGTCAAAAAGGTAGCTATAACAGCAATCTAAAATAATTTAAGGGAACGATTTCAAAGAAATGGACTTGTTAAAAGTTACTGACGGATTCAACAGCGAGCACGTGACAAATGTTGACGAAAATGTGCTGGTGCCATCCTGCAAGTTTTTGTTAATCAAATACAGGATATAGAGTATTTTTTTTATAACCTTCCCCATTTACCTTACTTAGCGAGGCTCTGCTTTCAACATTTCTGTGAAAAGGAAATAGAGCCTCACCACTTATGTAGTGATTAGTTGTCTGTTACGAATGGTACTTTTCAAACGTTTTTGTTACGTTTTTAAAATGAAAGAGTCCTAAAATGCACATTCCCACAGAGAATTTTTGGCATTTTGTATCTTCCTTATAAACAGACATACTTCCACCATTTGATTTCATCATTACCCATCATGCGTAATATTATCTTTAGTAACTACAGATGTTGGTTGGGTAAGTGGATTGCCCTGTATCCTCACTTGTGATCAGGGGTTTCTGACATGTTAAGTTTAACCTTTTCCCTGACACTTCTTAACAACTACTCCTGTTCTCCCCTTGCTCCTCTCCACACAATATTCTCTTCAACTCCTCTCTATCGCTGACTCAGTTTCAGGTTGCCCTGAATTTTATCTTGGGTATATATGAGATAATTTAAAAAGAAAAGTTACCTTTCAGGCCATAAGTGACTTTGTGACAGCAATAGTCCATGCAAGGAGGTTATAATAACTAAAGATGATACGAACAATATTTATCAGTCCCTCTGGGGCCTCGTTTTATTAAGTACTTAAAGTACATGTTATTCATTAATCATTTTTTGCCTTTCTTAAAGGAAAAGTAAGCCAACAAGGCCAAAGGTCAACCAAAGAGAAGAGGTTTATGATGAACCAGACCCTGTAAGTAAAAACAGCAACAACAGCACAAACAATTCTTGATTTAGATATTTACAAAATAGTTGTATCCCTGCACTAGCTAGTGAATGCCAAGCTCTATAATTGAACACCACTTATGTGACTATGGCTGAAGAAGTTGTTTTTCATTTCTATTTACAGCTTCGCACAGCTAATAAGGCAGACTTTTAAATTCCGAATTAACTGATAGTGAACTAAATCCCATCACACATGTAAAGTTTTAGATTTTTCCTTGATTACTGAGATTATTGGATAATTTTTAAGGTTACCAGAACACTATTCTCAGACTTGGTTCATGATCAACCTTTGTAAAATCTCTAGCCTTACATTTACAAGTCTTAGTTCAGTTTAAACTAGTTAGTATTCAAGAGATATGATTATTGCTCTTTAAAACTGTTGAATATTCATAATATTGTCTGATCTTTAACAGAACAAAGAAGATTTTTTCTATGATGATGTTGATAAATTTCATGCCGAAAGAGAAAAGGTGAGATGGCCTCTGTAAGAGCAGTGAGCAGTTAATCTGTATATGGTGATAAAATTCTTGATAAATATATATATTATATACCAGTAATGGTGTTAATATTGTACATGAAGTATGGCATTAGCTTAAGCATGAATTATTGTTACTGGGAATAAAAGATTGTCCTTCTTTGGTCAAATAAAGGGCTTCATCTCTAAGCCAGAGGCTAGTGATTGTTTTTAGTTGTGTAGAGGACTTTTCAATCAATTGCAGTGAAATTAATGGCTTAAAGTGCTAAATGTATTCCTGATTTAACAAATTATACAGGCCGCCGTTATTCAAACGTTGGATAGTCCTATCCATTGGATAAATCACTATCCAATGTATAAGTATTAGGGAAACCAAATGTGTTATCCAGTGGATAGTGTTATCCACCTTTTGAATAAGTGGGCCCTGATGTGACAATTTTTTTCTTGTTGTTTTCAGATTCTGCTTGACAGCACCGCATATGATGAAGATGGGAATGACCAGTCTAGTGATGACAATGGACAGGTACGATACAAAAATTCTCGCTAAGGTATCAGTAACAACAAATATGACATCAACATATGTTTTTCTGCTGAGTGTACTTGAACAGTTTGTTTCTGCCTTTTGTAGGTTGAGGATGTAATGGCACTTAATATTGATGAATCTGATGATGACGACAGTGAGGTTAATGCTGAGGATGATGTCGATGAAGATGACTTTGAGGAGGAAAATGAAGATTTGGATGAGGTCTAGCTACATGTATTTCAGTTCAAACTGATCTGTTTTATAGATTGTGCATTTGTTTTCAGATACGTGCTGTGGTTGGTGATTAGAAATAATTCTTTGTGTACTGACTATGTACCGTGTACATCTAATTTTACAGGAAGATGAAGGAAGCGAAAATGAAAAGGACAGTGAAAAAGGTACATGCAAAAATAATACTTTTTTGTAGTATTATTGTCGTTATTTTTTTGCCCTTCAAACTTTGTCATTTAAGTCTTTTTCAACTTTGTTACAGATATTCCAAGTCAGAAATCCTGGGGAAGAAAAAAGGCTTCTTTCTATGATGCTGATATGGTTGAGGAATATGCAGGTGACCAACTTTAGCTGCATGCTCCTTATATTTGAGCAGCAGAAATAAAATAGACCCCATCTTCTTTTTCTCCCTCCTTCTTCTTCCCATTGTGCCTGTATTTCCAGCTAGCATTAATTTGTTATGACTTAATACAGTGACAGTCCAACATTGTGAACTTATATATAATGTACATGTAACCCTGGTATAATGAATGACATCCTTTGCTCTAGTTGTAGTAAAATGTATGGACCAGGAATTCAATATACCTGTACATTTGAAGACTATTATTTTTTCTCTTCCTTGGCACTTTGTCTTATCAGGGTTCCACTGCTACTGTTGTTTTTTTTGTTGCCAGGTTCTGATGAAGAGATGGATAAGTTGGCTGAAGAGGAAGAAGAAGAAGCTTTGGCCTTACAGAAACACATGGCTGCCTGCTTAGAAGAACAAGACTTTGATACAGCTGAATTTGAGGTGAGATTATCTTGGTTATACACATGTACAAGTCACAGACGCTAACCCAGTTTCTGTAGCATAAAGCAATTATGGGTCAGAAATACCAGTACAATAGCTCCTTCTTTCCTTTCAGCATTTAACAGACTTTTAATAAAAATTAATAATTAATTGAAGTGTCTATCAAAATGCACACACAGGTATTCTGACTTTTCACATGTTGTGGCTAACTTAATATTCCTTTGTTGATAAACAGTAGTAAAATAATCCTCTCTAACCTCTATCAAATGGTTGTCATCTTCTCTTTTTTTTTTGCCAGAAGGCACTGGAGGCCTTCACCAACCTCCAACCAAAATGGTACAGACACAGGTTACCTGAAGGTCTGACATTTTCTACTTTAGGGCTATTAGCTATGATTTAAGTCGAACTAATAATAACTACATGTACTATGTTAATGAGTTTCATATTTGACATAGTTTATGAATTTCTTTTCCATCATTTTGTAGCTTCCAAAACCAGATCACAAAAAAGAAGCACAAGATCAAATAAATAAGGTAAGAATTGAATAAACTAGATATATAATAAAATAATGTAAATGAACTTGCCATATTATTATAAACTCTGTTTCTTTTTTAGGAAAAGATAGTGCAAGACCTTTCAAAGTTATCTAAAGCAGAAAAAATTCAGGTAATTGATGTGAAATTTTTCAATATTTCTCTACATTATTTTGAACAACTTTACTCAAACTGACTTTTATGAACTAAACAGAGGACATTGCGTGGCTCCCTGAGATCCAAAAATGTCCGATTTAACATGTAATCATAGCAACGGTGATCTTTTCAAGTGTGAGGATTGTAACATGTTATTTGTGGAAATATCATGTTTTCACGTGAAAGCTCACCTGGTGCTTCATTGGTGGTTATATAACAAAGGCTTTTTCATTCTGCTCTTTGTGTTTTGCCCTCATTTATTCTCCCCAGACTTTTGTACAGCTTAATCTGACTAATGCGAATTCCAATTTCCTTTTTTTCTCTTTTTTTCTCACACTCACACACAAACATTAGCAGTTAACAGAAGTGATTTGATAGTGAAATAAACCACCGGACAAGCTGAAACAACCTAACGTTAATTGAAAATCAGCAGTAGAAATACCATTTAAAGGCCAATCACTCTTTTTCTTATCTGAGGCACAATGCCATCTATTTCCAATTTCTTTTAACAGATCCTGGTGAAAGACTCCCCGGAACTCTTTCAACTCATAGATGAATTCAAGTCAAAGGTGAATGTCATTTGTTAGATTTAAAAAGGGTATTCATAAACTCATTAATAATTCATAAAGAAAAAGCTAAAGAAATTAATGGTTAATGAGTGTCTTTCACTTGATAAAGACTCAGCTAAACTTCATGTCCAATTTTTTGGACCAAAATAACCCCAAATCTAAATGTCAATGCAAGAATGAGTTAATCTGTATCAGAGATTTTGTAGTGGTTCAACAAACTCGCAATCGTGTATCAAGCCCAGCTCGAGTTTTTAAACCTGATAATACACTCCTGCTAGTTTTTCTAGGCTGAAATTCATCTGATTGCTTCGAGTCGTTTTCTCCTCTCAACAACTGAGGGAGTACTAACGACTCAAAGTAACCAGATGAAATTCAGGCTATCGTTTTTTAAACAGTACATAAAAGTGAAAACATGTTAATAATAATTGTTTTATATATGTTTAAGTACTTTTGTGCACAAAATGTGATGTAATTGTGTGTTGGACTAACAGACTTCAATTTGGACTCTTTTTATATTAGCTAAAGGAAGTGATAGAAAGGGTTCATCCTCTTGTAAAGATGGCAAGAGCTGGGCAGATCCCTAAAGAGGTACATTGTGTAATTATATGTACTCGCTAAAGAGGAGTTGTTTGACGTTTTGTTCACCCACCACTGCAACTTGTCCGCTGTATATTTTTGTGGAAACCTTTGTGTACTTTTGTTGTTTCCAGAGGTTTTCTTAGGTTTTATTTCTCCTCTAAGAACTTAAAGTTTGTTTAAGGACGCACAAAAGCTTCAACCTTTGTTATCAAATGAAGTGCAGGAGTTAATCTGTTCCCGTCCAATCCCGGTTTTATTGTCGCCTCTCATAACTTAACTTCCAGCATGAGCTAGTAAAGTCATTTAAGGCTGATTTGCTTGAATGTTTAACAGCTGTTCTTGTTGGTTACAGGGAGCAAACTACCTTGAACTGAAACATCAACTCTACCTCAAGTAAGAGTGTTAAATAATACGTAAATTATAATCCCCCCCCAAAATAATTCTGCTGGGATGTTATTAGTTAACATAAATCGCATTGTACCTTACTGGACACTTCGTGACGCTGATTCTAATGCTGCAATAATAGACCACTTCCGAGTTCCAAAAACCCTCACTTTCAAAATGAGGCCAAGTGCGCAACCTTTCTTGTGAAAATAAGGTTTATTTGCGTGAGAATGAAAAACCATTTCGTATCAAAGGCTGAGCACTTAACCACGTTTTGATACAGTGTCCCGGGAAACTCGGAAATGTCCTATTGACATTGATCAATGATTTCATGTAGATTTAAAAGTCTGCTAGTGTTACGATAGCGTAATAACAAAACAAAATAATAAAAATAAGCAGACCTATTGGACGTGATCTTTTTTTCTCTTAGTTACTGTATCAACATTGGGTTTTACCTGCTCCTCAAAGCCAAGAAATTATCCGCAAGAGATCACCCTGTGATGGAAAGACTCGTACAGTATCAGAAGGTTTGTTTCGTTGTCACTGCCTGAAACGGTTTGAAGGAAACCGGTCGTTTCGTTACGAACTTGAGCTAGCCTGTTCACCGTCGCCTACTTTCTCTTTAGAGACCGTCAGTATTGAATTAAAATTCGAGGGGCGGGAGAATTTATTGACCGCAAGCGCAAGAGGTTTGTTGGCGCTGTCGAATTGTCGAAAAGAAAAGAAACACGTCTGTGGACAGGCTAAACTTGAGCAGTGAAACTGCGGAAAAATTTCCATCACTTAAAGTAAGCGCCTGAACAAGAAAAACATTGACATGAATAGGCCAACTACGGGGAAACTATTTACAAACCGACTGAATCAACTTGTATTGAAGCGACTTTGTATCGAAACGACCGGTAAGCGTTTTGAAAGGCAAAGACGTAATAGTTAAAGCGTTATTTTATTGTTCGTTCGTTCTATAGTTCATTCATTTCTCCATTTGTTATTATGATTGTTTTTGTAACTACTACTACTACTACTGCCTACCATTGTTGTTGTTTTTTTTCTCTTGTAGCTGATCAAAGAACTCGAACCTCTGGATGAAAAATTAAAACCAGAGATCGAAGAACTTCTTTCACAAAGCCGGGTCTTCAATAAAAATGGTACGGTTTATATCTTTGGACCGAATTTTCTACGACGTCTTAGTTTCCCATAAAATCGCTATTAGGACAGAAAAACTAAAACTTACGAATCGAAACCCTATCAACTTATTAACTTAGTTACGATATAGCCGTACACCCAAGTTGTCCAAAATGAGTTTGCTTACATTGTACAAGTGTAAGTAAACAGAGACAACGACATCGAGTGTCCTGGATTCAATCTGAAAAGAAAACCTTTTTTGTTTGTTTTGTGGAATTGGTTCTTTATCCCTACTGTTACTTAAACTTTCTAACCCTAACCCTAGTCCCTGCACTGCGTCTTCCCAGGCCTTCGTGGTCAATACATTTCGGTGACGTATCCGAAGCGAACCGCAAAAACTCGCCCGGACCATGTGACCCGAAACCGAAACGCATTGGCCGCGCGGAAAAATGAGGCCTAGGGACTAGGCAAACTTAAACTCATGCTTTGTACAGGCTTAAAGTATGAAGAGAGTAACAAGTCCCGGCTTAAAACCGTGATTTGTCAGATGTATTCCTTAAATCTCGCTCTACTTATTTAGTACCATTTAAAAACCATAGGGGGAATAGAACTCAGTTAAAACATTTTTTTTACCAGCTTTATGCATTTGTTTTTCTTTTCTTTTTTATCGCATCTTTACAGCAGTGCAAGAGAAGTCGAAGACAGGTAGTGTCCAAAGCAAGGTATGTAACATTGAACGCTGATCAAATTCTCTGTATAAAGGATACAGTGCATGATAAATCCACAAAACTACGGATGACACGCAATTCTCTAGTCTTCTGATCAGGCAACTTCTAGCTTTTTGTATAATACCTTGGTGAAGTGGTCATTGAACTCTGAATTTCGTTCAGGGATAACTGTTACGGAAATTGATGATATCTTGAAAAAGTCGACCCAACCCTTGAATTTCTTGCGGCTTATAAGGCTACAATCACTTGGTTTCATGTTGTTGTCGATCTAGTTGCATCCTAGCTAAATGCTGTCATCGAAACAATTTCCACACAACTAATCAGAAGAAATGATGAACCGAGCGTGTTTGAATTTAAAATTTAGTACCTGAAAGTGAATCTGCTTGTGTAAAACATTAAGACTGTTAGTATGATCGCTTAGTGTATTTTGTATGACAGTGAAAACACCGATCGTTCGTAATACACTGTGTCAGTGGTATAAAAACACTTTGCGGTTTTTTCTCTTCGTTAGATAACTACCAAGAACGCTTCAAAAAATCCTGTTAAATTGTCGGCTCTTCTTGACGAAGATGAGGACGAAGACAGCTCTACGAGGGCCAAAACTGAAGAAAAGGTCAGAAATGAAGGAATGGTCACGCTTGTTTCGCCTTCCCTGTTGTCTCTTCTCTGTTTTCTTTTTCTTTCTGTTTGTGCTTTAATTTGCATTGTTTTTCAGCGAGAAAATTGACTTTTCCTTTCCTGTATTGTAGCATCACTTTGTGCTATTTTCTAACATTCTAAAAGCTGGCGCATTTTTTTCAAAGTGCGGCCGTCAATCCTCCTAAAAACATTTCGATTCCCAGGAGTGCAAAATAAAAGAAGTTGAAATTAGAGTAAATCGCCAATATCATTGCGTCAAAGACTGAAAACCAAATGACTGGAGGTGTGATAATGCGGAAGACATTTGAATGAATAGCTACACTGAAATTCTAACGAAATTTATGAGCAGTTATGAGCGAAGAGATGAAGCTCTTTTTTGGGGGGGAGGGGGGTGAGGATATATGAAATAGTCCGTCCGTGGGAGGGGGGGAGGATGGAGGTGGGTCATAATTCCTAGTAGAGGGTGGGTGGTATTATCAGAGGTAGAGAATGGATGTGTTACTGTACTGTTTTGAATGTCGTATGATGTCACAGAAATATATTTGATCAATCAATATGATGTACGAAATTTTTGATCACTTACAAGGAGGAAACGTTATCTCAAAGAAAGAAAGAAAAGAGAAGGAAAAGGAAAACAGAAGTTGAGACAGAAGTCATGGATCCGTTGGAATACTATGAAGCTGTTAAGCTGCAAAAGAAAAGGAAAAAGGAGGCAAAAGAAGCAGCTTTTAGGTAAGTTTAGGCTGTGTTCACACAGCTATTGCGCCGGCACAAAAACCATCCCGGATACTAAGGCTTCTGTTCACACATTAGAACGGTTAATTTAGCGCGATTTCTGTGACGTAGTCTAAAGTGGAGAGTCACCTATCGGATAGGTGTTCATACTGTTCCGGATAGCTATCTTTTGTGCCGGCACGAAAACTATAGCGGATAGGAATTCTGTTCTCACATAAGAACTGTTCAGTAACCTGGCGCGATTTCTCTGACGTAGTCTAAAGTGGAGAGTAACATATCGGATTGAGGTGTTCATACTGTTCCGGATAGCTATTGCGCCGGGACGAAAACCATAGCGGATAGGAATTCTGTTCTCACACTCTGTTAGAACTATTCAGTAATCTGGCGCAATTCTGTGACGAAGTCTAAAGTGGAGAGTCACATATCGGATAGATGTTGATATTACTGCCGGATAGCTATTGCGCGGGCACGAAAAACCATAGTGGATAGGAATCCTGTTCAGACGTTAGAAGGTTAATAAGGCGCGACTTCTGTGACGAAGTCTAAAGTGGAGCGTCACATATCGGATAAGTGTTCATACTATTCCGGATAGCTATTGCGCGAGCGCGAAAACCATAGCGGATAGGAATTCAGCTTCCCCCCCCCCCGGTTGAAGAGTGCCGGTTAGCTTCCTTGATAATCCCTCCGGTATGTAGTGAATATACTGAACTGCGCCTTGTTCGTTCCCTGTATATTTCCATGTGACTATTTGATATAGCTCAGTGAAAGCTAATTTTACTTTGATTGCAGATTTTCAGAACAACAGGAGATTGAAGAAGGAGACGTTGAAGAAGGAAAAAGGGGAATTACATATGAGGTAAGATTGTTTATTTTTCCGTACATTTTTGGTTTGTGATGGTTTGGTATCTTTACCAAAGTGACAAGAAAAATTGAGAAAATTGTCTATAAACTGGTAAATGTGTTAATTTTTCAACAAATCCTACCCTTCTTCATTCATTGTCGGAGACCTGCCCAGGGGCCGCAGCTAATTGAGACAGTATATTCCCGGGCAAAAATCATCACTGGCATGGATCACAAGAAGAACGGGAAATCCCCTAGGCGCTTAATCTTTCTGAACCACTTTCTTCTGGAATCTGATTGGTCTGAACATATTTTCTAGCCAATAAATACTGGTCGGTAGTTTAAATGTTGCTGTAATTGGTTCGATGCACGAGAGTGAATAGCCTTGAGCTCTCCTCTTCTTTTGTATACTTTGTTTTTGTTTTGTTATTGTTTGTTGTTTTTTTGAAAACCCTTGAAGTCCCAGGAGTGACATATAAGCAAGAGAAAAGTGATCACCAAAAATGATCACCAAACAGACAATAACTGACCTTTAAACGAATTCTATGAACTAATTCTTTTAGAAAATGTATGCAACTCAGTTAGGAGGATATTGTAGGTGGATGTTGAGGTTTAAAAAAGTAAATATCTCGCCCCCGCTGGGCCCGGCTCTGAGGATGGTTAGTCCGTAAAACAAGTTGTTTTGAGACCTACGTGCAGAATATGCCGGTCACTGTGTGGTCTTCGAATGTTTAATCACTGGATCGCCACATTTATTCGTATTCCACAGATCTCGCAGAACAAAGGCCTTACGGCCAAGAAGAAAAAGGAACTGCGCAATCCTCGTGTTAAACATAGAAAGAAGTTCTATAAGGCTAAAATAAAACGGAAGAGTCAGGTATGCTGTGGCAATTTTTTAGATCGATTGTCTTTACATTTAATCTTTTTCGTAACTAATGTACATTCGACGAGGGAGCAGTTATCGGCTGTTAAAAATAGAGAGGTGTTCACATTAGAAGGAATTTAGTAACAAACAGAAACGTAAAAGAGGACATTCTTTTGAGAAAAAAATCAATACGTTCAGTTTCAGAGCACATACACATAACTTGAAGCCAGTTTTTGTATGAGTGTGATATAGCTTCTCCAAGGGCCCATATTGCATGGGAGACCAAAAAAACTCAAAATATTTTATGGTAATTGGCATTACGTATCCAAACGACCGTCTCTGCTTTCCTTTCACTTTTCAATCATGTCACATTAGGGCTTTTAATCTTGTGAATATCGTTTACTGACTGGTTTTTATTTAACTTGTTTTTCTGGTTTCTTCCACAGGTTCGAGAAGTGGTAAATGAACAAAATCGTTATGGCGGCGAGGCTACTGGAATAAGGTCACACTTGACTAGGAGTACTAAAATTAAATGAGCGGACAATGTTTTGGAACTGCAGCTTTCAACATAAGTTCCTGCTCTTGAACTGCGGACAAATAGACAGCTTTGTGTCAGTGAACGCACCAATCAAAGTGCATTTATAAAGACTTCAAACAGAATAATTATTCTGGAAAATGCTTGTCTACTTATTTAGATTATTTTCAATAAACTGATTCAAAAAAGAGCAGAAGTTATTTCCTCAGTGTAAAGTTTTCGTTTGCCAATCAGTTATTTTCTTATTTCTTAAAATGAAGCGATTACATTAGCATAACGGGACCCAAATTATGAATATAGGTCCTTTCAATCATGACGTTTTTGCCAGTAGTAGTTGATTACAATAAACAGTTCGGACTATATACTTCCTCCGTTATGAACCAGATAACGAGAGAAAGGGTCAGAGAAAAATCAGCTGTTCTGCTCTTTTGATCAGATAGGCGCTAAAATAAAAGAGTACAAAACAGCACCTGTGGATCTCGGCACATACTAATTATCCCGTGAATGCGTGCTATACATCGACGAGGAGAGCCTGGAGATCTGATAACAGAATACGAAAGCAGAGCTCTAGTCTCTTCAAACCAAACACAATGCGAGTGTTGATCTTTTTATCTTGGTATGGGAAGCCAACTCAATTTTTTTGTGTAAGAAAAGTATGCTCAGTATACATGTAGAAAGAGTCTTCTTATTTAAGATCATTTCGGATTGTCATAAATTTAAAATTGTTATTTAAAAAGCCGGACGTGTTGATGTTATCAGGTTCTCCATGAGAAATGCGCTCCAATTTTACATAAAGTTAAAAATAAACTAAATGAAAAAAAAAGTACTTACTTTAGTATTTCATGCTTGACAGATCTGAAAATAAATTTTCAAAAGGTTTGAAAACTCTCGTCCAGGGCGAACTTTCCGATGTTTTCTCGTTTTATTTTACGGCTAAGGCATAAGAAATTTAGTTAATTTAAATTGTACTTGTCATGCGTCCGAAGCAAATTACTTCCTGAACTTACATGTCCTATAAATATCGGATGCGCTAAAATAGCTACGCCAAAATCCTTTTTCTCCGTTCACGCTCTTTATTTTTTGATTCCTTTTCCTTCTGTGGTGTGATATTTGTGTTTATAGGCTCCAAAAATCTCCCGTTTTCTGGCCTCAATCGCACAAAATATTGTTTGAGAAATGCTATTATTTCGGTTTAATTTATGACTTTACAACAGGAGTCCGACATTGCATATGTATAAATTGTGCTCTTAAAGCTGCCCAGTAATAGCATTCCAGAAAGGGACAAAACGACTACATGTAGTCAAAACCGTTAACACCGTAAACCTTTTTGAGTTAAAAATGTGAAAATTTACGTACACCAACCTCTCGGCCATGATCGTTGGCGGTTCGATCTTCTCCACCCACCCCCTGTTCGGAATACAAATCGCTAGTCCAAAGCTTGCCAGTGCCAGGTCCCCTGTGGTCGTCTGTCATTTTGGGGAATTATGGCGACAGAAAGGGAGCAAGCCGAGGTTGACCTCCAGAAAGTCAGCGATGCATTTTCAGCGCTGCGTAAGAAAGCAAGAGAGTTAGGGATCAAGGATGCACAACTGGCGAAAATATCAGCCGTGAAAAGTCTTAAGAAAAAACGGGTGACCTGTCTTGTTTTAACGAGTGTTTTGGTGGGCTTGCTAGGAGTTTTGTTTGGGGTTTGTCTTCTTCTGTGTCAACAAGGGGTTCTTACACAGGAATCTTTGTACAGGTTCGCCCAAAACTATGTCCTCGACTTTGACATGGAAAAAGATATGTGTCTTTTCCCTTATCCTGAGATTATTTTGGACATGTTTCGACCTCCGGTTAATTGTAGCGTGTGTAAAGATGTTCACATCGTCGACAGAGTTTCCTCTTTGACTAAAGAAGACTTCGTGCGGAAGTATGCGTACACTGCTCGACCTGTTGTGATCACGGATGGAGCTAAAGACTGGACAGCCCCTCAGTATTTCAGTTTCAACTACTTCAAGTCAATTTATGGCCCAGAAAGCCCAGTCATGACTGAGGACGAGAGATGCCAGTTCTTCGGTTATCAGACGAACTTTAGATCACTGGGAGAAGTTTTTAACATGTCTGAAAAAGACGCGAATATGGAAGGAAAGCCTTGGTATATTGGCTGGTAAGTACAGAGAGCGTTTATTTTTAAGTGATTTCTGAACTCACACAGGTTTTTTAACTGCTAAACAAGACAATACGCCTTTGACTCGTATCGGTCATATGTTTCAGAAGGTTAATGAAGACTACATGAAAATTTTACACGTTTAAGCTCATTGTTTACTTTGAACATTGGCGGGATATTTATTAAACAGCTTCAAGTGAAGCTTATATGATCAAAGATGTTTTTAACTGGACATTTTTCTTAAAATAAAATTCCCAAAAATTAGGATGGGAGCTTTTGATCGAACATCTACCACGATCGAATTTTTTGGCTTTCGTCAAATTTAGCTCATGCTCAATTAATTTTCATTCATTTTCAAATCAGAAGTCAAACTTATTGTTCAACTTATTAAAATGTTATTCCAACATTGCTGAATTATTTTCTTGCGGTAACGAAGTAAGCTATAAGTTTAATTTTCTGATTGATGCCACGTATATCCGGTAAAGAAGGAGCCAAATGAAATGGTACCGCAGTTAGGATTAGTTGCTTTAGCGTATTTATAGGCCTTGTTTGATCTCTATGAATAATCGAACACCTGTCTTCTGGTTAAATTTATTGACATTTTCACAGTAAGGATTTGTTGTCCCTGTGTTCGCATGCATGGAGGGTAGTGAGGGCAACTAACAAATCAGAAAACAGGAAGAAAACAAATACCGGCCAAAGTTGTTTGGGTCATTGGCAGGACTGATGGAAAACAAAGTAAAGAATTGAAAATTTTGGTGCACAAGTTTTAGGCCACCCATTCCCTTTCTTCTACGTTTAGTATCACATGCACGCGTCTCCTTATTTTGGGTTGGTCAATAAAAAATAAAAAATAAAAAATAAAAATTCCAAATTCCAATTTGACCAGGAATCAGGTAGACAAAGAAACACTGCATGCATGTGCTACTTCTCTAAATTTTTATTTATTGATTTAATGAATTAAATAAAAGAATCACGCAATAAAATCCAAATTCAGCCTCTTGGTCTGATCACCTGGATTCATTATGACAATCAATAAAATATCAATTTTTTAGCATCACAACTTCTGGTGGCAGCTTGTAGTTATGTGTTAATCCCTGTATACACATAGGAAGTATCCTTGCCTATTCCTATCAATATACTCTGAAAAAAATCTGTGGATTATAAATGCTTAACTTAAATCCTATGAAAACAGAGGATTTTCTTTTGTGATTCTGAACTACCAGTTTTCAAGTAAAGAAGTCTTCCTTTCGGCTTAAATTTGATGGACTTACAAGAACCCTTTATCGACTGGTTGTTCGGAAAAAAATATCCAATATTTTTTTAAAAGAAGAGTTTGTCGTTAGTTGTACTTCGTAAAATGCTGCCTCCTACCAATATTATAATTATAGTTATTGCAATGCTCATTTTAACAAATCGTTTGTCTGTTAGTAGAGTCATTTGGTGTTAATTTACAGTTCCCATTCCATTTTTGTCTTGTTAGGAGCAACTGTGACCCATCTGCAGCAAACGAACTTAGAAGACATTACAAAATACCTTATTTTTTACCTGATACTTCAGAATCAAGCAAGACGGACTGGCTTTTTATGGGGTCCCCTGGTTATGGTGCTCATTTGCATGTAAGTAATCCCTAGTACACCATTTTCACAAATATATAGGCATCTATTGGACAGGGCTTCTGATAGGTTGCAGAAAAAAAAGTCAAATTTCACAGGATTTTCAGGGACAAATTCATAGAAAAATCATCTGATTTCGCGGGTATTTTCGGGGTAAACTTCGCTGAGAAACGTTGTTTGCTTGTTTCTTGGATGAAGTTTCAAGATAAATTTGCAAGTGTATGGCGAGTAAACAGCCCCAATAGCCAAGATAAGTTTCATAAATGTTGTACAGACAGGTATTTGATATGATTTCTAGTGAATTTCACATTATTTTGTGCGTTTTTTTGTGAATTTTGTGGGATTTCATGACCACGCGAAATATCAGAAGCCCTGTATTGAGAAATTAAAATCTTCTTATTATATAACTTTGTTGTCATGCAGGGAAAATTAGCCTCAGAATTGCATTTAAAAAAATGCTAGATGAAGGGACAATTTATCTATAATTTTTATTCCAAACTTGGTAATGGAGACTAGCTCTCCAAAGTGTTTAAATGACGTGTTAATGTGATATTATGTATTAAAAAACATTTAAGATAGTACACGCAGTCTGATTGGCTGAGAGGCGTATTTGCATGAGATTAATGTAAACATGGTTGTGACATCAAGATGTTTTGCTTTTAGCATGCTGCATGTAATCACACAAGCACAAATTTGAAAAAGCTTTTGAGTTGAAAACTTGACAAGTTTATTTAATTTATACCCATTCCTTCATCAGCTGAAACTTGGAAAATCTTTACAGAACATGCTGTGTCCCAGACTAAGCGGTAAAACCACTTACAAACCTGCGTGCATTCCCTCTACGGTGACATACATGTACCTACAGTTATTTAACAAGTATTCCACGGGTGTGCATTGAATATGAGATGGTAGATTGCAAACGAGGCATGTAGTGACGAGTTGGCTATCATCTCATATCCAACAAGCATGAGTGGAATGGGCGATTCCAGAAAATATCCATACTATACCACGGATGGCTTTTAGGATTTCCGAAGGGGATGGGGGTTCACGATTATGGAATTTTGAGGGCATGGGGGGGTATTTACGATTGGAAATCCGAAGGCATAGGGGAATTCCACAGGTGGGATTTCTGGAGTAGAAAGTGTAGAATGATGAGTGAGGTCCTTGAAAACGCTATTGTTGTGGACTTTTGTAGTTCGGAAATAAACCACAAACGTATGACCGTGGAAGCAGAAGACAAGCATCGATAGATCAGACACGTCTTTACGCTTATAACTTATAGACATGAACAGTAAAACGTGGGTTTCACATTTCTTGTCACATGAATAAAAACTAAAAATGTATCTTACCGCTTGCAAATTTCTTGTTACTCCCATCCGATGAATATGAAAAAAACTTGCTCCAGTCCCTCGACTCCGAGGAACACCTGTCAGGTTAGAACACTTTTCGTGCACACTACATGACGTATAAAAGGACCCAACAAGACTCAACGGTATATTTGACCTCCGAAAGATTTTAACAGTCTGAATTTGAGCTAGTTTGCTTTGTAAACGTCAAAACAGCACAAGAAAACAAAAAGGAGTAAAATTACCGCAAGTGGTGTTTATTTTTATAGCCAAATTCGGACTTAAAAAGGAGCTTGCACAGCCTGGCCACTAGCGGTAGGTTTTTCTTGTCGCTGAAGAGTAAAGCTTGTTGCCTGGCGCCGCTAGATCACAGCCTTGAGGAGGCATAAATTCATTTTCGTTTGTTCATATAGGCGTTGCTAAGTCGAAAATGTACTTCCAAAAAAAAAGTGGAAATTCTGAAGGGGAGGGGGGTTCACGATTATGGAATTCTGACGGCATGGGGGGGGGGGTTAACGCATTTTGGAATTTCCGAAGGCGAGGGGGGGTTAAAACATGGAAGCCGTCCGTGGTTGGGTATGGATATTTTCTGGAATTGCCCAATAATTGTTTTATAATGATAAAAAAAGCCCACAAAGTATCAAGAATTCTTCCCTACTTTATTTGTAAAAGCAACCAATTTTCGGCTTGTTTTTAAATTTTTTAGCATGTTATAATTAACAATTATTCCTCAAGCCCGAATGGGCTATAATTTTGACTCAGAGGCCATGAGGGCGAGAGGAATAATTGTTTTAGTAAAATCCAACTAGTTGGTCAAAGATATCAAGAATAAAAAAATTCTAGCTAGTTAAAGCTAGACTTTAATCCTTTTTTGTTGGCAAAAAGCCAGCACTTTTCGCTACAAGTGGGCTATAACATATAACCTAGTAGTAGCTCAACCAATCACAATGCAGCATTGATAATAGACCACTAGCTGGGTTTTGCTAATGGCTCATATACTATGATGCGAAGCCAATCAAGAGTTCTAGAATTGCATCATTCAATGATTCAGTTTTTAATAAATAGCCAATATATTAGCCTATATAGTGGCCTATATAATACCGTCAGTATTAATACTTACCAAAAGTGATTACAGTCTGTATTTGAGTCAGTCAAACAAGCAAGATTTACAAAAAGCAGTATCAAAAGCATTTTTCTTAAAGATCTCTTATGCCAATTGCTTTTGTCCAATAGAAATCTGGGTAAAAAAAATTACTCTAACTTGTCCTCCATCTGCAGATTGATGCTGTAGGGAACCCATCGTGGCAAGCCCAAATAAAGGGGACAAAAAAGTGGACCCTGGAACCACCCCCAGAGTGTGCCCATGTTTGTGATCCAAAGCTTGAAGTGACAGTTAATCCAGGAGAGATAAGTGAGTATTGACACCTTATATGTACATGTACATTAAGATGCACTGATGTATGGGCACCCTGCTAGCAGATTAGCTTATCATTTGCTCGATTTTGGAAAGACTCTGCGGGAGTTGAGCAAGATCTTTGTTGAGCATGGGCTGCATGTCCCTGGGGTACAGTTTCTAAACCCAGGCCTAACAGTCATGTGCCTCATACAGTGGCCTCTTTTATGACCATTAAAAATGAATGCTTGCACTAAAAAAATCCAAATACACTTTTAAAAGAAGCAGCTGCAGCCCCAAGTTCTTGAATTACT